GTACATCCATATGCAAAGATGGCACTGGGCGTGTTGTCTTGTGCATCTAAAGTATGTTTACTCTTCCTCTCATTCTTAACTCCTGCCCAGCAATCATTCGTGCAGATTATTCTAGCTCAAGTGGATCGCGACGATGCGGTACTCAGGCTTCTGGAGAAGTTATGTCAAGTTTACAGCTTCATGACGCAAGACAAGATGCTTCGCCAAATCTCGTCGATGCGCATTATCCTTGGACAGACCTCTCAGCAGACCTGTGAATGCGCCCATTTTATCAAAAATTATTCGGAGACCAAGGAATTTTGTGAGTCTTACAAGCTGTTGCGCTTTGCACCATCTCAAGCTTCTACTATTATCACAGGGAAGAGACTCGGAAAGAATGTCGTCTCTGAAACGAATGATACGATTCAACAGTACAGTGACGTGTTGGATAGGCTCATGCAAAACTTCCGGGACCAGGTTACTCACGACATAGCCATACACATCCACCGTACGGGTAAGGGTTCAAACGTCCTTGTTACTTGACATATATTCATATCTTTCCAGGAGAAATACTGGACCTCAGCGGTATGACTTATGCAGGTGCCGCAGGACTAGATACCAGGAAACAATGCCTTCAAGGAACTCGCACAGAAATCCTTTCAGAGATCACAGAATGGGTCAACAGCACCGGGGACAATGTTCCACGGGTGCTGTGGCTATCTGGTCCTGCAGGCAAGGGAAAATCGGCCATCGCCCACACCATTGCTAAGTGGTTCAATGACGTAGGAGGGCTTGGTTCATGTTACTCTTTTGACCGCCAGCGAGAGGCAGATCGTCGCCATGAAAAGATCTTTTCCACGATCGCGCGCGACCTGGCTGACCGTGACCAGGAAATGAGGCGGGCATTGGCAGGTGCAGTCCAGAACTCGAGTTCGCTCAAGACTACAGCGGATATTGTCCATCAGTGGCAAAAGCTTCTTATCGAACCGCTGAGGAAGTCATCTGGGTCAACTGTAGGACCCATCGTGATCATGATCGATGCACTGGACGAGAGCGGTGGAGCAGAGACACGAAAAGACCTCCTCCATATTCTAGCTGGTAAACATCGCAACTCTGCTGTTCCAAAAATCACAGACCTCCCAGACAACTTCCGCTTCATCGTGACCTCTCGCCCTCTCAGTGACATCGCTGAGGAGTTTCACGGTGTTCAGCATATTCGACATATGTCGATGGATGATATTCCAGCAGCAGTCGCAATGCGCGACATCAAAGCTTATATATCCAAGGAGTTGGAAAGGTCACATTTTCAGGACAGAGAGTTTGTAGTCCTCGCTGAGAAAGCTGATGGACTTTTCGAGTGGGCGCGTCTCGCATGCGGATACATCAAAGAGTCTCATACTGGGCTATCTCCAAATGATTGCTATGACGCCGTGGTGTCACGCGATCCTGCTGAGAGAAGCATGTTGTTGGACGATATATATCGTCTCATCTTAACAGATGTCATGCCCAGGGATGTTCAACATTCGGAGAAACAGCGCTCGAAAGCCCTAGCGAGATTTCGCTCAGTAATGGGACAAATACTAGGCACAGCTGAACCCCTTCCTTTAGCTTCCATGAACGCCATGAGGCGCCATTTTCCAACACGAGAGGACCAATTTCAGGTGGAGCTTGTGGTGAAATGCATGGGGTCCCTCCTCAGCGGCACCACAAACCCAGATTCCCCAATCCGACCCCTTCACGCATCCTTCCGCGATTTCCTGACGGACCAACGATGCAGTGGAGAGTTTTTCATCGACGTGTCGAAGGCACAACACGACCTTGCATTCGCGTCACTTGGAGTGATGGAACACGGTCTTCGCTTCAATATCTGTGATTTAACGTCTTCGTATCTTCCTAATTGTGAAGATCCCGGGCTACAGGAACGAGTTGCAAAATGTATTCCCCCACATCTATCCTATTCATCTCAATTTTGGATTTCACACGTACGAACCACAGTCTTCGACAAGGAGCTCGCGAAGGAAGTGAAATCGTTCTTCGACGACGAGCGGCTATTTTTCTGGCTCGAGTTACTCGCCCTCATAAATGCGCTCAGCAGTGCAGTTCCTACCCTTCCATTCATTCCCCAGTGGCTGAAGGTGAGTACAATGCTATTGAGTGAAAAATACACCGCTCACGCACAACCACAGAGCCATTCCGAATTTAAAGATATCTCGTCGACTGCAATGGACGTACAGAGGTTTATTCAAGTCTTCGGCGGCATCATTTTATACAGCACACCACATCTGTATGTATCAGCACTCCCATTCTCGCCTGTCAACTCTCCGCTATCAAAAAAGCTTTCTGCGAGGTTTCCCAATACTCTTCGTGCAGTATCTGGACGTGATATGAACTGGCCGGCTGTTCAGACCGTGCTCAGGGGGCACACTGGTTATGTCAACTCAGTCTCGTTCTCGCCGGATGGAACTCGCATTGTCACTGGTTCGAGTGATAAGACTGTTCGGCTGTGGGATGCAACGACAGGGCAGCCAGTCGGTGAGCCCTTGCGGGGGCACACTGATTGGGTTCAATCAGTTTCGTTCTCGCCGGATGGAACTCGCATAATCACTGGTTCGAGGGATGAGACTGTTCGGCTATGGGATACAGCGACGGGGCAGCCAGTCGGAGAGCCCTTGCGGGGGCACACTCATTGGGTTCAATCAGTCTCATTCTCGCCGGATGGAACTCTCATCGTCACTGGTTCGAGGGATAAATCTGTTCGGCTGTGGGATGCAGCGATGGGGCAGCAAGTTGGCGAGCCCTTGTGGGGGCATACTGGTTCAGTTCAATCAGTTTCGTTCTCGCCGGATGGAACTCACATCGTCACTGGCTCGGAGGACAAGACTGTTCGGCTGTGGGATACAGCAACGGGGCAGCCAGTTGGTAAACCCATGTGGGGGCACACTGATTGGGTTCAATCAGTCTCATTCTCGCCGGATGGAACTCGAATCGTCACTTGTTCGAAGGACAAGACTGTTTGGCTGTGGGATGCAGTGACACAGCAGCTAGTCAGTAAGCCCTTGCGGGGGCATACTGATTCAGTTCAATCAGTCTCGTTGTCGCCGGATGGAGCTCGCATTGTCACTGGTTCGAGGGATAAGACTGTTCGGATGCGGGATGTAGTGATGGGGCAGCCAGTTGGCGAGCCCTTGCGGGGGCACACTGATTGGGTTCAATCAGTCTCATTCTCGCCGGATGGAACTCGCATTGTCACTGGTTCGAGGGATAAGACTGTTCGGCTTTGGGATGCAGTGACAGGGCAGCCAGTTGGTGGGCCCTTGTGGGGGCACACTCGTTCAGTTACATCAGTCTCGTTCTCACCTGATGGCACTCGCATTGTCACTGGTTGGCCGGATAATACCGTTCGGTTATGGAACGCAGTGACAGGGCAGCCGGTCGGTGAGCCCTTGCGGGGGCATACTGATTCAGTTAAATCAGTCTCATTCTCGCCAGATGGAACTCGCATCGTCACTGGTTCAAGGGACAAGACTATTCGGCTGTGGGATGCAGCAACGGGGCAACCAGTTGGTGAGCCCTTGCGGGGGCACTCTCATTGGGTTCAATCAGTCTCGTTCTCGCCGGATGGAACTCGCATTGTCACTGGTTCGAGGGATAATTCTGTTCGGCTGTGGGATGCAGCGATGGGGCAGCAAGTCGGCGAGCCCTTGCGGGGGCACACTGATTCAGTTGAATCGGTCTCGTTCTCGCCGGATGGAACTCGCATCGTCACTGGTTCTTGGGATCAGACTGTTCGGCTGTGGGATGCAGCGATGGGGCAGCCGGTCAGTGAGCCCTTGCTGGGGCACACTCATTGTGTTCAGTCAGTCTCGTTCTCGCCGGATGGAACTCACATCGTCACTGGTTCGATTGATAAGACTGCTCGGCTGTGGGATGCAGCGACAGGGCAGCCAGTCGGTGAGCCCTATTGGGGGCACACTGGTTCAGTTACATCAGTCTTTTTCTCGCCGGATGGAACTCACTTCATCACTGGTTCTTCAGATACAACTGTTCGGCTATGGGATACAGCGACGGGGCAGCCGGTCGGTGAGCCCTTGCGGGGGCACACTGGTTCAGTTGAATCGGTATCGTTCTCGCCGGATGGAACTCGCATCGTCACTGGTTCGGCAGATAAGACTGTTCGGCTGTGGGATGCAGCGACAAAGCAGCCATTGAAACAGTGTACCGATTCAGATCATTCAACATTCTCAGACAATCACTTCATTTGCTTCTCGCCCAACTCCATCCATGCGCTATGTGACACTTCTGAGTTAATGGAGGGAGAATCCCATGACGACCGCAGTTCGACCCCCTTGTCACTGATTGATGACAGTGGATGGGTGGTAGGGCCCAGTCATCGGCTGTTATTCTGGGCACCACCCGCTTCTCGACATGCATTTTATAATCCTAGGACTGTATTAGTGATACCCAGAGGTGGTCCTGAGCTTGATTTGAGCCGGATGGCACATGGACGACACTGGCAAAAGTGCCGAGAGGAGTAAGTCTCTTCAAAGCTCTTTCCGTTCCTCGCACTTACTAAAATCAACACTTGCAGACCTTAGTACTGCGATGATCGTATCCCAGCAATTGATATATTATGAAGATTTCAGTTACAGCTTGAATGTAATACCGAGTGTACAGTGAATCATACTTTGTATTTTATTCTATACTGCTTCCAGTCCCAGTTCAGGGGTTGCAAGCCTGTACGCGATGAAGTGATTTGCGCGGTCACCTTGCACCATAGCTAGTTCCCCTTCTGCCCGACACGCTGCATGGTAGGCTTTCCGCGGCGCCGGCAGCATTGTGCAATGGTCAAATTGTCCGCGCCTAATCAAGGCGCCCAAGACTTCACAGTAATTTCATCAACGGTTTCACAGGATCTTGCAACTATTTGTCATTCGCAAGGCTGTAGATTTCCCGCTTGTCTCGTGTGTATTTACCCTGGCATGACCTAATCAAGTTGAGAGCTCATAATCAAACAGTAGTCTGCAACGTCTTATAATTAGGAATAACTACATATCACTCGCTGACGCTCCCAACGAAAGGATTGAAATTGTAGTACGTACATCCGTTTTGGTTCACATACATCGAGCCATGGGTGTCAGCAACTGTTGTGCCATCTATGCTGATCGCAATATAGGGGATTTGCGAATCCTCTGGAGGGAACGAGACAGAACCCATAGTGATACCCGGACCAGCGGTGAAAGTTCCCGTGTTGCTACCCATGGCGAGTGTGATAGTTGCAGTGTCTTTGAGCATGGCGAGTGCAAAAACGGCGTCCTCGGGGTATGCAGCATTGCGTGGTAGGGACCCGGTACTGCAAGTGATGGCTTTTGGCCACGCACGATACCAGAAGACGACCTTATCTGTCTATGTGACGAAGGAAATGTCAAAATTATCAATCAAAGAGCAATTTATCTAGTGGCTCACTGTGATGATAGGTGCAGAGCCGGTCTTGAACCATGAAATATAGTACTGAGCTACATCTCGCCAGGCAGCGTGGACGAAACCATCGACGTAAAGTGGAGCTTGTGTCCCAAGGTCCACCTAGTCACATGTCAACTCGAGCCGCAATATTCGATGACGGTATGAGGGGTTACATTTGGATTGATATCACCAATGTAATGGGACTCCCCATAGTCGTTCCAAGTTACTAGAGCACGTTGAGCTACGGCCAACACAATAATGAAACGACAATACCTATTTCTACAATGTCAGGTTTCACGTCATTTACAGCTTGTTGCCAGCGGTAGTTCCACAGCGTATCGCTGTATTCCACCCAATCTCCAGCGCCATCGATGTTCTTGAACTGCCAAGGCGAGACAGCTTGGTTGAATGTCAACAATAGCCACGGAGATTCGGACTACCACTTACACATAATATATGGTCCACTGAGCGATGAGACAGCTGCTTGGTAGGCCAAATCCGTGGCTGTCGTTAAGTTTGCGTCGACATCGGCAGGCCTAGCGATATAATTGGTGAGAGAAGATGCTCTTTGCGACCTCACCTACCAGGACCACCAATTGAAGAACCCATCAATTGAGGGAAACGTAGACACGAGTGAAGCAGCATCCGAGGTGTCACGGTAAGTTGTGAACGCGGGTGCAAGTGCGATGTCAATGCCTTGGCTCTGAAGTGTGCTCTTGAAGCTAGCCCAGAAGTCCTCTCCGTAACTCTCCCCTGAGTATGTCGATACAAGTATAGCGTTTTTCCAGAGAAAGGTACTCGGACTCGACGAGTGATTGGCGACGATGTTAACCATGTCACTCTGCTGCCAAGTGTATGACATATCGAAGGAATAGAAGAGCTTGAAGCCCAAACTTTCCGCAGCTGCATATGCATCAACGATCCTGTCGACTTCATAGTCGTTCGCGACAATGTTCAATGCTAAGCATTGGGTACGCCATGAGTAGTCGAAAGATTGAACGAGACATAAGAAAGACGTACCGAAACCATTAATGCCAATGTTCTGAGCAGTTGTCATATCATTCGTCCAATCGCTTTCGGCATATGAATACGAGTTTTGGGCCTGTAGAAGGAGGTTGATATGCAGTCGAATTCGAAGGAGAGACTGAAAAACTAACCATGAAATGGGCAAAAACGCTTTGCGCATTTGCGACGCGCGCCAAGGCAGCACATGTCAGAAAGAAGAAGAACTTTTGCATAGTAGCTCAGGCTTAAACCCTAGAGAACAACGTTCACGGTCTCCTTTTATGCGCCAAATCAGACAGGTTGTTGAGTTTGAACTAACTTGAAGAGTATGAACCGTGGCTGAATTCGGAGCGGGTTGGCAGATGAGTCGTCAGATGTCCAGGGACTCCCTAGATGATGTCCTTCAAAGAACAGTACTTCCTACTTTCGATCAAAGATGACGCGGGACGCAGCACATCGACAAGTTTTAAGCTAGCGTCACCGTGGTCAATGCTCCTAGTATTGCTTGAAATATTCGCAAGCAGTGTCCCTTTCGACGGATTTGTATCAGCGGTTTACAAACAATCAAACAATCAAAGCATTACACGCAGGACGGTTGTCAGACGACTCTGATGAGATCAGAGACTATATGGCAATGGGGACAACGAAATCAAGCAAACCGTGTATGACTTCCGATCACGGGCGCCCATCGGGTTGTTTGTGAGTACTGCTATTAGATTCATATAGTACTGAACCTACTGATTCTTTGTAATGGAGGCACTGTCGTGACCTCGAAACAACCCTCACAAATTCCACTTCAATCAAACGGTACAGGACGGATGCCTAGACCCTCGATTCTCTTTCCCGGCTCAAGTTCCTTTTGGGCTGCCGCAAATGCACTGGGTACAGGTATACCACAACAATCACCCCATCCTCCATGTGCGTGACCATCCCCGTGATGCGATTCATCAGAAGATGGAGGTGGAGGTCCTTCATATGGAAGAATAGATCCAAACAGGAAATGTTGGATGACAGGGAGCTTCGCTAAAACTTCCGCATGATACATCTTGATCATGCCGGAGTTCACTTTTTCCCATGTTTTCACCTACACAAGAAGAAATCAGGCGGGGGCTGTACCGAGGGCCACAATACGCACGGCTGATATGTCATCCAGCATTGGTGAGTGCCATCTAAGTGAGGCTGTCTTGATCTGCGTCCAAATTTTGAGATGTCAACCAGGTACGCGATATGAAAGGTACGAACAGAGTTGATGAACTTGATGCAAGAGAAATACATATAATCCTTCGATAGTTCATCTACGATCTCTGGATCGTGTATTGCCTTTGGTCTTACAAACTTGTGTCCTGCAGTGGAAAATGTCAGACCCCGTTGTGTTCTGTACCTAATTGTGTGGACGTGCCTCGTAGCTGCGCGGAACCAAAGAGGAAAGGCAAAAAATGATAATCATCGAGGCCCCAGACGCCATGAGATCCAGCGGGTTCTAGCCAATACGTTGATTGAAGTATACGCATAATTTGAATATATCTGGGAGGGGTGAGCAGGGAACAAAGGAGCCGTCTTGCGAACGCACCTCCAAAATACACGAGTAACAAGCACGGTGTGATCACTTGCCGCAACAACCTGCAGGCGATCTAGGCATATCCTGTGAGGTGTAACTTGAAGATTAAGCAAATAAAAAATATAGGAAGACTTACAACCAGCAGATGAAATTCAGTTCCATACCACTCCCGTAGTCAATGCGCTCTCGATTCCCCCAAGCCTGCGAGAAATACGCAGATAATTCGGGTATAGCATTTTGATCTAGACCGGGAAGCTCAGCATGCAACGACGGTGCCAGCTTTAATACAGCGGAAGTAAGTATGAGACACCAAGGGAGAAGAATTGCCAGCCAACAGTTTGGACTTTGTCGTAGAACGACCTGAAAGCAGGGTTGCCAAATCTTGATGCCTTGTTCTCAACTGGGGGAGTCTCGTGAGCTAGCTGCTCTACTCGATCCAACAAGCGGAGAATGGCGTTGATCCCCTGAGCTTGCGCAAGAAGAATGTATTAGATGTATGGATGAAATTCGAGGAGGAAACGCACTAGAGATTCCGAGCATGGGTCGGTAAGCCTCACACCCACCACGGAAGCATTCAGAGCATCGATATAAGATGTGATTGTATTATAAGTAGCAGATGATTGAAATGCAGTCAACTGAACACTAGACAAGATACGCTTGCCAGGAATCTCGAAGGCTATCGACATCGTAGTACCAAGTCAAGGAAGATCCCATAATGTCGGATTTACCCGACAATTACGTAACAAGGATGGTATAGGCTTGTTGAAGGACAGCGGGGAAACTGACATTTTACCACCTTTGCCGCCAGTGGAATTACATTCGAAAGGTAAACTAGAGTGCTCTGGAACACTCTAGGATATGTCTGGAATGCCCTAGCCAGGTCTAGATCTGCTTTTGATTGAAATCTTGCAAGAGGCAAAATGTTGAAACCCCCGATCAGTGTAACAGTAACAAGTCATGGTGCTTAAGCTTGAGCTTGTGTATCCTTATAGCCACTCGAAAGCCGGACATATCGCGCACTTATGACGAGTGACGCGGACGTAGCACGTTCAAGCGGTCATTATAATATGGACGCCACAGCAAGATAGGGACATACAGTGGACGACAACTGTTGTCTTGCAAACCCAGAATCTTGATATTGGGAAGGAACACGTTGACAAATAACCAATACTTCAAACAACGCGGCGATTCAATTCTACCGCAGAAGCTATTCGTGCTTCTATCAATTGAAGAGAAGAGCACTGCCGGACTTGACGATTTAGTATCTCTTTAAGTATCATGGCGGCCCCGATCTACAATGATGGGGTTGAGCCTTTGGAACTACCAAGGCAGGGTTGAGGTGAGCAGGGAGTGCAATCATAGGGCGGTCGTCTGTGAATACCGAAGCGGGCGTTAACAAGAGAAAAAGGTTGTACAGTGCGGATAAGGTCACTACGTACATGGAACGCGGTTGACTTAATTACCCGACCGGAGGTGAAAATCACGCCGCATATGTAGTGCCACTCAAAAGTGACGATGAACACTATATATATGTATCTGATGAGAAATGGAGGTGTATATAGGACTCACCTGGATCATTGCGAGTGCCATAGTGACAGGGCCACGAGGAAACTGAGGAACGTGGATGCAGCGATGACCGCCTATCCCTGAATTTCACCGATGTTCCTTCCGAGGAAGGTTCCTATGGAAAATAGCAATCAAGGTATTAACTACATATAGTCTGCTTGAAAAATCCAAGTCCTGGAAGCTTTTATGGGGATTTAGGCAGGAATCTTGTCGGCCGTAATCTTCTTTTGACCTTGCACCAAGCTCGTGACACATCTTACCAGCAAGAAAATATATAGGCGCTCTGCGAGAGGGGAAACAGGGGATGTCTTGCTATGGCCGCCCTAGTCCTGAATAGATCTCCATCAGATGGAGTATGTTAGACGTTTTCAGTATGAAAATTTACCACATTGGCATAAGTGTATCTTGAAGAGGCACCGAAGGGATGGTTGGTCATGAGCAGCGCCAATACCAATTATCAAGAACTGATAACGTGAGATCCCTCTGGCAGAAAAGGTCATCGATGGGCTTGCTCTGGCCTGGGGGTGACATGGATTTCAAGCAGGTACATATTCTGTTTCGTAGCAGGAAGTCATGGTTGGAATTCGGATTGGATGTCTCGAATCATGGTATACTTATTGATACGAAATATGAATGTATTGTGCCTGTTGGCGACGAAAAAGTTAGGCTGAAGGTGATTGGGCCAGGTAAAACTGAAGCCAAGCAGTACCGCAGTTTCAACGATAGAGAACATCGGAGATTACCAACTTTGAGGTATAGAGGGAAATTACAAATGGTGCTTACGCATCACGGAGCAGAGTGTATTCAAAAGCGTCAAGTGAATACTTCGCCCAGGCGTGACAGCAAAGCTGCCATGGTCGTGGGGCGTTATGACAAGACTCGTTCAGACCTGTCATCAAGATCTATTATCATTAGCGTGTTGAAACCAGTCATGGAAAGTAAAAGTATACCTTAAACAACCTCAATTCCCGGTACATACCGCCGTGCAGGAGACCACACGCAGTTCTTACGGTGGCATGGCGATTCATATTTTTGTTGCGATTCAAAAATTGTAATCTTGGTCGAGAGCTCTTGGCGACACATGATAATATCCGCCGTTCTTCAGGTGTTTCAACAAGTCGTGACTGTAATAGTTATGATTAGTTGCGGGAGTAGCATCTAAGTCACTTGAAAGTTGATGCAAAATGTGCACCGGAGTTGGCCGAGGCCGCCATAATCCTTCGCAGTCAACTCCGCCCGCGGAGTAGCGGCATCCTTGACGACTGACTCGAACTTGACATCAACAATAATGACCGCGGCCGCCACATATGTGGTCACGGAAGAACACGGTAGCATCACTGCCAGTTATCAGAGACATTCAGCCAATTCATTCAAGTTCTCACCGAAGGTCGGCTCCGGGTCAACCTACGAAGGTTAAACTTCTTCTTAGGTTGTGCGGTCGCCAACAAGTTGAACAAAGCGGCGGCCAAGTACTCTGTAGATGGCCAAATGAACATCACATCCCCCTGCCAGGAACTTCGTGTCAGAATCGAATTAATGGACCACATTACTGCGATTTGCCATGGCACGGCCCAGCTGGGCAGCTTGCTCACACACGGTTGTTTGTCAGTATCGGGTTTCCGCATCGAATGTGTACCTCGATTTCTCAAATATTACCATTGAAAGCCCTGAATCTGAAATTGGGCCAGCTCAATGGTATGGGGAACATCCCGGGTGTGCATGTGAGAGCTTATCGGCCCTTGTACGGCATACCTGCAACAGCAGGTACGTTTTCCCGCCCGTGGTTAATTCTTTGTAAGTCACAATTTGTTATCAGTTGGCACACCTTGACAGCGTTCAAGAATCACAGTGCCGTTGTTTAAGTTCCTGTGCCGGCAAAGTCAGGACCCGGCGGACGAATCTCGAGGGATGTTTCACGACCTGTGTCTACTTTGCAAGCTTGTTCGTGGGATTCTCTGATATCGATATCACAGAACCGTGATTTGCTTTCCGTACTTTGGACCCTAATCAGCGTCTTGAAGCCGGTGCTTGTATGTCTATTTTGATAATGCTTATACAAACCTACGTCCCCCCTTTTGTGTCCACAAGGGATCACTCGTGCGGTCACAAATTGGGGTGCGTGCGATATGCTCGGCGATCACTTATTACTAGACAAGAAAGCACGAGATCATCCATTTTGCGCTCCTCAGTCTCACTTACTGCATGTCGACTTGCAGGCAGGCTGAACTACCATGGCGTTGACAATCCCGAAGGCTGAGCTCATCGGTGTTTTTCTGGAGTCATTGGCATATGGTTTTGTCATCCCATATCTACATGTGTCCCCTGCTGATCTTTGCCTAGGTGCATATCTGATGGTGTTTAACCAGTGCATGTTTGTACTAAGGAAAAGACGTTCTCGACCAAGTGATTACTTGCTTGGCACTGCAGTATCGCTGTTCATCCTCATCACGGCCGTACGAGTCTTCTCAATTCAACACTGTGCACGCATCTTATGGGCAACTCTCTAGCACCTTGTCATCGACATCCTGCGCAACATGCAGGCTTTCACTTCAGACGAGGCAGAGCCAAATTATCCAACTACATATTATGGCACATTCGACACTTGGCAAAACATTCTCAAGAGTGCCCTGTATGTCGCTGTCACACTGGTGTCCGACGCATTCATTGTACGCATGCTAATCTTGTCATTATTCAAATCTGAGTGTTTCTGCAGTTATATCGCTCCTTCATTCTATGGGGTAGGAATTACCTCATCATCACCTTCCCTTTCTTGTTATTCATCGCGGACATTGGTTTGTTTCCTTCTGCCGTCCCACTGTTGCGGCTGACACTTAATCTAGCTATCGGTGTTTTCTGGGTATACACTCTGAGTCTTGTCACTCCGAATGAAAATGTTTTCGCCGATGCCCTCTCCGTCCGCGTTAAGACATTCTACTCAATCACTCTGGCCATGAATGTCACTTGCACATGTTTGTCTTTCACTGTACATTCGGGCTCGAACTGAATTCACATTTCAGTGCTGATTGCCTTCAAGATTTTGAAGATCCAAAAAGCAGTTGCACCCTTTTCTAAGAGTACCGAGGACCAAATCTCTCGTTTAGTGCCCATCATAGTTGAATCTGGTAAAAGTTCTAGCAATACCTGCTCTGATGTCTGTTCATGCACCGATAGGTTCTGCGTACTCAGCCTTGCTCATTGTTATGATTGGAACATATACTTCTAAATCACCGGCCATGTTCATCATCTTGAATTCAGTAAGTCTCGCCATTTTTTCCGCAAAGACTTGATTAACGCCAGATCAATCAAGATGTCGCCAATCATCGTGAGTTTCTGTGTATTTTAGTTTCCAAATCTGCTCACCCTACGTCAAACACAGGGCATTGTGGTATGATTCTCTCCGACTGTTTCTCAGCCCTTTCTCACGTGCACCGTTCCTCCAGTTTTCTTCCGTAATCGTCCGCGTCGGTCTTGGTCTATCACATGGCGATTCCCATCGCTTCAATGGCACAACGTCTTCCTCGCGGAACATCCGGTGGATGACGCGCGCGAGTTCCAGGCCCCCCAATAGCGAACAGCCGGTCTATTCTGCGCCATTCCCGGATGGGGGTGTTCAGGTCTCATTGCAGCAAAGTGTACACACTCATACCGACGGCTTCCCAGATGACGTTGAGAATGACATCTCAAGCGCACATACGGTGTATAAATCCGGCACTTTCCATGCTATATAAAACAACGTGAGTCTGCCATCTGTTCATTGCCACGTTTTTAATCTAGTTCAAGAATGCAGTAGGAATGATGTCTGTCTGTTAAACTGGGGCGTAGTTTATAGATAGCTTCGATCCACGCGTGTGGTCCTAGGCTTAGCGAGACATTGGATACCATGGTTGAACCTTGAACCCAGCATCCCCGGTTCTCCGAGGGTGAGGGCTTTGCGGGCACTCCTGCATACATTATACCCGTGCACGTGAGACAGTGAGACCATGCGAATACGAATTCCTAAATAGTGGTCTTCCTTGTTATTTGGTTGAATCAGATGGTTTCCGTTGAGTCCGTAAAGGTGATTGAAGAGGCCTGGGTTGTAATTGGGTCTGGAATCTGATCCAATCACGCAGATTTCATCACGTCTTCTGATCAAAACGATCAATCACCCTCGCGGAGACTTGGAGACCAGGGTTTGTTCTTTGGACCAACTTTAGACTCACTACTACCCCGCCTAATGGTTCTCCCCGAAGGAAGTAGTGGAAATCATGGTGTGCGGCTCCCTGGGGCCCCTAACGCCTCGGGATGTTTGAATTACATCCACAGTTCCTGTGTCCATGTGCTACTGATATAAAATCGATCGCTCCTGCAATTTCGTATTCTGTGACAGCCGAGGCACGAGGCTGTCACAGAAATTAGTCTATGCGTGAGTTTAGTAAGGTGGCGCCACCCACCTCATCCCAAACCACCTAGGAAGGTGTTTCTCCTAGTCAATACATCAGTAATAGTCACTCCTTTAGTCCTCTTTATCTCTCCTGCTTTATTCGCAATCCACTGTCGTTACTATGCCTCGCCGAGCAGATGATCCCAATCTAGCTGTCGCTCCCAATTTCCAATCACCCGAATATGCAGAAGCGCGAGCCCAAATCACCAGTGACGCAGTCGACGACCAACAAGCGGCTACAATTCTAGCCAATCTCTGGCGCATCCAAAACGACGCAGACAAGCGCAATTGGGCGGCTAGACTAGAAGCTGAAGCACAAGAAGCAGAAGCAGAGCGCAGGGAGGCAGCCGAAGAAGAAGCCCAGCGCCAACTAACTCTGAAAGCTGAACAGGAAGCCGCTATCCAGGAAGAGCGCAAGAAGAACAAGGCCAAATACGCCCCGATCAAGGACGTAGAAGTTCCTTCTGACCCCATCATCCTCCCCTGCCAATACGCCATACGAAAAATGAAGTCCGGCGAGTACTGCGAATTATTCTACTTCACTAACAACGGCTTGGAGGAAGCATCCAGATCTACCTTCACAGCGGATGAAGACGCCCTCGTCATGATGCCTACCTCAGACGGTCTACACAAATGGATCCCCGCCAGCGCCGCCAGAGACCCCAAAGCACAAGTCATCAAAGATGAAAATCTGACTTGGGAACAGTTCAATGAATCCGCCCCACGCATGATCACCCTCATGAAGGAGAACGACTGGCCTGACGACAGAATCAACATGCACATATCCTTCTGGTCCGCGCTACAGAACCACAGATGGCGCCACGATTTCGATGCCCACAAGCAGCGTGCACTGCTACTTTACCAAGCGCAGCAACGTAGACGCTGGCACCTAGCCGCAGGTAGCTCCAACAGCTGGAGCCTAGCCAAGATCAACCAGGACCTTCTGCTCGAAGCCAGGGAAACTATCTTCAACCAGTTTAGGACACAGCAACTATTGGTCCAGGTGTGTTCTTTCGTTGTATTAATCGTTTAGTACAGCGCTAAAATTCGATCCGATTGCTCTTTTCCTCATTCCCCCTACGCACGCTCTATCTGGCATCATGTCCAAACGACCGGGTTCCAACGACGGACATCACGATCCGTCACCCGGTCAACGTCTCTCCACATTCGGACAACGCGCTCCGAACCCACCCTTATGGCCATCGTGGCTACGAACACCATTCTCCCCACCCAACGTATCTCTCGGCCACCGCGTGCCTCATCCTCAGTCCCGCGCAGCAGCCGCGCCAGGACATAGCAGAGTACAGCATCAGCACACACGCGCTGCGAGTTCACACAAGCGCTCACCCCCCTCGTCGCCTGATGAGAAGCCCCACAAGAAACAGAAAACGTTTCGGGACCCCACTGCCCCCCTTCCTTGCTGCTCGGTCTGTCTCGGCCGCAACCCGCACAGAACCATTGACTGCGCTGCGTCTCGCACGTGGGACGCTAAGCACGACACAATCGCCGAACGAATCCACAAAGCCCTCTGGACTAAAGACGGCAAGCAACTGTGCACTGCCTGGCAACGAGAAGAAGGCTGCGACAGCAACAAACACGACGCTCGACACGTCTGTTCAGGGTGCGGAGCAGTCACTCACGGCGCTCAGCGCTGCCCTAGAGCGCAGAAAGCTTAACCCCATCACGCCCTACAAGGCAGACACATGGGACAAGGAACTACGCCGTTTCCGTCTCTCTGCTCGCTTCCCCAAGATAACAGAAGGTTTCCGCCTTGGTTTTAAATTAAACTTTCCTACTATAATTTCTACGCAAACCCCACCTAACAAGCAATCCATATCTACATACAGAGAACAATTTGACTCCAGCTTACAGAAAGAAATCCAATCTTCCCGCTACATAGGCCCCTTCTCCGCTATCTCACTCTCCCACCTTATAGGTCCTTTTCAATCCTCCCCCCTCTCCATCATCCCAAAGCCAGACAAACCAGGAAAATTTAGACTCATACAGAATTTCTCATTCCCGCATTCCACAGACACTCATTTCCCCAATCCCTCCATCAACTCTCACATTAATGCTAGTGACTTCCCCACAACATGGGGCAAATTTTCAATTATTTATCTACTAATTTCGAGGCTCCCCCCAGGTTCGGAAGCCGCGACACGCGACGTCGCAGAGGCCTACCGAACCATACCCCTCCACCCATCTCAATGGCCCTCAGCCGTCGTCCGAACATCGGACACAGATTTCTACGTAGACACTTGCACGGCGTTCGGCGCCACACCATCAGCAGGCGCCTATGGCTATGTGGCAGACGCCGGCGCCGAAATATTTCGTCACCGAGGCCTTGGACCCCTGGATAAATGGGTCGACGACCACATCTTTTTCAGGGTCCGGAGGGAATTCCTAAGTGAGTATAATCGAGATCGCGCTAAGTGGCATAAGGACTTAGTCACACGAGGCCCACACCAAACGGGCAGCAGACTGTGGTTTGGCGGGCGCGTATTCGATGACGGCGCCCTAGAGGAGTTCAGTGAGGACTGCTCACAACCCCTCAAAGACCTCTCCAGAAACTCACCGAGGTCCGAACACGACAGCCTTTTCAGCTGCAATCTCCAAGATATTGACGACGTTTCCCATGACCTGGGTATCATATGGCAATATGAGAAAGACCAACCTTTTGCCTCACTCACCGTTTACATCGGTTTCGCGTGGTACCTCCACCTACGCATAGTAGCACTTAGCGAGAACAAGGTGGAGAAGTACTTACGAGCGATCCACGCGTGGAGAAAGAAACCTGCCCACACGTTCCAGGAAGCCTTACAACTCTACGGTAAATTAATGCACGCTTGCTCGGCAATCTTTCGAGGCAGGGCGTACCTGACGAGCCTCGAGCGCACACTCGCCATTTGCCGTGGGAAACCCCTCATCCCGCATCGACCCGACAACGAACTCGAAGCGGACTTAAACTGGTGGACAGACCACCTTCAAGCAGGCAAAGTCGCTCGTCCCATATACCCACCAACCCCCTTCACTATTCCGTCGGCGTATTCAGACGCGAGCTCAGGGATAGGGATAGGTATAGTGATAGGCGAACGCTGGCGCGCGTGGAGACTAGTCCCAGGGTGGAAAATAGCCAACAATGGGAGGAGAGATATTGGATGGGCAGAGGCAGTGGGGTTCGAGCTCTTGGTGCGTACAATCGCCGCTCTCCCTAGCCTTGGCAACAATGTCATCGTCTACGGCGACAACACCGGAGTGGTCGAAGGATGGTGGAAAGGCCGTCACCGAAACAAAGCCGTCAACGACGTCTTTCGACGCATCCACGACCTCATTCTCTCTGTACCCCGACGTTTCGAAATCCGCACAGAATACGTCCCAAGCGAATCGAACCCAGTAGATGATCCCTCTAGAGGGATACTCGGCCCAGAGCACCTTCTACTCCCTGAAGTACCTATCCCCAGTCAACTCAAAGACTTCATCGTCGACGCTACGCTCCCTCTTACCCCCACAGAGCTCCGCCTACTCCGCGACGGGCAGTACTCCCTTCCCGCCGCCAAACTCATCAATCGCATTCTCGTCCGCCAGCAAGCCATTGAGAGAGCAAGAGCCTCCTGCGAAGAAGAAGATCAGATTATCCTCCAGTCCCTCGCACACGACGACTCAACGCACGCGCTTTAGTGCCCCCCTCCCATCCTCCCTCCCAACCAGTCCAAACCCCCCCTACCCCAGAAGTATAAACAGGGACTCGCCCCTTTACCCTCCCCCTTAAGACCCCACTGCTTAGCTCGCGAAAGACTGCACAAATGGACCCCAGCAGGAGCCAACACGCGCCTTCCAACCAACAGCCACACAGAAGCCCACATATCAGAAGAACAACTAGACCGCATCCTACAAGTCATGGGGTCTTCGTGGGCACAATCCACGAAGGAGACCTATGGGGCGGGACTACTAGTATTCCACGTATATTGTGATTCGCAGAAGATACCGGAAACTCAGCGCTGCCCAGTTTCCCCCACCATCCTTCTATCCTTCCTAGCAAGCTGTGCAGGCTCCTACTCAGGCACTGCGCTCGCCAACTATACCGCAGGCTTGAAAGCCTGGCACCTGCTCCACGGGCGCCCCTGGATCGTCAACGCGAAGGAACTCAAAGCAGTCCTAGACGGCGCCACAGCGCTAGCACCAGAATCATCCAAATGTTCAAAGCGAGAACCGTTTACCGTAAATATCCTTTCCACCATACGCACCTTCCTTAATTTAGACGACCATCGAGACGCCGCTATCTTCGCCTGCATCACCACAACCTTCTACGCCATCGCGAGGTTGGGAGAATTCACCGTCCCTACGATAAAGTCGTTCGACCCGGTGAAACACATATCACGCTGCCACGTTTCCACCACAGTAGACCGCAATGGTCTCCCAGTCACCAAGTTCCACTTACCAACCACGAAAGCATCTCCAGTCACCGGAGAAGATGCTTTCTGGTCAGCACAAGAAGGACCATCGGATCCGCAGACAGCGTTAGAGAACCATCTCCGCATCAACCCCGCTAGCGAGCTAACGCACTTATTCGCCTGGAAACATCCCAAAGGAATGAGACCTCTCTCCAAAAGAGAGGTGACGAAGAGACTCGCGTCTGTCGCCCAAACAGCCAGCCTCCCCGATCTCAAAGGGCACGGCTTGAGAATTGGGGGCACGCTAGAATACCTGCTGAGGGGGGTCCCATTTGACGTCGTCAAGTCCATGGGGAGATGGTCCAGTGACGCCTTCACTATCTACCTCAGAGATCACGCAGTCGTCATCGCGCCTTATATCCAAGCTCTAACTCCAGCGCTCGAGCCGTTATCTCGCCCGTCAATGCCTCCAGTACGACGGTAAACGCCTCGGGTGAGTACAGCTCCTATCATCTAAGGGTGTCAATGCTTCGCAGTTAGCGTCGCTACCCTCCTACGAATTATGGGATCACAGCTAACCATCAAAACCCTTAGGTTCGAACGCATGCGCCGGGCCGAAAAGCCCTTGCGGGCTTTTACCCAAACGCATCACAAAAATTACTCAGCCCAGACATGACTATGTATGGTCATGTCTGCGGTATCTATACTGTCGAATGTATCGGCTGCCGGACCCAGTATGTATTGTCATCCTAGGGAACGCGAAGTTCGATCAAGATGGGCATCTACAACATACTTCAGCTTACGACTTTGTTCATCGTGTAGATAGTTCAGATATTGTGTATCACTCAGATATATCCATGCAATGCGATGTATTTTCAATCTATACGATGCCACAAGAACATGTTATACACTGTAATGTACGAAAACGTGAGTCAAAGTAGTGAGTCCGATCAACTATCAGGCGGGCTCCGGATGTAAGGCATGCGTCGTGAAGATAAAACGAAACAAAGAGTCAGAGAACCATGGCGAAAGCGTGAAAGCACGAAAACTGAGTGGAATGGAAATGTGAATGAGTCCTGTGATAAGATATGAGTACTAGGCCAATAAGACGACAGGAACGTACCATGCAACAAAAATATTCACCCGTCTACCTCCTGCGTGTTTGCTTCCTTGCACGTTTTGCCGGCCGAATGAGGCACAGTCCAATTGAAAATGCGGTGATTCAAGAAACGGTCGCTGAGTCCAGAGCGATGGAGTCTTCGAACCTTTAAGCGTGTTGCGTCGTCCGAACGTGTTCCGCTGATGACTGTATATCAGTACACAGTATATGCGCATATATGCAGCATATAAGCTGATATACTCACATTTCCAGTGCCTACCAAGAAGCCGACCGGTTTTGTATTCCGTCCATGCCAAGGTGATGATAGCATGAAACCGAACCATGGTCTGGTCCAACAAAATCGTCGAACCCAGAACTGTACCCTTGCAAACAGTTCGGAACGGTCAGGTTCAGTTTTTTTGGGGTTCGAACTCGAACCGAAAAATTCCAGCTATGAGTTGTTCTACGTAGATGCGGGCGTGGCTACGGACTATTCGTGGCGAGAGCCTGTAGTCAGGTGCTGAGAGGGCGGAGGTGGGAGGAGGTCATACCCTCCGGCGAAGGGTTGGTAGAGCATTAGTGAGGCGGGGGTGAAAGAAGGCGAGGGGAGCATGCCTGTAGGGGAGCAGAACAAAGACGAGATCGCCATGCAAACAGAGGCGTGACTCTGATGATATGCTCGAAGTAGACCAACGTTAAAAGAATGACAGGTCCGACGGTAAGGAGGACGATGTTCATGATCCACAGAGTTTGGAGTGTGAACACGATCATTATAGCACCAAAGACTGATAAGATAATTGTAGATGCCACCAGGTGGGATAGCAATGAAAGAAATCACGGTCGAAATACACCGACTCACTTCGCGTCGCCAGTGATGACATTTGCGTGCAGACGAGAAGTACTTCATGGTGCCAGAGGAGCGCGAGAAGTCGCTCGGAAAAGTAGTGACCGTCTTGAGGATTCCAGTCAGCAAAGTAATACAGCACATGTCGCTTTGAATTGCTCACCCTCCCGCTGGCTTCAAGGTTCAAGAAAGTATCAGTGACATTGGCCCACGGATGCTCCATGAAACTGACGAACCAGATTAGTAAGTGCAAGGCAAAGAAAAAGCAGAATTGTAGCGTACACATGCGCTCCATTTAAGTGGGAATTGCAGCACCACAATTCACAGCCAGGACGTGTTTCTAGCGATGGCAGGGAAGAAGTGGGGACAGTCGAGCGAGGAGCGCAAACACTCCACGTACTTCCAAAAACGACTTGACACTGAGCAAAGAGAGTTGTCAGTGAGACCCGTACCCGTGAAGGGAAGATAGTGGAAGCAATGCGCATATACTCACCTTCAGGCAACTCTAACCCGCACCTGTACCCGTGACTCGTGGCGGGTTACCCATACCATGCCTGATCATGAGCCTATGCAGAAACTCAAAATGGGGGGGGGGGGGGGGGGGGGGTAGTGGAAGCAGTGCGCATATACTCACCTTCAGGTAATAAATGCGGATATACTCTGTGCAGAGATATACCAGTGTTACCTTGAACGGAGATTCAGGTTATGAACTACAAACAGTAGCCACGAGGGAGATGGTGGTGGTTGTGGGAAGAGAAATGGGTAAGTGGAGAAGAGAGGCCTGGTTGGGGAGCTGGTCGAGTTCAACCTGTTGGAGCCTTACATAAAACAACCCCAACATTTTGCGCGGAAGTGACAAAGCGGACCAAACAAAGGACTTGGAGGAAACTGAGTGTGCGTAGATCTTATCGACAATATTAATGTATTGCATCTATCATGTAGATACAAACACATCGCAGACGCACGTCATTGTGATATGTCTACATCAGGTCGGGATGTCGCCGACATGACCCGACAAGCGCTGTGGCGCACCATGGTCTAAATCGGGTAATATCTCAGTTGAGCAATTTTTGTGATGACTCGTCTCGCAAATACCCGTACTTAGTTTCATTCGTCAAACTGTGTATTTCGCCCTACGTGCTAAATTACATCTCTGTCGTTGCTTCATTCTCCCAACTGAAGTCCACCACACATCGAAAGCATAGAACTTGTACGAGATCGTCTAGCGCATCTCGCTTAGCGCGAGGGATTCGTACCCATCAAGTATTCCACCAGGTCTCGGGCATCTGACATTTTTGAAGCTTGACGAGCGGTAGTTTACTGAGGACTTTGCTGAAGATCAGGGCGATGGTCGCCGCAGATAGACAGGTGATCCAATCAACAGTATTCTTGTTGCAAGAAGAACCCCGATGATTCTCCCTTCGAAAATTGGGTAAACGGTGTCGTCTTGATCAGTCCTGTCGTCGTATCTATGATTCAAATTTGGCTGTTTCACACTCAACGCATCACAAATGACGCTTTCAACTCTCATGGATTCACAATCCATTCGCCGCTGCAGCGCAGGATCAATCTCGGGCAGTCATTAGTATGTACCTTAATATTTGCATCGAGTAGTACCACTGACGAATTAGAGGGATCCGAGTCTGGGGCTACGTACATGCCTGACTGAATGAAGTGATCGGTCAATTACTGCATGCCCGCAAATTCTAGGACCTACATACAACAGCAACGTTCAACTCCTATGCCACGTAATATCGATTGCGCTGCCATCTGATTACGAATGGAGTGCAACGGAGCTCCCCATCGCGCTTGTATCAGCTTTTCGGGCCATGCAAGCACTGTTCACACTCTTTGAAGAATGAAATCAGCGGAAATGAAGCAATTGTTTCGTGGGGTTGTCGGGGAAGCAATCATCAGCGTTGTCGTAATCGAGTTGCACGAGGTAGTCCGCTGATCTTTGAACGCAAAGCGGCCGAATTGATCAAGGTTCACTCAGCAGCTCAGGATGTTCTGTAGGTCGAAACGATGATAGATCAATTTGGTAAACTTGAAGACAATAGTCAACCAGCTGGTCGTCGCTGACAACCGTTGTCATCATTCTATTAGGTCTGGCTACGGGAGACTAATCTTCCTTCTATCTGGTCTGCACAAGACTATCACACTACCTAGCCTGAGAGGTACTGAGAATACAAAGGTGAGGATTATGTCCTACGTCCCAGTAATTTGTGTATGAAGCGACTCAAACGCGACTTCCAGCTTTCATCTCCGTTGACTTCTGTGGGTCGACGTGTGATTGGGCCAGGACTGAGTGTTAACTCGGTCCGGACACTGGTGATATTTCCACTGGGGGAATTCCTTCGTAGCCCGGCGATGTGGCCAGATACTTATCTGAACTGAACAATGCCCGGTTGATCGAGCCAGTGCTAAGCATCAGTCTCGTATGGAACTGTACGTATTCGTCTGATGTTCTTCTTGACTCATTTGTTGTAATTCTTAGCATATATGGCTGCGTAACTGCGAGTATTCAGTCAGCCAGATGCCATCACCGAAAAAGTTGGTTCCTTGCTAGCTCATAACAATCACAATGTAATGCATATGTTTGCAAGTCGCTCGGCGTCGATCAAGTGACGACGTGGTAACAACACCATGCTATATACATCATGACGTACATACTGACATCGTTGTTTATTGATTCCTCGTAATATCAGCGCGGCAAGCAAACAGGTGGAACTGTCGAATCCTGTCGACTGGAATTGGAAGCGGTTGTCGATATCGCAACTTGGAGGCCTAGATCGAGGGGTGGGTGGTTTTATGACGTTAAACTTTTACCCTATCATTTTCCTTCGTTTGGTCCTTCTAGGGAGAACTACTTTTGCCCGGCTGAAAATCGCCTGCGGGCGAATTTTTATGAACCATTAGCCGTTCATGCGAGCCTCGAGCCCCACACAAAATTGGTCAAGCACACGGTCCGCACCACTTGACTCCATCTCACCGTAGTTATTGTATTCTTATCAGAAAATAATATCTAGGCACAACCATTGTTTCACGATATGGCAGTTGCGTAGGACGCACCATGTACCCCTGAAGCGGCTTGGTTCGTACCGAACATCCGGATTCAATAGGCTACCTTGTTGCCAGTTGTGACATCACAAGGCACGACTAATAGCGTCGGACGACGACCCTTGGAAGCCCTTAGATCAGCCTTTCAAAATGTGTAACGAATGATTCGGTTCCCCTCAGGAGTACCGGCCCGCGCGAACGTGTACTCGAGAACTGGCTGTCCTCAGAAAGTCGTTTCGATGATATTAATGATCCGTGGGCGATATATCCAGTTCTACGGTTCCATGACTCTCGGCGGGTTGGCTTGAAAAGCTTTAACTAGAACTTCAGAAGAACTTCTAATACGCATACGAAAACGAGCGAATGCAAATATATGACTAACCTCACGATGTGACCGGGTTTTTGGCAACTTGGAGTTAGTTTGAGAGGGGATTTGCGGGGAAATCCTGCTGCGAGCACGCATCAGTTTAAATTTGTCATTCTGTTGTTTTCCTCATCCCGATCATGGGTGAAAAAAATAGATTGAGTTGCTGCCTTGCGTTAACCGCTTTTCCTCACCGATGGGGCCGCAGATCACAGGGTGGCATCCTGTATTGACTCAGAAGCAGCCATCTAGCTCCACATGTGGTCTCGTCGCCTACACGTGCAACCCCGAGTCGGATGATAATGCCAGCGATATCTGTGTTCGTTAGGACAGGATCCGGCACTAATGCTCATCCCTCTTCGTTTCCTCATAAACACCGAAGGGAAATCGTTCACCGAGGTTCGTCCCCTCATTTACTGTTGCCAGAAGTGCCACGCACTCGTGATATGACCAGGCCCGCAGCCGAATAACAAGCCCTAGACCTACCAACACCGTAACGAAGACCCACCGATTCCTAATGGAATGATGCGGCTAGTATGCGTATCGTGACGCATGGCTCGATCAACGTCATGCTAAACCTTGGTTGAATTTAAGTTAAATCACGAGCCCTTTACCAACTTCATCATGTCGGTCGAGTTTGCCCATTACAGTGCGAGATTAAAAACGTACCAGAATGAAATCAGCACCATTTTCTGCGGTGCACACATGATCTGGCACTACCGCTGAGGGCTGCTAGCCCGGCTGTAGCCGTTTGGCTATCAGTGTTAAACTCTTCGGCATCAGCTTGTGATACTTGAGCAGAGCCTTTTCGAATGGGAACAGTGAACGCGCGCGCAATATGATCACAGGTGGTAGTCGTGGCGGTCTCCTGTCACAAACAACAACGTATGAGCATCATCCTAATCATCCGGAAGACACGGCCCGTCGGCAAAATAGGGAATGCGCTTGATGGGCCGCAAATTATCAGGACACCATTGTATCGGTTGTTACCCATGCGTCCCAGAACTCACTCAATTTTGCCTCAACAGATTTTGTTGCGCTTAAACTATAGAATTATGAATTTGAATCGATGAAATTGGTGGAGAAACGGCTGAGATCTTAATGCGTGACAGAGTTTAAAGTCACGTCTTTTTATCACGCTTGCCGCCACCGAGTTAACATGATCGGCGGTCGGGCCTGAGGGAAGATAGGCTATCTTTGGGGGCTGGTCAACGCTCACCATAGTACTAACATAGGCAGGCACTCGCGGCCAACCCAAAGCGCTGGAGAATTAAATATGACCTAGCCCTTTGATATCTACCTGGAACGCACTATCTCATGACCGAGTCCGAAAAGTGATAAAGCTTATCCTTATGTTGACACAGCGAGATGCCTTAACGCAATTGGCCCTATGATGCATATTGCAGGTGCTTCTCAGATATGTACATAGATTTTACAACTTCTCGTCGTGAGAACGGCGGCGGTGGCGGCGGTCTCTGTTCTAACGACCCATCCAGCCCTGATAACGACGTATGAGTGGGTTCTGATGCCAAGTTGCAGAATGTACATACACCATCGACAACCAACAATTCGCCGCAGACATATTGACTTGCGCTGCTGGCAAGGAACACAGCCGGACCAGCAAAGTCTTCAGGACTACCCCACCTCCCCGCGGGTATCCGCTCCGATATCTGTCTGAAACGTGTGGGGTCCGCTAGTAGCCTTTCGTTCCTAGAGGCATATCAGAAGGCGGTCAGACTCAACAGGAGAAGACAAGTAGACGCCCAAGAGCCGAATGATAAGAGAAGAGATCGAGAGAAGATAGGAAAAAGTGCGAAATGAAAGCTCAGCCGGCGGGAAGATGTTGACGGTGCCATACCATCACGTCACGGGTTCGAACAAGAGGGGTAAATTCATGAAGACGCCCAAGCGATAACAATAAAAGATCCACGTACATATCTGTGGCGATATACCCTGGGCAAATGCCGTTTACTTGGACGTTATGCTGGCTCCATTCATTACTGAGAGCCTTGGTCAGTTGGCCGAGCGCGCCCTTGGCGGCGGCGTAAGCCGGGACGGTCAAGCCGCCTTGGAATGTCAGCAGGGAACAGAAATTTATAATTTTTCCCCTCCTAAGCGGAACCATATGCTGGCCCGCTGCTTGGGATAAAAGCCACACAGATTTGAGGTTCACATCGAGAACCTAGGAGTGGAGCATTGAGAATTTGATGGCACAAAGGTTAAACAAAACACGAGTGGACAACCTACATCATCCCAGTCCTTCTCCGAGAAATCGACACACGGCGATCTCCGCTGTATTCCAGCACAATTGACCAGGATATGAATATTGCCGCCCATGAGCTCTAATGCCTTGGGGAACAGTTCCCTGACAGAATTCAAGTCGCCCAAGTCGCAATGAACGACTTGCGCGTTCGCGCCCGACGCACGAATGGCATTCACTGTGTCCATATTTGGCTCTGTATCCGGAGAGGGATGCCGTTGAACAACACATATTGAGGCACCCGCTTGAGCTAAAGCCAGTGCACAGGCAGCACCTATGCCTAACGTTAGGTTTCACCAAGAAGTCAATTAGTTGAAAATAAGTTATGAGCGAGGAACAATTACCTCTGGTAGCTCCAGTAATGAGGACATTCTGGCCTGCGAGAGAAAAGAGTTGTGGAGATGGAACAGAGGGGGTTGGATCCATTTCGAGAAAGATTCACATGTATTGGAGACTCGCCTGGATCTTTATATTCTTGCGAGGCGTGACATTTTATTGGCCGAGATTTGATTTTACCCCGCATCGGCCCACGACCCGAACAACCGGGGGCAACCGGCAAGGGAAATTTCGATAAATTATTTTATTTTGTAAAAAATAATATATGTCACGAATATTCCCAATGTGGCCATATACAGTCATAAAAGGCAATTGTCACATGTGACGCTGTGTTATTGATTCACATTTTGCAAATACGGATGCGGTTAGCCGGACCGAAGGGATCTTTCCCAATGTGGTTGAATGATAAGTTTGTATTGTATCAAGATGAAGTTCTCCCTCACGAGACTGCTCCTTCTTGCAACTTTATATTGTATATATAAGGGCACTAGTTGATACTAGGATGCACGTCCCTTAACACTTTCCTTCCACCCACCACAAATATGTCCCCTGTCGCGGTTCAGTTGCAGCGTGCTGTCGTCCTTCACGGTCCTAAGGACCTTCGTATCGAGGAACGCCCATTCTGGCCTCCGTCGCACAACCATGTACAAGTAGCGGTCCAATCGACCGGACTATGCGGCAGCGACTGTGAGTCATTTCTCCACCCCGAAAGTTTAAGCTTCGAGCAAGGTTTTCTAGTGCACTATTATTTAGAGGGTCGGAATGGTGATTTTGCACTCCAAGGACCTCTCGTCCTCGGCCATGAATCAGCAGGTGTGGTCACTGCTGTCGGTCCGGGTGTGAATAATCTTCTTCCCGGCCAACGCGTTGCAATCGAGGCCGGCATCATGTGCAAAGAGTGCAATTATTGCCAAGCTGGTCGTTACAATCTTTGTAAGGGTATGCGCTTCGCCAGCAGTGCGAAGACCTTCCCTCATCTGGACGGGACCCTACAAGACCGCATGACCCACCCGGCGCACGTTATTCACCCGTGAGCCATTTGTTTTGACGCTCCCCCATACTTTCTAACTCCACTTCAGACTTCCTGATAACTGCAGCTTCGACCAAGCCGCCTTGGCTGAGCCGCTGTCAGTTTTGATACACGCCGGTAGACGAGCCAAACTTGGCTCAGGTCAACGTGTTCTCGTGTTTGGTGTGGGCGCCATTGGTATCCTCGCTTGTGCACTAGCCAACGCATATGGTGCCTCCCGGGTTGTTGTCGTTGACATTAACCAGGCGCGACTGGACTTTGCCAAGTCCCACGGTTTCGCTTCACAAACGTACTGCTTGCCCATGGTTGATAAGGCAAAGACAACCGACGAGCAGCTTCGACGCGCAAAAGACAACGTCACGGCTGCCTTGTCCAAATTCAACGAGCCCGAGGGTTTCGACGTAGTCTTTGAATGCACGGGCGCTGAGCCCTGTATTCAGATGTCGGTCCACGTAAGTTCATAGTCTGTGCGAAGCTTCGATCGGCGCTCACTGGCGACTTTTCAGGCTGCTGTTGCGGGTGGCAAAGTCATGCTGGTTGGAATGGGGTCACGGAATGTCTTGCTTCCGCTCTCCGCGGCAGCCCTGCGTGAAGTAGACATCCACGGGTCTTTCCGTTATGCCAACACATACCCTGAAGCTCTCAAACTACTTGCTTCGGGAAAACTCCACAATATCGAAAAACTTATCACACACCGCGTTCCTCTAGAAGACACCGCTCGAGCCTTTGAATTATTGGCTCGTGGCAAAGACGAGGATGGAAACATGGTTATCAAGATTGTAATTGGGCCTTCATCATAGGTCTCGTCTATCTGTTATCTTTCATCTATATATCTAGAGGACGGACTTAGGAAGTACACGCCTTGTAGTGTGTTTCATATTTCAGCACAAGTATCTCAGATTATTCCACAGGGCATTTGTATGTTATTCACGCGCCCCACCCACAATAAACAAATGTATTCGCAGCCAATCGGTTCCACCGAGGATCTAATTGCAAGAGAGATGCTATGGTGACCCGGGGAGAAGGTGGGAAGTTGGAAGGACGTACAACCTATAGTGCCTTGAATTTGACAAACTGAAATTTTCAAAATCACATGCGATCGGCGGATACCCGTTCCAGGCTGTGCAGCGTAGAAGCGAGCACGGAACCGAAAGCCGGCGGCTTGAATTCAAACTGCAAGTTCGGTCTCAAACGCGCGGTCGGCGGTGAAAATCACTGAACACACGACGTGCCTTCTGTGAGCCTTGATCTTTATGTCAACTGAGCATCGTATCCTGTAAGTCTGTCTTCGTTACACTTATTCGGTTCGTTACACTTCGAAATTGGAAGTTGGAACGAGGGCCACTCTTCGTTTCCATTACTACCTCGCGGCAAACACTGTAATTAAATATGTCCAAGTATGATCACGATGCGGCCAATGGATCCGTCTTGTTGGTAAGAGAACTTCAGTTTTTTTTTCAGCGCGCGAGTACGAAATGTGCGCGTCTCTGTGGAATAGAGGAAACTCATGGTACTGAAGGCTGAGCGCTGAGCTAGCAAGATGGGCCCATTGAATACAACAAGGACAACTTGAAGTGACGGATAGACTTTTCCCATTGCGCTAAAACAAGCTTTGATTCTATTCTGAGGGGAAAAATGCATCCTCGAGCGGGTTGTGGCGCACGCGTCCGGACTCCGGTTCCCGTAGCGCTTGCCTCTAATCCTTTTCGAGGTCACTCTATAATGCCCCTTTTGCAAAAGCTCACCTTGACGCGGGCCGGATTTGCTGTTTGCCTGCGAGACGTATACTGGCGTCTAGTATGAAGTTAAGTTACGTCGAACAAAGACATTGACGGCAGTTGCGCACGTCAACCGTCTCTTCGAAGCACTAGTAGCCGATTTACCTCCAGCGGTCTAAGAACCTGCAAAATGGCGGGTCTCGGGTGAGGTTGTATAGGATTTTGCAATGGGTCAGGACACCCACGAAGAGCATGTGCGGCGAGAATTCGTAAGCGTGTACTATGTTGTGCATGAGTCCATAGTGATGATGAACAGAGGAATACTCATCAGAATGTCGTCAATCAGGCCTTGAATCAGCTGGAGTCTGAGCGCGCCCACTGAAGGGACAAGCCGCTATCCCACTCGAGAATTCACGTACATGCAAAGGAGTTAGTGGTAGCTGAGTTCAGCTCAAGACTTGATCACCACAATGACCACCTGCTATTGGCAGATCAGGCCCTTCCGTTGCTTTTCCTCAACAAGACGTAACGGACCGAACTATGTGGATCAAACTGCCTCAAAATTCGAAGCGAAGCGAAGACACCTCACTTCGCCAACGATGCTACTAGATCGAACACTTTGACCCACAGACAGAAGTAAAAGGTTAGAACCTCACGCAATGCACTTACCTCTATTGACACACCGCCCAAAAGCTTCCATCCGTAGGTTCATGGGAAGCGCGGGTCTTCTTCTCCCGCGATGATTGAAAGGCGCTACAAAATGCACAAGGAAAGGAAGCCGAAAGTCTGGTACAATTATCTTTTGCGGGCTTGCAGCGGAGAACATATTTGAGTTTGAGTTACTAGTCCCGTGCGCTGAGAACGCAGGAACGCGGGGGTGAATCTTCAACAACAGTTCGTGCTAATTCAAGCGCGCATAAATTCCGCCCTGGGTAACTGCTATCATTTTGGTGGTGCAAAATTCCCTTAGTTCATGCGCGCCATCAGGAGAACCGGGGCTGAGGTCGATGGGAAAAAGAAGGACATGCAACGTTGCACCACTTGAACCAATGATGTGGTTCGTGATGTACGATAGCTGGGAGAGCCATTACCCTCACATGAGCTATGATCCGTTTTATACATTTGTTGTTCCGTTCTACGGATCTGATTTCGCTGTTGCAATGAAAGATTGATGTCCATGTATGCGCCACCAAGAGAAAGGGTATGAACACATACCGTGACTATGCATCAAGGGCACGGGGCGGACTATCCACGTACTATCGATGCTATATCGGTCGCTGAGAGAAGCAGCGGAGCGGACGGATGTCGCGAGTGTGTCGCGGCGTGTGCGAAACGGGTCAGATGAGAGAATAAAGAATGTCAGATTAGTAGGGAAGAAGTTGTAGTGTTGGGCTGGCGGCTGGTCAACCGGAGTATGCCGGATCCCTGCTTGTCGAAGTAACCATGATTTCGGTTGTGCGGTTGCACACCTGAATCAAACATGTGAGTAAAATTGCTTTATCTAAACTGTTAGATGCTCACATGCGATATCATATTACATGTACATAGAGTTATCGGTTAGTCGAACCCCTGAAGCTTGTTGGCGGACATGTGCATGCGTCCTTATCTGTTACATACACCGAAGTTGTCAATAACCGAGAAAAAATCAGAAGCTGCGAGTCCGGAGAACCGCGAGTGTCTCGAGGCTGATACGAACTCTAAAACAAGGTATTCATCAAATGGGCTTACTGGTTTAACAATGATACGACGGCCTACGCGAGATCATGAAAGGTTGTGGCAGGTTGTGGCCGCAATCATGAATCGCGGTGTCTACTTATCTTGGAGTGACACGAGTCGGCAAACTTTCCCGGCCATTTCCGCCGATACCCGCTTCGACAGTGCTACTTATGCAGGCTCAGTGACCGCGGAGCACTATACTGCTCTACTTCCACTTTATCAGCCTTTGCCAAGCTGACATTTGACATGTGGACTCAGCACACCCAAGACGTGAATCGTAGCGCAGGAATGAACAGTCTGAACCCCTGCGCCTACTAGAAGTAGAGAGTATTTGATCCTCACAGGCTTCTGTCCCCGCTGCGTTCCTCTATGGTTGCAGTCATTGTCATTTGATCAACGATTAGTCAAAAGTGTCTCCGTAAGTTATGCACGACATGCATGTACATGTCCTGCTGGATAGTGATGAAAGTCTGAGTCAAGGACTGGCACTGACACTGACACATCCGTGCAGTTTAAAACTTGAATTGACAGCACTTCCTGAATTGGAGGACCATTAGTATTAGCGAGTTCCACATTATGTCCTTCGGAAGCAATGAGCATCCGGCGTTCCAATCGAGTGCACGACAAATCTACAACGGGTGCGACTCTTCCTGAAGTCACCTCTCGTTATTTGGTTACGGGCAAACCATCGTTTGTCTGTTGTGGACACTTTCACATTTGAAACATCGGTTCTTGCTCTATGTTCACATGGATGGTACAATTGTTTGTGAGCAGATACGATAGAACGTGATTGGTGCTTTCGCTCCAGATATCAAGACTCGGTGAAAGGATCCATGATTGCAGTTTATCAGTTGTTGACGTTCACAGCGGAGACTAGGACATCTACAGCCGCGAGCTGTCCCCATGGGATGAACGAAGTCGGGCCAGGACCCTCCCAGGCCGGCGAGTACCACGTAGAGCCGGAACTGCTATTTGAGGCCAGGTCAAGCAACGCGTTATACTACACAACAGAATCAGAGCGATGGACGCGAACAGTAGGGAAAGGCGTACCTGAACATCTGTATAACTCCGGATAAGAGTCCTCAAGGCAGTGTTACCAGTGTTGCAGCTCCAGGCCTCAGCTAAACCGCGGATGAGTACAGCTGAGAGCACGACCCGCGTGTCAGTTGCTATAGAGTGACGAGGGAGAGAGACACACCCTTGAATCCAACGCCGTCGTTGTCTTCTGTGACGTCGGCGCCTTCCGTAATGATACCATCACTGCCCTCCCATGCAGGCGCTTTTGTCGCCGCGGCAACGACCTCCAGCATGCTACAAAGCCAATAGTGTCGTCGACGGGATGAAGTGGAGCATAAAAACTCACAGTGAAGTCCAGCTAGTGTCGCCAGTGACGAATGCAAGGACGCTCAAACCTTCAATATACTTGCCGCTGTTGTAAGTAAACATCCAACTCGATGAAGAACGCGTGCAGTCCTGAGCATTGATTGAGTCAAGGACGAGATCCCCGGAATTCATGTTAGTGGTCTTGATGAAGTTGGCAGAGAGAATTGCAGCATGAGTGTAAGTGCTATTTCTCGTCGTAGCCGCGAGGTGGGCCGAGAGACTAAAGGGGATCAGCGGTGATTAAGATTTACTTTGGTGGAGTGCAGAAGCATACGCTATATAGAGGCTTTCTCGAATCAGATGAGCGCGTTCATGGAAGAGTAATATCAAACCATACCCAGTAGTGATAGAGTTCACGCTAGCGTCGTCATTCAAAGGGCGCTGGGCACACATAGTTCAGTTTCGCCATCATCAAGTGAGCACAAGTATTTTAGTTACCCAAAAAACACCCCCCACCATGGTTTCTAGCTGGATGTCAGACGATAGCTCGGCAAACCGAGAATTAATTGACGCACCACCATCACAGGACCCCTCAATGGGGAAGTCCTTATTGGGCTGTTTTCCAGAGCTCGCATCGGATGTAGTGATAACACTTCATTTCCCACATTAGTTATACAAGGAGCGCTACCACCGGCATAAACAACTACTCACTAGTTCGAGACGTGCTGCCAAGTTGCAATGGCGTGATTTAAAAGATTGGGATTGCCATATGCGCGGTAGCCATAATAAGCTGCCGTGGCCCACCACCTGCCATAGGAAATAAGCAGGAAACCCACACAAGATATAGAGGCATACATTGCATCATCATTATACTGGCGGAAGATAAATTATGTGACACATTAATCATGCAAAATGTCACCAGGACGACACTTACCCTGCCTCGCAATACGGATCAAAGGAAAATGGTGTCCCAAACCAGGATACACGCACCCGTACTGATCGTAGTCTGCATATAAGCTGAATGCAGCATTCAAACTACCTATTACCGCTTGTTTATTTGTCGTTGATTTTGTAAAGTAGTCCAGATTAGCCATCGCGGAAAGCACGTTCGCATTTTGCCAATATCCAAGTCCTAAAGACGATGTATTATGAGTCGCAGTCAAACGTACCGGCAACAGGTACGATACTTACCGCTGAAAGAGCCTGTGTCTGTGTCAAGAACAGCAGTAAGGGTATTGACGCAGTTTTGGGCAATTGAAACACGGTCTAAAAATGAAAGGGAAGTACTAGGATCCTGTGTGCAGTAGAACGTAGTGATCAGCAACGTGCTGCAAGATAGAACAAAGTTCCACTAACACGCCACGTAGATGGCACGCTCAGGTTTTGCGCAACTGCGAAAGGAAATGCAAGTGCAAGAGCCACTAAGCTGTTGGCTAACATCGTGGATCAGAGTCAAACCTGTGGAGCAATTAAAAAGGTAAACAATATACCCGGTCATTTAGATACATCGTGATTATTCATGCACGCCAGCCAGCATAAGTGTTGCGGGCGCCTGAGTCAGGCTTCCACGCTACCGCGCCTCGGACGGTTTGCGCACAAACGCATCACGAAACCATGACAAGCATGCCAATACTACCTGAGAATGATGGGGTAGCAATTTCGACAGGCTGATGTTAGTCAGCAGGTGTTTGAAGTCCTGAGTCACCTGACACCTTGCAAGCCCCAACTTGAACTTCTGTACGCAGCGTGGCTTCGCCAGCCCTCGAATGGCACTTCCAGATCTCACCTACATCGCTGCTCCCATGGTCAAGCAAAGCGATGCACCCTTCCGGCTGTTGACACAGCGACATGGGGCAACTCTCGCGTATACGCAGATGCTTGACCCTCACAAACTTCTTGAGGATCGAGATTACCTCGAGTTTCATCAGCGTGATCTGGCTCTTGGTCGCGGTGAGACGGACGAATCAGTGGTGGTACAGCTATGTGGGAATGACCCTGAGATTATCGTTCAAGCTGGAAAGAAGCTACAGGGCCTGTGCAACGGTATTGGTGGGCGTAATTCCTCGAATGAAATGGATTAGCCACTGAATCAGCTGCAAAGTCCTTAGATTTGAACTTAGGATGCCCACAAGAGCATGCACGTGATGGCCATTACGGTGGTTATCTTCTAGCCAAAAAAGATTGGCCACTTGTCCAGACCATAGGCAAGCAGTTTCACCTCTATTCTTAGTGAATAACCTCTCAATTGGTAGGCATGTTATTTCAGTTTCTGCGATGTCCCACCTATTGCAGCCACCGACTTCAGTAAAACTACGTCTTTGTCCTTCGTCGTCACCTCCATCATCCACTGTTGAATTTGCCGCCCTTCTGGAACAGGCAGGCGCATCTTGGGTAACCCTTCATGCGCGTCACGTATCCTCCAGACGGCGTCGTCAAGGTGCTGCAGATTTAGATGTGGTTCGCACTCTGAAGACGGCACTCAGAGTACCAGTTGTATGCAATGGCAACGTTCGCACGTGGGAGGATGTACAGAGGAACAAGGATGAGACCAAAGCTGATGGCATCATGGTAGGAGAAACTTTACTCGGAAATCCTTGGTTTGTCTGCTGTCCTCCATTTCCTGGTACCGCGCCGTTGATCACACGAACAGCATATTTACAAATGTCATCCCAGACCCTGTTCGAATATCCCTTGAATACCTGGAAATCTGCAAAGAACTTCCTGAAATTGCAACTCATCAGACTATCGAGGCTCATGTCAGACATTTTATTGAATTCCAGTGGTATGTCGTTCGTGCCGCCTTCGTCGCGTGATCACATATCTCACTGCTTTCATCAGCTCTCGGCGGCCATGGTATCATAAATTTCGCACAGCACTGTCTGCATGTGAAGGGGTTCATGATATCGAGCACTTACTACGCACAAAAGTGACCAGATGGCGGGGCAAGGCTGCGTGCAAAGATTATGATGCATGTATCGACGATCTGGAATATACCATGGATTGAAACGTTACATTTTGCGCTAATTTTCCCTCCTAGGCATGAGCGCATTGGAGATGGATGCAGTATCGCAGAGTATCCGCGAATGCGTATGGAGGGCATGCCCACGGCGAATGCAATGACGAGGCGTGAGAGGCTTGTGTTGTACGCAACATTTCCAGGCACCCTTCGTTATTCCATTCCATTCCTTTCTATGACACTGCATCGCGGTCGTGTGATGGTTATAGAAGCACCATAGAAAGGAAACGGCTTTGGTGACACATTGGTCTGAAAGCCTCTCCGACATCAGCTGTAACTTAATATTTGTCTACAGCGTTTATGCAGCACATTCGATCCGGCAAAGCACTGGGGGTTGCCCCTTATAATACAGATCACATGAATGTGCACATCTTGAATCTGGTATGACTGTGGCGCCCGCAGCCCAGAGTGTATCACGGGTCTCGATAGTGCAGACGATTTCCAGGACAAAGGATACACCGGATATTGTTCGCCAGCTTATGGAACCACTAGGGAAGCTTTCAGTATCAACTGTGTAAGGCCCGTCTTGGTCGTGATCGATACATGGGAAGAAAGGGGTCAAAGTTGCCTTTGTCGCTGTCGTCTTCGTTGATTCATGGCAATATCAATTGGGGAAGGTAAGAGAACAATAACAGAAAATCATAGATTGTGTTCGGCATCAGTCCTGAGCGATTCTGAACTCCAAGACCATCGTCCCTACAAGATCATAAATCTGAGTGAGTACTAGACCAGCACTGGCCCTGTGAATTGCAACAGGTCAATCTTTTCATCAACGTATCAAAGCGTGTAAGGAACTTGCCCGATTATCTTGATTTCATTCAAGGTTCGCTCCTTGGAATTAAAAAGAAGCCACATAATCATGTCAAACTGGTACGGTGCGTGACTGCCTGCCCCAAAGTTCAATAACATAGGCTCGGGCGCCTTATGATTATGAATGCATAAATAAACCACCAGTCTAAAATCTAAACCCACCTTGCTAAACTCGTTGGCTCCTACTCCAGGGTCTTCAAATGTGTGGAGGAGCACGCAATCATCTAGCACAATACATTGATTCTGGAGCAAACACCACTTTGAACCGCAGCTGACTCACGAATCAACACTCGGCTGTTTGGTCCCATTGCCTTGCGAATATTACAGAGGATCGTCCTTGACTCAGCGTCGGGCCAGTCGTGAAGAATGCTCCTCAACTATATTAGGTTATCAAGCTGCCCATGATGAATGAGAACAAACTTAGCTCTTACATAGTAAACATCCTTTCCAACAACGGGCAACTCCTTGAGGAAGTTGACTGGCACGAACTCCACGCGCCCGTCGAGCAGCGCTTCAGGAGCATTCTTCTCCCATGTCTGATTAAATATCAATAACCTGCCCGCTGGAATGGTGGTGTGGGTCTGATGCATGGACTCACATTTCTTGCTAGCTCTATGGTTTCTGGGAGATCCTGATTGGTTATTCTGAGATGAGGGAACATTTTCGCCAGAGGAATGGACATTGCTCCATTTCCAGATCCAATATCCACCATAGAGGATACGTTGTCCCAAGGATAATCTAACGGCCCACTTCACCGTTATGCTTAACGATTGAAAAAAGGTGATAGCTTACGATGCAGCGCTGCATAAGAGCCTTGAATATCAGTAATACCTATCATACCTCTGTGAAACACCTGTGCATAAGATTCCGTGAGTCGCCAGTCAGTCATGGGTGAATGAATTGGCATGCACATCGCGTGTCTCATCCTATACAATATGGTAAGGTATAGAAGGGCGGTGTGATGGCGAAAACTCACATCCATTTCCCAGAAGCTGCTGTATATTCCTTCCTTTCCGAGAGCAAATGCTCGGGGGGCTTTGTCAATCTCATCTGATCTTGCACACTGATGGTCGGTCATGGTCTCGTAGAGAACTGTACCGTATTCATGGAATTGCTGATGGATCCGTAAAGAACACCAAGAATTGTTTGTTGACTTGAGTATGAGGGAGAGTCGGGTGTTTGCAAAGACATCTCGCTTAACTGCGTAACAACAAAAGATTCAGAGAGAATGTTCCACCGACAGCATGATGCGTATCACCTTCTTTAAAGCAACCTCTGAGTGACAAAGCTCGTAAGACGCGTGCGGTCTTGGTCTTATCGAGGTTAACTGTGTTAGCCAACGCATCCACACTAAGACCTTCCGGGTGCTCGTCCAGAACGTCCGCGATGCGTGATCGCACAGCGACGTCTGTGCATGCCCAATTGTAATTATGAACAAACTATTTCAGGACGTAAGCCAGAGCAGATATGTATCATCTATGCCAGTGATCGGCACTTACATTGTGTACCGTGTGTTGGGGGGGAGCCAATATTGCGTTCAATTGGTGGCATGCACCTTCGAGCAGCCTGATTGCCTGTCGGAGGGCAAGTGTATCCGTCGCGAGGTCGAGGGGGTGGAAGGTACTTGAGTCGGCACTTGGGACCCCATGTCCAGTTTTCTTGTATTCTCCCATTGCTTCGCGTGCAGAGGAGTTGATGATATCCAAGAGAGCTTCAACCTTGACTTCATTCGATTCCGCCATTTTGAGGAGTGCGTTTTTTTTCCCTGTCTGTTGTTCGGATTTTATATTCCAAGTACATCCCCATGGTGAAAACTATCTAGTGGCGTATCAGTAAACCGGTGAGCCACTGATATTCTTATAGTTTGCAAGCTCCTATATGTAAAAAGAGATCCGCTCGCCCGCAGACAGTCATCAACTGCAATTGCGGTAATCGTGCGAGCATTGATGAAATAAACGCCATCCTTGGCTGGCGCAGTTCTACCCCTGAAAGTGAAAGTAAGCCCAAAGGTGAACTTCGGGCCATGGGTGTTATCTGGGCACTTACGTAGCGCTACGGATCCTGTTGGCAATGGCGCGACGTCTAGCCTGTAATTTGGTGAACGCAATCGTTTCCGACTGAATCCAGACCGTCGAGTACAGGCATAAGTGCCAGCCATACTTAATCTGGGTACGTAGGTGCCGCTGTCGTTCACAACGCATGTACTCAGTAATCAGCAGGAGAAGATCTTCCACCCTGTCGTGCTGTGAGGTTCTCTACGTCATCAATCAGCTGGCCATAGTCGTCAAATCACCACACCAACCTAGTATATCTAGTCGTTTCATGAAGCCATAAATTCCTGCTACCCTCCCGCGTGCCCCCCGGATCAGAGTTCCTGAGGAGGTGGGCGCTAATCAGGATACCTCTTCCATTACAAGGTGTAGTTGTGAAAGTATAGTCGGACTCCTTGTTGCTAATCAATATTAATGTGATGTAGGCCGCGGCGTTGAGACCGAGAGAGTTGCCGGCCGGTAACGTGATTGGTTGCCGCGAAAACCACGTCGGTTTACGACTCCTGCCAGTGCCACTTACTACTTCGACCCGTTGCCTTCTGGTTCGCCTTTCTCTCCCGCTCTAACGATAGAGGAGGTGTTATACGCATCGACATTATAGCTCTGTGCATACAGTCATGGCACAAATAACGACGCTTTCATTTCTCGTCTTCTTCGCATTTATTGCTCCTTTCACGCACGCCATCAAATTCGCCCTTCCAGCATCCCGCTTGCCTATCCCAAAATGCATATGGAACGCTGCACACACTCATGCACTTGTTATCGTCACCGCCAACGTTGGTCCTGGGTCACACCAACGGGTAGACATCGAAATTTTGGATTCAACACACCACAACGTCTACCTCTCAAAACGGGACATTAAAGGCGAGACGAGACTTGCTGTCACAGCACATGGCGAGGGAGAGGTTGGGGTGTGTTTCAAGAATTACCTATCTCCTGGTACGTTTGTTGCTCCCATTTGTCTTACTGGCCGTCACCTATGGCGTTATAGAAATCAAACTAGACATGGCACGGAATATGACGCGCACTGTCGATCTCGATATTGATATCGGGGCTGACGCTGTTGACTACAAGTGTGTATCCTGCTTGTTAGCCAATGATAGCTTCCTGACTTCCTCCTTGTCATGAAGCGCGATTGCAAATCAAGAATCACTCTCTGGGCTCGAGACAGAAATGCGAAAGCTGGAAGGCGTTGTGAAAGAGATAGTTGACGAGCTCGAATATCTCAAGAAGCGCGAAGAACGCTTTGCGGACACTAATCGTCAGTCTTCCCTCGGACCCTTGCACATAACTTCTTATCAATTTCATGTCTTTGCAGTTGTGACGAATCGACGCGTGCAGAATTTTGCCTGGTTCACCATTCTTTCACTTGCAGGCCTTGGCGTTTGGCAAATTTTCCACCTCCGGTCGTTTTTCAAGCGCAAGTACCTCATCGATTGATGGGTATATGAAGCGTGCAACGTGGATGACTACTTATAATTGGGGAGATGTGTGGTAGGACGATATTGTCCTCTCCATCACTGTGATGTACTTCATTTCGTTGTATAGGAGATGTTATTGCCCGTCTTTTCTGCTTCGTTGCCTAAGCTATTTACAGGGTACTTGCCTGGTGCTCATCCATTGCTCGTCGACGTGAAACAAGTGTTTGGTACAAGACCATGAGCATGACGCAGCACTGGGAAACCGATTTTACAAGTGGAGAGCCAGTGCGGCATTGTGCACTCTGATTGCCTTCAATTGCATGGCTCAGAATGAAAATGAGCTAGTTCGATACACGTGCCCCATCGCATAATGAGCGTGTGTTGAAGCGCGTGCTCAAGAATACGATTTTTCCGCCGGTACCACGCGGACCGGTCATGTTCAGCTGATCACTCTCAAAATCCAATATTCAATCGTGAACCATGCAGCTGAAGGGATACTCCCTCTCTCACTTTTACGCTACTAAGGAAGGTAAGTATGTCCCTCAAAACTTCAGCTTCCAGCTTCATCTCGAAGATCGAGGTTCGTTTCACAACGCGTAGCAGGCTTCCTGACATATTCACTTTCAAAAATAGGTCTTCCGTGTGCCTCCGCGTTGGCTCTTCGTGCGCATAGAGACAGCCGATGGGCTCATTGGCTGGGGAGAATGCACCCTCGAAGGACATACCGAAGCAATTGAGGGCGCTTTCGCTGACCTTGCACAGCGTTTTCTTGGTTGGGATGCGGATGGTATCGAAGATATCTGGCAAACTGCGTACCGCGCTCGCTTTTATCGCGGTGGACCTGTCTTAATGGTAGGCGTCTCTACATGCTTCCCTGTCTACCATTCGTCTAAACGTATGTCACGACCAGTCAGCTCTGTCTGGTCTTGATATTGCACTCTGGGATATCAAAGGCAAGAAGCTCGGAGTTCCAGTGTGGCAGCTTCTAGGTGGTAAAGTCAGGGATCGTGTCCGTGTGTATGGGTGGATTGGTGGTGACCATCCGAGTGCTGTACGTGAAGCAGCACGTGAGCGTAAAGAGCAGGGGTTCACTGCTGTAAAAATGAATGCTACTGGTAAGCCCTGAGACCTTGCGATACAACGAGTCTGGATTGTAGGCAGAGGCTCTCGCGTGGCTTGACTCTCCCGAGCTCTTGAAAGGGACCGTAGAACGCGTGCGTGAAGTTCGCTCGCTAGGGATGGATGTCGGAGTGGACTTTCATGGACGGGTGCACAAGGGTATGGCTCGCCAACTCGCCAAGCTTCTTGAGGGCGAAGGTGTTTTGTTCATTGAGGGTGAGAGATATTCTTAGTACCAAAGCATGCGGTCCATTCGTACAAATACTGAATTTAATCTAGAACCCCTTCTGCCTACTCAACCTTCGGAGTTTGCGGACCTTGGGCATCTCGTCTCTACTCCTATTGCAGCTGGGGAGCGGCTCTACTCGCGACATGAATTTCGCCCTTACTTCGAAGGACATGCGCTAGATGTCGCACAACCGGACGTAAGCACTCACCTCTCAGCTGATCTCCATGGTCCATTCTTGTGCCTTCTTTTGGCCTCGCCTTTTATTTTAACCAACTGACAAAAATGTGTAAGGTCTCTCATTGCGGTGGAATATCGGAGTTGGCGCGTATCGCCTCCATGGCAGAAACATACGATGTCGCACTTGCCCCGCACTGTCCACTAGGACCGATTGCTTTGGCAGCATGTATTGCTGTTGGCGTGTCGAAGCTCAATTGTGGGTATTAGCGGTACAGTCCACGCTTTTAGAACAGGCACTAACAATTGTTTTGGCGTCTAGATTTTATTCAAGAAATGAGCTGGCAGGTGGGTTTCTCGCTCTCCCTTGAGATACGGCGCTTAGCAGACGGGCTGGATGTAGATGCATTACAACAGCGATGATGCAGACCTCTTCACGTATCTCGCAGATCCGAGTGTATTTGCTGTGAAGGATGGGTATGTCACAACTCCCAGCGGTGAGTCTCGCCCTGTTTTGGTCCGTTCTATTTTTTGCATAGATCTGATTACCGATACGCGCATTGCACACTTTGCTACCTCTTTCTTAAAAATGACCATGCCGACGGTCTTCTTTCCAATCCACAACGAACATGCATTTTGACTGCAACAATTTAATCTTGCTATACTCTGCTGAACGCCTGACATGACATGTACATAGGTGCTGGATTGGGTATTGTTGTTAACGAGGAGCTTGTGCGCACCCGTGCCAAAGAATATAGTCGAGCCGGCGTTGAGGCGTGGCGTAACCCGATATGGAGGGGGGAGGATGGAAGCATCAGGGAGTGGTAAAATTTCACTTCACTACCTAGCTGCGAGGAAATGCTGGGCAGTAGCTTGTACATATTATACAGAGCTACCGCGGTGCAACAGTCAACTTGTCGACAATACTACTGTGGGAAATATCTCAAGGATTTGTTTTCCTGTGTCTTCAGAGCGTCTGACTCGCCATGATAATTTATTGTTCTTGTCTCTGCTATCTGGGCTTGTTCGTGCACCAGAAAAGTTTCTAGGGTTGACTGAATATTGAACGAGTTCACGCTGCATCCTCTGCATTTAGCAGGACCCTACGAGAATAAGAGTCTCACTTCTACATCTCCTCATACCCCCGACTTTGGCTACTCTCGTAAAACTTCCCGGAGAACGTCCACGATCTTCTCCACTTCCTCAACGGTGTTATAGTGGACGAATGAGATACGGACGACCCCGTCATTCACGTCTAGCTTTGGGCGTAGACTATCGATAAGATAATACGCGCAAAAGTGGCCGTGTTGTATTGATATCTGTGAACACTCATAATCGAAAACAGTAAGTGAGACCACTGAAATACTCACCCCTCCCTTTTTGTTAAATGCTTCCACAATATCCTTGCTCTTGATCGCGTTCTGTCCGACGACAACAAAGCAGACAGTGGGAATCCTCGAGGGATCGATCTCGCTTGTCCCCATGATGCGAACACCCCTCTCAACTTGCTTTGCATCCGTCAAAAAGCGGAGCAGGGGCGTCAAAATTTCCTGCTCGTGGTTTGTGATTGCGTTGAAAGATGCTACAAGATTATCTTCTGGAGTCAACGACTTTAGATATGGCACGATTGCCGCTGCACCATACACGAGCTCGTTGCCTGGACCGCCTGGTTGAAACTTATGGGGCTTGTTGTCCACCTTAAAGAAATCATGGACAATGGATGTTAAGGATGTCTGCAGAGCCGCTGACCGCACGTAAGCAGCGGCATTATGAGCCCCGAACACCTACAAAACAGGTTGTCAGTGTCAGATGTCAACTCAAACAAAGTCGCAGATATTGAAACCTTGTACACAGAAAACACGCAGTAATCGACATCCCACTTTTGGACGTCCATTTTTCTGTGCGATGCATATGCAACGCAGTCCAAAGCCACTTCAAACTTTCTTGCTCCCTGCTCTTCTGCACGCTGGCGAAGAGCTTTCACTGCTTCTTCCACAGGAATTACGGATCCTAAAATATTGGAGCACGCGGTGATCGCGGCCAGCCTGGTGCGTGAAGAAACGAGCGGCAAAAGTTCTTCAACCTTGTATGTGACCGAGTATGGATTGTCTGCAGATACTGGTGTAGGATGCCAGTATTTGACCACGGCATTGCGCCGCGCAGCCAGACGCTTCCAAGGACCGTTGTTGGCTAAGATGAGCAGTAAGTTTCATTCAAGAAGACATAGGAAGATAATGGCAGAAACCTTCATGTTCATAGGTGATGATGAATTCATCTCCAGGTTGGATATCATTTTCGATTGCTCTAGCGATGTTCTCAAAGAGCATCGTCGAACTCGATCCAAACCCAACTTCGTCAAGAGATGTAGCATTGAACAACTCTGCAGCGGCGATGGAACCCTCAACAACGCGCTGTGAGTTCTTAGCCGAATAGCCAGCTTCCAGTTGTACGTTGGTGTTGGACAGATAATCCACGATCCGATCGATCACTGCCTGGGCAGTCCGCGACCCCCCCGCATTATCGGCATAGATGTGCCCTGATTCCAGGGACGGAAAGCAAGCACGAACTTGATTGATATCGAGAGCAGCCATCTGTTATCGTCAAGGAAGTGTAGTCCGAGTAAGAGGATGACTGGTACAAGCCCTTTTTAGTTCAGTAGTCATTTCATTATGTATTCAATACATAATCGATGGATATCGAATACACAAGGCGTCGCAGCCTCGACCTGATCGTGACAATGGCAACTTATTTAGCAGTACCCGAATAAGTCTGGTGTTGAGCCCACCTATAGGCTCGGACATTAAATTGAGTCCGATGTACTCCGTGGATCATCATGATAATGCCTGATTCAATAGTAATGCGGCCAGTCTATTTTTCCAACGACAAGGTAAGGGAAGGAGTCGCATGGAAGTGAACGGCGCGAGCGAGATCTTGGTCATGGCGGCACAGCGAAGAAAATCACAGGTTGCTGCTATTTAGATTTGTGACGGTTCACTGGTTACCACGAATCTGTAGATGCAGTCATGAGCATTGATAGGTGGATCCCAACCTCCAGTTCAGTGAGCGCGTCACGTACTACATGATTCAGACTTCGCCTAGTTCTATGGAGTTTTATACTATTTCCATGCGCCGTAGAGTCGTCCCTGCCGGCCAACGGAGCGTGCCACAACACTGTGGGAAGTAAAAACCATTAGATTAAGTGACAGTGGCAATGAATGTGTTGAATTCACTCCCAGTGTCACTTAATCTCTGGTTACTTGCATTCATTGACAACTGGGGACATTGAATTTTACCCTCGAGAATGTAGGGGTATGAAATTCATTGTCAAAATTTTAAGGACACTGAATGACATTAGCAAATCACATAGTCCCATTTTTTCCATTTTTTTCCATAATTTACTTAGCAAACAAATTCAGTGACCGAGGCAGCTAAGGAGAATAAGGAGTGATTTTGTACTTATATTTATTCCTACAGACGGCTGCAATAAGCAATATTAGTTGTGCCTGAACTTTCTTGAACACTCCACCTTTCTAGTATTTTGCATATAACTTACTAAGATCTCAACCAAAAAAATTCATGAGACGATGAATAGACTACCCTTAACAAGGACTGCAACTTTAATTTTTATCGGAATAATTCCCACGGTGTACCATATTTATCATATGAGTAGATTATCATATTTTATTCTAAGTCTTTTATTCTAAGTCCCATGGGTATGGTACATATATCGATTGCTGCATAGATATATACAAGGTCAAGTAGACTAGTGGTAAGTAATGCTCAAATGCGTGAGAATTGATTATGTGATCTCAGCTGAGCTTGTGTGGTCGGGACTCGTGAGTTCAAACCAGGCAAGTGGCAAAGATTAGGGGATTAATTTTTTTTCTTTTTGTGACAAAAAAAAACTTGAATATGACAATGAATTTGGATCAGACAATGATTATCACCCCAACATTAAATTCATTGTTTGTCAATGAGCGATTCAGTGTCGCACGGCAACACTGATTTACATCAACTGTCAATTAATGTCCTAGCTTTCGGCACTGATCATAAAGGTCTTTGGTTTTGATATTCATTGTCTCCACTACCCTCAGTGCAAGGCATACACGTATGTAATCAAGCAACGGTTGCACCGGAAGTACCCTCACATGCATGTAATACTTTTGATTGTCGAGGTCCATACACACCAGTCCTGTGATAAAAAATATAGGGCGCTCTATAAACCTTGCATCATTAGAAGTTTGAATCGTATAAATGCTATAGTTCACGTCCATAGCAGATGTCATCAGCGTCTGCCGCCGCCGCCGTGTCCTAAAGTACTCACAGCAGATCAATACATCATAGCTCGCCATCTATTCTCATTTTCCTCTCTATATCCTCCTCGTACCTCCTCAACAACAGACGATCCACCCAACCGCTCTTGGGAAACGCCCTATCCCAACGATTATGCAAATGCACAGCAAATATCTTCCCTAGTGCCTTATCCAGCGCTCCACCCTCCTCAAGCCCCTCCCCAGGTCTGCCCGTCCACTTCCCGTCCCGACGATCAGGGTCAAATGGGTCTGGCACGCTGTTGTCGAGACGACACGCCAGAGGATCGGAAAGGCAGAACGGTAGAATTTTGAAAGGGGGTATGGATTCACTAAGGAGGCGCCGCCAGAGTCGAAGATATAAAATTGCGCCCCAATCAGTGCTTGGTGAACGTGGAGGAGTACTGTGTGCCATGAGATGGAAGGCTTCGCACAGGTAAGGCGAGTGCTTGCGGAAGTGCATGAGAGCACCATTAAACGCTTGGTAAATTTTGTCTGTAGAATCTTGTAAATGCGTGGGTAAGAGCAGGTTGATTGTCGAATTACCGTAGCAGTCCCATTGAGTCACGAATTCGTGCTCAAGCAACGGGGAGAGGTCTCGGGTTAGGAGCATGTCCATGTCTATCCAAGCACCACCGTATGTCCAGATGACAAGTAGCCGGACGAGGTCGCCGTCTACCCATGCCTTCTTGTCCTCAAGATTGAGGAAGCGGTGATTCTCCATAGGTGTGCCCTTCGCTAACTCGTGTAGATCCACAACCTGAAGTGTGAATGAGTCAGGAAACAGCTCGAGGTACTTTTGCACGATCGGAAGGGCCGATAAGTCGCCGTTTGACCAGAGTATTAGACGAGAGCGAGGAAGGTCTTGCGTGGCGAAGAATGACTTCAGCATGTACTCTTGTCTCTCATCGAGGGGCGCGAGATCGAAGCGCCAATATGTGTGGAACTGTGCTCGCTCCTCTGGTGGGATACGACGTTCCTCCTCCTTCCACTCCCCTTCTGCAAACCTTACCGTTCCTGCAAACTCGTAGCAGTCCATACCCATCCGCATGGTTACCCCTGCCTGAACCTCAAAGCGTTTCTTGCCATACACAGCCTCACTGACATTGTACAACGGGCTGACACGCTCGGGCTCAAAGCATCCTCCAAGTGGGGACAGCGGGAGTATTTCGCGCTGTATCCATTCTCGTTCATATAACACGAGGTCGATGTGGCCGCGCGGGTCATAGAGGTAGTATATCGTGTATAATATGATGAAAACTAGAGGAAGCGCAAATTTCAAGAAGGTGAAAACTCTCCGTGGTCGCAAAGAGAAGCAGGAAACCGGTGATTTCCGCCGAGGAGAGGACGTACGGCGTGAATGGTCGTGCACGGGAAGCATTTCGTATCCTGCTCTGCCAGTAGACGACATGAATCGGATAGATGATGGGGTTATAGCATGGTACCGTTGTGAACGGTACTGCATGCGTTGATAAAACAATTAGTAGGCGCGCGCTTACTACTCCCATCAGAACTTTACATAAGGTCCTCAAGCAACCTTTGATTTCACTAGTCAACTTGAAACTGACACAATGTCAGCATTTCTCTCTGCGCGAAGATTGGCTCTTCTGGCAACACGCTGTCCACGCCGCACGCTCTCTACGACACCACGATGGTCTGCTGATCCATGGCCCCTCCCGCATACTGCACAACACCTCTCCAACACTCAGACACCCTCTGATATCCCACCACCTACTCCCATTCCGCGCCCAGGGGAGTCCGAGGAGACGTTGCGTGCAAGACTCGTATATCAGAGCAGGAAGCGCGGGACTTTGGAGAGCGACCTCCTGTTGAGTACGTTTGCAAGAGATCATCTGGGGAAAATGGACGAGACAGAATTGAAGGAGTACGACAAGGTACTTTCGCTTCTTTGATCGCTGGCTGTTCAAACTTAGGTTTCATTGTAGCTACTTGACGAACCGGACTGGGACATATACTATTGGGCGACTGAAGGTCGTTCACCACCAGAGCGGTGGGCGAAGTCTTCCGTACTGGAGAAGCTCACCATACATGCAAAGAACGAGGGAAAGGTTGTGCGCAGGATGCCTCCTCTGTAGAAGTATCAGTGAATCTATGATTGCGTTGCATCATTTCCTCACCTTGCATGGAGTCTGTGAACTAAACACGGAGCATTCTGCCTCTGTGCCAGAGTATGGGCATAAAACTTATACAATCGCCGACGGAGCTCTTCATTATGGTGCTGGTTCGCCTATCTGCCATCGGTCGCACTTGAATGCCTTCCCGGTGCTCACGCAATGCCAATGACGGATTTGGAGCCATCTGCATGTTTTAAATTGTGTTCTGCTGAACAAATAGCAGGTGATCGCTTGGTTCTGGCTGTTGTGCAGGTAGCTCGCAAATGTACAACCAGGGCCTGCAGCTGAGCAACCAGTTTTGGAGGAGCAGGAGTTTATGGCTTCATGAAGCGATTGGATATAGGTTAGTGTGGTTGATTTGACGACTATGTCCAGCTGATTGATGACGTGGAGAGCCTTAGCACTACAGGGTTGGATCATCTTCCCCAGCTGATTAAGTATATGCGCTGTGCATGCCAGCGGCACCTACGCAAATCGACTTATTTGTACCCAGATCAAGTATGGCTGACACTTATGTCTGACAGTGTACTGTCTGGATTCGGTCATTTCCAACTTCAGTCGGAACAATCTCGTTCACCAAATTGCAGTGTAGACGTTGCACCTTTGCCGGCGGGATTCCGTGGCACTACGTAAAAACTCAGACAACACCCGTGGCCTGAAGTTCGCCTTCGGGCTTACTTACCAGATGATTTCACCATGGGGATGTACCTGTATGCCTTCTTTCCCCATGGAATATAAATCGAACGACTGACAGGGAAACAAAGTTAACACTCCTACAAATGGCGGAATTGAATGAAGTCAAGGTTGAAGCTCTCTTGGACATCATAAACTCCTCTGCACGTGAAGCAATGGGAGAATACAAGAAAACTGGACATGGGGTCCCAGGTGCCGACTCAAGTACCTTCCACCCCCTCGACCTTGCGACGGATACACTTGCCCTCCGACAGGCAATCAGGCTGCTCGAAGGTGCATGCCACCAATTGAACGCAATATTGGCTCCCCCCCAACACACGGTATACCATGCAAGTGCCGATCATAGATGTCATATATCTGCTCTGGCTCATTTCCTTAGATAGTTTGTTCATAATTACAATTGGGCATGCACAGACGTTGCTGTGCGATCACGCATCGCAGACGTTCTGGACAAGCACCCGGAAGGTCTTAGTGTAGATGCGTTGGCTAACGCAGTCAACCTCGATAAGACCAAGACCGCACGCGTCTTACGAGCTTTGTCACTCAGAGGTTGCTTTAAAGAAGGTGAGGTGCATCATGCTGTTGGTGGAACATTCTCTCTGGATCTTTTGTTGTTACGCAGTTGAGCGAGATGTCTTTGCAAACACCCGACTCTCCCTCATACTCAAGTCAACAAACAATGCTGGGTGTTCTGTACGAATCCAGCAACCCTTCCCTAAATACGGTGCAGTTCTCTATGAGACTATGACCGACCAAGAGTTTGCAAGATCAGACGAGACTGACAAATCACCCCGAGCATTTGCTCTCAGAAAGGAAGGAATAAACAATGGATTCTGGGAAATGGATGTGAGTTTTCGCGACCGTACTGCCCTTCTATACCTTACCATATTGTATAGGATGAGGCACGCGATGTGCGTGCGGATTCATCCACCCATGACTGACTGACTACTCACAAAATCTTGTGCACAGGTATTTCACAGAGGCATGATGGGCTTTGTTGACATTCAAGGCGCTTCTGCGGTACTGCATCGTAAGCTACCTGAATCGTCAATATGACTGACTGTAAAACGGGCCATAAGATTATCCTTGGGACAGTGTGTCATCTATGGTGGACGTAGGATCTGGAACTGGAGCAATATCTACTCCTTTGGCGAAGATGTTCCCTCATCTCAGAATAACCAATCAGGATCTCCCAGACATTATAGTCCAGGCAAAAAATGTGAGTCCAGGCATCAGGCCCACACCTCCATTGTAGCGGGCAAGTTATTGATATTTAATCAGACATGGGAGAAGAATGCTTCTGAAGCGCTGCTCGACGGGCGCGTGGAGTTCGTGCCATTCAATTTCTTCGAGGAATCACCCGTTGTTGGAAAGGATGTGTACTATGTAAGAGCCAAGTTTGTTCACATTCATTGCGGATTTGATGATCAGATATAGTTGAGGACTATTCTTCACGACTGGCCCGACGCTGAGTCAACGACGATCCTCCGCAATGTTCGCAAGGCAATGGGACCAAACAGCCGAGTGCTAATTCGTGAGTCGACGACGGTTCAAAGTGGTGGTGGTGCAGAGCCGATGTCTTGTGCTAGATGATTGCGTGCTCTTCCACACATTCGAAGACCCTGGCATAGCAGCCAACGAGTTTAGCAAGGTGAGTTTAGAGCATAGCCTGGTGGTTTATTTGTGTATTCATGATCCTAAGGCGCCCGAACCTATGTTATTGAACTTCGGGGCAGGCAGTCACACAACTTACCAACTTGACATGACTATGTGGTTTCTTTTCAATTCCAAGGAGCGAACCTTGAACGAATTCAAGATCATTGCGCAAGTTCCTTTTACACCTTGATACATTGACGAAAGGTTGACTTGTTATACTTCACAGGGCCAACGCTGGTCTAGCACTCACTCAGGTTTATGATCTTGTAGGGACGATGGTCTTGGAGTTCAGAATTGCTTAGGACTGATACCGAACACAAAGAACCCGGTAGATATTCGGACATCGTACTCTTACCTTCCCTAATTGATCATGCCATGATTCGCTAAAAACGGCAACGACAAAGCAAACTTAGACTACAGCAGGACCAGAACAAGCGGTTGCGCAGCAGGCATTCACGGCTTGATGAAGCCATCAATCTGCTGTCGTTGGTGAATTGTTTTTATGACTTCCGGCCAGCCAATCCTTTATTAGAACTTTCGGACATGAAAATACAATTCCCTGCCAAAATCAGTTGACCACTTCTTACGTAACGGTCATTACCGAGCAACGCCGCTGATAATATTGCTGTAAGTCTGGTCACTTCTGCGTTTTGCCAGGTGGCTCTGGCTTAGAAGTTACTGAACTCCCAGTGTGTGACAACAAAGACCCAAATGGCACGACCAGCCAGCTGGCAACTGCGGGGAATGGTTCTCCGGTGACGCGGACGGATCGCATAAACGAGTTGTGTACCTCCGAGCATGTCGCAAACGGGATTCCAGTCCTGGCCGGCCATCTTTGAAAATGAAGCTAGTCTAACAACCGTATGGAAGTGGTGCGGCTACTCGTGTCGCCCGGCGTACTGGTTATTCTAGATTTGTCCTGCAAAGGTGGGAATACTTTGACGCTGACAATCGCAGTAAAACGTTGTCCGATGCTGCGCAAATTCAACTGAAGTACTATCAATGTCGCTCTCATCAATCTCTCCCAAGTTTCGAGTGGCAATATGGTATGTCGGATAACCCCTCATGAACATCACGATGAAGCAGACTGGATTTCATGTGTAGTGGTGCGGGCATTGGAGGGCTTGTCCTCGCTGTTACAATTGGGAAGTTTGCAGGTTGCAATATCGACATAGACTTATACGAAGCGCATGACGCCATCACCACCGCTGGGGCTGGTGTTTCACTTTGGCGGCGCGCGACGGAGATTATAGAAGAACTCGGTATGCACGACGAATTCTCCCGCGTTTCAACGAAGCCTTCCTCCAGTCATGGTCTGCTCAAAGAACCTATTTTGCAACTGCATTTAACTTGATTCTTTCCGACAGGACTACTATTCAGGAAGTCTAATGCCCCAGAGAGTTTTGAGTGGTTTCGTTATATCTTCGAACCGTGTCCGTGAACCATCCCATTTTAAAACGACGGCAGGGACGTGACCAACCCTCTTACAGGTGGGCCTTCCAATCTGCACCGCCAACATCTCGTCGACATTCTCAAGAAAAACATCCCCTCGTCATGCACTATGCACTTTAATAAACGACTCACTAAATATGACATGGAGTCATCAGGATCACTGGTCCTCCACTTTGCTGATGATAGCACCGCAACTGCGGATGTGTTAGTAGGAGCAGATGGCCTCCGCTCCTCAGTGCGGAAGACGCTCTTCGAAACAATAGACCCAAGTATCGTAGACCCGAGCAAGATAAGATACTACAGTGATCCATCTTGGACCGGAGCGCTTGTCTATCGCACCGTCTTTCCGGCGGAGAAGCTCTCGAAAATAGATCCAAATGATTTAGCTTTGAAGGAATTCATGGTGGTAAGCCATCAGAAGAGTGGTCACAATCATCAGAAATAACTTTCATTTCGCAGTTCTGCGGGAAGGGAAAGGTAGATTGTAGCAATCAAGCGGTCTTTGCTTGCTAACGAACCTTCCGTAGCATATCGTCTCATTTCCGGTTTCACAGGGGACACAAATCAATATCGTAGCATTTGTTTCTGATCAGCAGAAATCCGGAACACCTTTTGAGGGCCGTTGGGTTTCAGATGTGGCCCTTGAAGAGGTCGAGGAAGCATATTCAGACTTCGAACCTGATGTCAAGCGCCTTCTGAAAGTGGGTTCGATCCGGGCCAAGTCGCTCATGCCGCCCTCAACCTGACGAGCAAATTTTGCAGTGTTCCGAAAACCCCTCAAGATGGGCGGTTCACGTGGTAAATGAACTACCCCTATTTACTTGCAATAGAGTTGTGCTGATGGGTGATGCGGTGCGTCTCTCTTGGCTGACCTGAAAGTCCTTTGACGAGATTGTGCAGGCCCATGCCATGATGCCCCATCTCGGCGCTGGAGCTGGTCAGGCAATCGAAGTATGTACGATCATTTGGCAAACTATGCAAACTCATTTTGTATGAAGGATGCTTTTGTGCTCGGCCGCCTCCTTGCACACCCACTTACAACGTTGGATAACGTGCCCGCCGCACTGAAAGTATACCAGGACGTCCGCCTCCCATTCGCTCAACTCGCAGCGCGTGAATCGGAACGTATAGGATATATGTACGATTTTTGTTCGCCTGGGTATTATGATGGGACGGATTCAGTAAATAAGCGAGAGGAGCTCGAGATTCTGAAAGGAAAGATCATAGGCCTGCGGGATTGGGCAGCTGAAGGAGGTGCTGTTGCTGAATGGGTTAAGGCAGAAAGTCGACTGCAGGAAAGTCTGTGCCCTGAGCGACGTGAGAACAGTGTATTATGTTCATTGTAGCACCGAATATTCATGGGCGAGACAATATTACCGCAAAATGCAATCGGCCTGGAATGCTCTAGCCAGGTCTAGATCTGCTTTTCATTGAAATTTCGCGAGAGATAAAATGTCGAAACCGCCGATGTGCCAGGTACAATCTTTCGCTTCAACACCAGGAGCAATGGGCAGCCGACGGCAGATTTTCGGTTACAGTAACTCGAAGTCGCAAAGTACACGTTCGAGGTTCTACCACTGCGAAATTGTTCGGCTCAAAGCCAGGTACCAGGTGTGCGGTGCCCTGTTCTCACTCCCTCGCCATTTGGCTGGCCCGGGTGAGATGGGGGCGTCGGCAGGCAGCGAAGAAAACATCAGAAGGGGCGTGGTGCAAAATGAAGAGGTCTGCTACCTCGCTATGTCACTAAGGTGCAACTCACCAATTATCAGAACCGACAGATTTCCGAGGCCTTGTCATAACGTTCTTACGGTACACTGCTGGTACCTAATTTTCGCTGTGGCTTGGCAGCCGGCAGAGTGAGAACAGGGGCCAGGGCATCATCGCGGCACACTCGGGGCACCGCACACTCCATTGAGAGTTCACCTGTAATTCTATAGCCCAGCCCATTACAAAAAGGCTGGCTTCTTGCTTTCGATTTTGCAAGTTTTCCCAGCGCCATCACATGTGTGTATGATTTTCCTTGTCTTCTAACTGCCAACTGATTTATCAACCGTTGGATCCTCACGGGCAGAGCTTCACACAAATCTTCTTACCAGCAATAACAAAGTCCTTTACTCGTCGTTATCTGGTGGGTTGAAATTGCTTCCAATGACTATTCGAGAGCTTCTGATCCAGGTGTTTTGCAGCACGAATACGATGAAATATTTCTCCTTGTTCGCCCTCTCGTTCGCCGCTCTGCTCTCGACAGCTACAGCAACCCTCGGACGTAGCGATGCCAGCCAGCTTGTCATCAACAACATAAACTGTTATTGGGATGGCACTGCGCCATTTTGTGATGGACAATGCGGTAGTGGCACCGTGGAATGTGATACAAGCAATTGTGGTGATACCGGGTTATGTTGTTGGACTGGGTCCAAGAAATGGTGTTGCTACGCCACTACCTGTCCCAGCTAGTGGGCCCTAGGCACCGTGAAAATGGAGAATTGACGGTCCTCCTAGTCTGGGTGGGGTTTCAAACTGCAGCCCGAGATTTGCAGTCCTAAGAGGTAGCGAGAAGTACCTACTCCAGGAAGATTTTATGGTAGTCAGAACGAGCAACTAGCAGACGAGGCACGATAAGCGGCAGTGGGGCGAGCACGAATGGTTGCCGTGAAAATGTGGATTTCGATATTCGGACTGTAAAGGCGAGCGAAGCGAGGAGCCATCTCTGAAATGACCTGTCTAAGCCAAAGTCTGAGATACAGTAGGCCCATCGGTACCTCCAAGCGGAGTTGGGTGTGTAGTGATGCTGGTCACCGTTTCTCACACCTGCTCACTGCTGCCAAGGTCTTTCTAAAATTTGGACAAAAGAAAATGGGCTGCGGGCGCGATAGGTGATGGGCAGGCATGAACATGACAGAATTCCAATAGTAATGGTGGCACGGAGGCGGGCGCATTCAAGTTGGGGGGGCGTCTTTGCATGGCCATCGCGAACATCGAGCGGAGAGTTAAACTTCGCTGAACTTGCCGTCGGCTGCCGTTGTGCCCCAGACTGGTTAGAGCCTGCGTTGACCCAGGAGATTATGGCCAGCTGATTGAGAACCTCCAGCCTAGGGTGGATGATCTTCTCCTGAATGCGGCACCTAACTTGTAGTAGGGATATATATACGTACTCTGTCTGGATTTGGTCAGGTGAGTTTTCGCCATCACAATACCCCACCATATTCAAGTATAGGATGAGGCGTGCAGATTCATCTATCCATGGCGGACCGACGATTCACAAAATCTTGTGCACAGATACTATGATATTTCGACTAGAGGCATGATGGGTTTGTTGAAATGTCACGTGACTCCGTCGTACGTAAGCTATCACTGTTTTAAAAACGTTTCACTACAACCACTGGGGGCCTGAGCAAGCGGACCCGCAGTAGAAGGCGCTCGTGGACTGAAACAATTTGCCGCAGTTGGCGGACTGTTTATATGACTCCAGCCAGCTGACTGACGTCCGAGTGTAACGCTTTGATGACTACAGCCAGCCGATTGCTCGTACACCGTACCCAAACCCGCGAAACCCGTCAGCAAAAAACCGCGGTGTTACCCGTACCCGTGCGTTTCCCTAGTCAGCATGACGTTAAATTCTGGACAATCTTCAATCCTGCAAGGCAAGTAGCTTTGACGACTGCAGCCAGCCGATTGCTCGTCAGCATGACGTTAAATTCTGGACAATCTTCAATCCTGCAAGGTAAGTACATCAAGTTGTCACAGAATGTCAGTCGTATCATCGCTAATTATAACTTAGATCATATCTAACACGACCAGAAGTCGGACTTAGTGGCGCACATCAGTGTTTCCTATTTGACACCCCCCTGATGCTTGATGGTTTTCACCGTGGGGATCTGGATGTTATCTTTGCTGAGGGAGTATAAGATATGAACGACTTGACAGGAGACTCATACCCCACAACACGGAAAATGTCAGATTCGAACGAGATCAAAATTGAAGGCCTCTTGGACATCATCAACTCCTCTGCGCGCCAAGCAGTGGCGGAATACAAGAAAACTGGACATGGAGTCCCTGGCATTGACTCAAGTGCCTTTCATCCCCTAGACCTCGCGACAGACACACTTGCCCTTCGGAAGGCAATCAGGTTGCTTGAGGGTGCATGCGATCAATTGAACGCAATACTGGCTCCCCCCCAACACTCGGTATACAATGTAAGTGCCGATCATTGATGATCTATTTCATCTCTGATACTCATTTCCTCATATAGTTTGTTCACAATTATAATTGGGCATGCACGAGCGTCGCCGTGCGATCACGCATCGTAGATGTTCTGGACAAATACCCGGATGGTCTTAGCGTGGATAAGTTGGCTGACGCAGTCAACCTCGATAAGACCAACCTCGCACGTGTCTTACGAGCTTTGTCCCTCAAGGGTTGCTTCAAAGAGGGTAATATAGTTCACGTTAATGTTTGATAATTGATGCTGAAGCCTTTGGTGATACACACAGTTAAGCGAGACGTCTTCGCAAACACCCGACTATCCTTGATACTCAAGTCATCAAGCGACGCTGGGTGCTGTGTGCAAATTCATCAAGAGATCCCAAAATATGGCGTAGTTCTCTATGAGTCTATGGTGGACAAAGAATTTGCACGATCAGAGGGGGTTGACGGGGCACCCCGCGTATTTGCTTGCAGGAAAGATGGCTCGGAGGAAGATTTCTGGAAAATGTTGAAGGCTGACGTAAGCGTCCACCATCACATTGCCCTTATGTACCTAATCAATATTTATAGGAGGAGAGACGCATTGTGCGTGCAAAATCATCCATCTATGACTGACGACTCAAAATTTTATGCACAGATATTCCAAAGAGGCATGATGGGCCATACTGAAGTCTTTGGTTCTAGTGCTTTGCTGCATCGTAAGTTATCATTATTTGAATTGTCAGCATAATTGTGACGCGCGTCATAAGATTATCCCTGGGATAGTGTATCCTCTGTGGTGGACATTGCATCTGGCACTGGAGCGATTTCTATCCCCTTGACGAAGATGTTCCCTCATCTCAAAATAACCAATCAGGATCTCCCTGAAATTTTGGTGCAGGCACAACATGTAAGCTCACACATTCTGACGACACAATCGTTCGAGCGAGCGGGTTGCTTGACTGTTGATTAGGCATGGGAAACGAAAGCTCCTGAAGCACTAGTCGAAGGACGTGTGGAGCTCGTACCATTCAATTTCTTCGAGGAGTCGCCTGTTGTCGGAAAGGATGTTTACTATGTAAGAGTCAAGTTTGTTTTCATTCATTGCGGGCGGCTTGATTGTCTGATATAGTTGAGAAACATTCTTCACGATTGGCCCGACGCCGATTGTACGACGATCCTCCGTAGTATTCGCAAGGCAATGGAATCAAACAGCCGAGTGCTAATTCGTGGGTCAACTGCTGTTCAATGCGATATTTGCTCTAACACCTACGTCTTGTGCTAGATGATTGTGTGCTCGCCCACACATTCCAAGAGCCTGACGCAGGAGTCGACGGATTGAGCACTGTGAGTTTTGGAGCATAGCCTGGTGTTGTATTTCTGTATTCATGATCACTGCGAGGCCCCCGATCCTATGTTACCGAACTTTGGGGCAGGCAGTCACTCAACATACCAACAAGATATGACGATGTGGTTTTCCCATAATGGCAAGGAGAGAACCTTGGATGAGGTCAAGATCATCGGGCAAGTTCCTTCATGCCTTGTTACGTTGGCGAATATTGACTTGTTGTAATTCATAGGGCTAGCGCTGGTCTAGCTCTCACCCGAGTTTATGATCTTGTAGGGACGATGGTCATGGAGTTTAGAATCGCTCAAGACTGATGCTACGAACAAACGTGTGGTCCATATTCATTGTACAACTACTTACATAAAGAGAAATTTTCTATGTTTCTTTGCCGCAACCAAACAAAAGAAACTGTTAAGACGCGGTGCCCTGTCAGGGCTGTACTGGGAAATATTGTAACAGGGTAAGGGGTGTAAGTATAGTACAAATAGCCATGGGGTCCATGTTTGGGAAGTTCTGGTGCGCATATGAGTTCGTTCGGCGTCCAGGCTGAGTATAATATGATACACTTTCTCTCCTTCCTCCTCCTCCGTACAACTACTTAGCCGAAGTCGTCAAAAGCAAGCAGTTCACATCATCGAATGCGATCAAGTTTTCCATCCGAACGTTTACAGTCAATGAATAGCTGAGGCAAACGATCTACGGGTATAACAGTGCAGCGTCAAATAATATAGATCTATAGGTCCCCCCTCTCCGCAAGTTTCTCCTCGTACCTCTTGAGAAGTAGCCTCTCCACCCAGCCCCCTTTCGGAAATGTCTTCTCCCATTGATTATGCAAATGCACAGCGAACACATTCCCAAGCGCATCATCTAGGCCTCCGCCCTCTTGCAGCCCGCCCTCCGCAGTACGCCACCACCGTGCCTCACTGCCATCATCCTCATCAAACGGATCAGGCAACCTATTATCCAATCTACAGGATCGGGCATCCGAGAAACAAAACGGAAGGACTTTGAAGGGCGGGATGTGAGCACGCAGGAGACGGCGCCAAAGTTTGAGGTATAGGAGTGCGCCCCAGTCTGTAGAGTCAGCACGGGGAGCTGCTGAAGTCGCCATGATATTAAACGCTTCACAAAGATATGGAGAGTGCTTGTGGAAATGCATCAGGGCGCCGTTTAACGGTTGATAAACCTTGTCTGAGGGACAAACTTGAGTATGGTGCTCATGGGCTTGCACGACAAGTGCTTACCGTAGCAATCCCATTGCGTGACGAACTCGTGCTCGAGCAGAGGAGAAAGGTCTCGAGTCAATAGCGAATCCATGTCAATCCACAGACCCCCATAATTCCATATGACCAACAATCTGACAAGATCGCCGTCCGTCCATGCTTTCTTGTCATTTGTCTTCAGCAACGGACTCCCGTCCAAGGCAGTCCCACTCGCAAGATTTGGTATATCCACTACACGCATCTCGAACGAATTCGGGTGCAAGTCGGCGTATGATGCGAGTATCGTGTTCGTCGACAAGTCTCCATTCGACCACATTACGAGTCTCGAGGTTGCATGGTCTTGCGTCGCAAAAAAGGATTTGAGCATCCACTCTTGGCGCTCTGAAAAAGGTGCGAGGTCTACGCGCCAGTAAGTATGGTACTGTGTCCTCTCATCCGGAGCTAAGTGAGGCCTGTCGTCCGCCATGACACTAGTCGATCGGGGAATTGTCGCAGCAAACTCATAGCAGTCCATCCCAAGTCTCATTCCCATCCCAGCATGCACCTCCACTTCCTTCGGTCCATCCAAGTACCGAGAGGCGTTATATTCTGGGCTAATCCTTCCCTCCTCGAAACATCCAGCCAGCTGTCCCACGGTGTCGATTTCGTTCTTTATCCACTTGCGCGAATAGAAGGTTATTTCGACGTGCGGCTCATAGAAGTAAAATGTGTATAATATGGCTGATATAACAAGCACGAGGGTGACTTTCAAGAGCTTGGTGAATTCCAGCGAGCGGATAGTTATAGGGGTACGGTGTGGTTGAGTGCGCGAACGAGAACGGGAACGAGAACGCGGAGACCCTGATTCTGGCACGTTGTGCATAGGCAGGCGGTCGTAGCCTGCTCGTGACATGGCGAAGGTACGGTGTATACTTTCAGGTGAACCTGCTGGGATATATCTGCATGCTGCTACGTTAAAAAGACTACAAATTGGGTGAACCATGGAGTCGTTTACCAGTAAGATTTACCACTGCGTCTTGATCATGCGATACACTAGTCGTGCACTGGCCGGAATATGCCAATGATTGTCGTGTTCCAGAGGGTACGTCGAATGTTATTAGAAGGAATGGTCGTCTTCCTTTTCTATAGGCTATAGTAGTATAATGTCTGGGTACTGGTCAGAAGTCAAAAACATTGATGTGACCCAATATCCGAATGCCGTTACCAAGGCTAAAAATATATGGCACTGTCTGTGTATGAATGTTTGTTCGCACTCTCCCGACTTCGTCCAGTGTGGTGCCCCACACCTTCGGAAATATTCGATGTAGCGCTAGCCCTGACAGACCCGAAGCTCTTGAACCCGATCTGTCACCTGCGAGGTCATCCGGGCAGCTGGGATAATGTTCAAGATGTATGCATGGTACTAATACAATTTGTACAGTGATGATATGTGCGCGATAATAACATTAAGTGCAATAATGTGACGAATAACCATGTTCAGACAATCGACAACGACGAAAAACAAACAGTACTTTTGAACGAACGAAGTCTAGTGTGGGCTGCTTGTCGGGTGCCTTAAAACACTCGAATGGGAACGCAAGCCCTTAGCGCGTCCTGCCGAAAGAGAACGGTGACGTCCAAATAATACTAAAACCTTTCCGTCAGATGTGAATCGTCTGTTGTCGGAGGAGACTCACCTTAACGCTAACACCAGGCCAATCGACACCTGGTATTATATCCTTTGACAACCGAAATTTGCCCTTGTAAAGACCATCAGGCAGATACGCTTGGCATTCAGAACCACCAGAGTCATTAGGATGCCGGGGCCGCTTTGGAAATCCAACGGATACTTGTGTTTTGATAGTATGAGTTTCCGAGAAGGAAACTTGTGGTAAATCAGGAAGTGGTTTGTACCGGACGGCAGCTGAAAAAGGCTCTTCGGGGGTCTTTGGTACGCGAACTACTGCAGTTGCAACTGTCTTTGCTGCACGCTTTAGGAGCTTGGTCCGTGGCGGGCCTGATGGACTATCTGGATCATCACTGAGTTGTGTGGTGTCAGGGGAAGTAGGGGGTAGCTGGGGCTTTATGGTAACTTTACGAACTAGGGAAACAGCGATGGTGGCATCGGCGGCGATTTCTCGGGCGAGCACGGCGCATCGAGGATTTGTTGTGAATACAACAAAATATGGAACAGAGGTACGTCGAGAAAACGTTTGCGGGCGCGGCAATGTGACCTACGAATTCTTTTCGTGAGATTAAAAACAAGTGTGCCACGCCTTCGACCTACCGCGCAATGGAACGGAATACACCGCTCTGGTTTAAGAGGCATTTCGAGCCATAGTTCGGGCGCGATATTGGAACCGTCCATAGACTGAAAGTCCGTGTCCGGATGAAAAAGAATGGGAACTTCCAGCCTGTGACCTAAGTGGTAAGCATCGGAAAGCTAGGGTGCGTGGCATTGAATAACGTACATCCCTCTGGTTTCCGACGTATCTGAGGGCTCCCACACTGCGGTAACGCGATAAGACACTTCAGCTTTCTCCCCAAAAGACAGGCATCCTCGCTTGTTATCGCTTGGCATTGAGGCACAGAAGGTGGGCGGCATCTCTTCGCCTGGACGACTGCCGCGAGGAATTTCGAAGCTGAACTCGCATGATCTGGACGCAGGGCTAGTCAAATTCGAGTCACTGGCTAGTTGTGATACCCCAAAAACGTCGCAAACGACAGAATACGGGTCAGGGACAGGTGAAATAGGAATAATGGCAGAGGACGATAAGAAAATGTGCCGGTGCTTCGAAGTTTGAGGTCCCTGGACAGATTCATCGTCTAGATTCTCCTTCACAGAGACATATTCAAACACGCCTTCGATCTACAATATATTATTAAGTTAACGTGGACAACTCATTGTATGAGACTTACTGATATAGTTAGCCGGCCGTTTTGTGAGCAGTTGGGGTCTAGGATAACTTTGCCTTCGACCTTGTCATGATCTCCGAAGACTGGGCAAGAGATCATGCCACCAAGCCCGACCTGCTTGACCATTTTAATAGAGGGGCTATATAGTTGCATATCCAGAAGTAATGAGCTGTGCATACCAGTCAATAACCGATCGCCTGGTTCACACCACTGGGCTTGTGACACTTACCGGAAGCTGGATACGTGTGAATGCAAAGATTGAGGATGACTGTCGAGCCCTGTGGCCTGCACGAAGCTCGATGGCAGTGGCAATGCACCCGGGTCGAGGCGAAGGCGAGGCTTGACTCGGAGCGGCAACGTCATCCTGAAGCCAACGCACCGTGAAGGAGGATGTATGGGAGAGTCGCCGTAAACCGCTAGAAGGCACGGTGAGCCTCGTTCCTCATATAAGCCTGACCCTCAAACCCTGCCGTACAACGTTTAACTCTGATTGACAGAGAAGCAGGGTTTAGGAAAGAGGTGTTCCAGAGACGTATTTGCATGGAAACAGTCAAGTTGTACTGAAATGATTTAATGTTTTCCCCGTAGCCATGAGAAGAAAATAACTAGAATTTCACAAGATCTGCTGATGTGACTAAATCATGAAAACTGCGATAAACTTTGGATAGTGCAACACGACAAACCACTGCGTTATCAAACAATGGTACGTAGTTGCGGTGAAGCGCCACGTTATATCTGGCCAGTTATGCCTTGTGGGCTATGTTCCTGCTTGGTCGAACGTTGAGGTTTCCACCAGCACTGTAGCGAGCCGTTATCCATGGAGAGGACAACAGAACGTTCCTGAAAACTATTAAAATAATTTAAAAGGAGCGCACTGTGAGCGCCCGATGAGCTGGCTGCAGGCACATGTCAATGATGCGGCGACGGCGACGGTGGTATATGTAGTAGGCCGCAACCTAGCTTGATAAATTTCTCACATACGGAATACTGCGGAACAGGGCGGACCGTGAGTGAACTAGGCCTGGCGGGGCTTGGAAGGCAAAATTGCAGTCCTGTCAACGTTACCACACACTAAATATCCCTTTCATGTCAAATACGAAGATCGTGGTTACTGGTAGACGTACCTCCTTTGCTTCTGAGAAGCCCCATACTGAAGAACGATCAGGAGCATCCGGTGTTCTCGGTACCGCAGTTCATAAGGCATTCGAGAAAGCACTGCGATATGAGGTTGTGGGCTTGAAGTATAAGAGCCCCGCTAGCCATCTAGTCCAGCTAGATTTGACGGATAAGGAAGCGACCAAGCAGAAGTTAGAAGAAATCAAACCGACTTGTGCGTGTAATTTCAAGGTGGTTTTGCACTGGTCTTCAAGGCCGTGACTCGCAAGGGGTGATCCATTGCGCTGCTGAAAGACGACCCGATGTTGCCGAGAAGGTATGGATGTTTACAGCGATATGTTGCGTTGATCCCATATCGTAACCTCAGGATCGAGCTGGAACCCAACTTGTTTGTCGGACGATATTTACTAGCGTGGACACATCTGATAGCGTTTATCCAGCTGAACGTCGGAGTGCCGGGTTACCTTGCTGAACTCGCGAGGGCCATTGACTTTACGCTCGTGTATATCTCTACCGGTGAGTAGCATAACCAGCATGAATCTACTACCATTCAATGATGAATAGACTACGTCTTTGACGGAAGATCGCCTCCCCCTGGCGGGTACATACCAGAGTCACCTACTAACCCACTTCAGATTTATGGACAGACTAAACGGGATGGTGAGAACGCTGTATTGCAAGCTCGGCAGCAGGGTGCCAGGACGATTGTTTTGAGAGTTCCGGTATTGCAAGTGACCTTCCGTCTCATTGCTTCGTTCTGCCTCTGACATCGCCTATGCCTAGGTACGGTCCTGCGCCTAACAATGCAGACTCAGCCGTTAATATCCTCGTTGATGTTGTGCGGGACCAAACAAAGGAGTCTAACATGGATGACTATGCGATCAGGTATCCCACAAACGTATTGGACATCGCATCCTTTTTGGTCCGCTTAACAGGTGTGTACAAATTCATATCTTCTGAGAAACCTCTTTGCTGAAACGAGGTTTGGTAGATCTCGATTTCGATGCTCTACCACCCATTCTCCACTATTCGGCGAACGAGTCCTTCACAAAGTATCAGATGTGCAAAATCTTTGCCGACATCCTTGGTCTCAATGTCATGAATATGAAGCCTGTCTCCACACCTCCAACTGGAGCTGGTGCCACATCACGCCCTTACAACTGCCACCTGTCTACTGCTGAAACAGAGAAATTACTTCCATTAGAATGTACAGGATTTAAAGCGTGGTGGGAGGAGTATTTACACAATGGCGGCAAGTAAACCCCTGCACCTGTATTACTATTAGTTACCAAAGCCTTCGATTTGCGTTCTTCGAATTCAACCAATCATTCATGTACTAGTCGCGTTCTGGTGACTGTTGCTAACAATCAGTCCTTTTTTCCCTTCGCGTATTCCTTTTGCTGCTCTTTCCCTGTCTCCTTCTTTTCTCCACGTTCTTCCTGGTGGGAGAGTCAATTGGTATTCGCATGCATCCCCACCACCCTCGGTGGTAAACTCACCGGCTCCGGCTGAGCGAAGTAAGCTAGGATACTCAATTTAAGCAAATATATTAAGAGTCGTGCTGAATGATACGCACTCTTTCGTTGCTCTGCATCCAACATCGGTTTCGAGACGCTACCATCAATGCAAGAAACTCCCATAGGTATATGCGAGCCTGTAAATTCAAGAGGTGGCGATTGTGTACCTCCAGACGACATTCTGTGCTTTTGTGTTGTAGAGTAGATGAGAGTAAGTCGTAACCCCTGTGCTAAACCTATGACATCATCCGAATCTCGCCATTTGTTGCATTTGGTGAACCTTATCTTTCGCTCCCAGTATCTGAGCCCCCGTCCTTCGTAATTGTATCTATTTCCTCAACATCCCGCGAACCACCTCCCAGTGTCTTACGTTCATATCCAGACACGTCGATTTCCTCGAACGTGTCAGCAGCGCCGATCACCGGGAAAACACGATTCAGCGCCCAATAGACAACCGCAGAAACTCCGAAGCCCGTGAAAAACGATAGCTGGTATATCCGGGTAGCTGCTAGAGGGACTGTTCGCCCAGCTGGGGAAAAACAACTCAGGATCGACGCATCGCGATCGCGTAAATAACTCACTAGCTCCAGCGAAACCGACAACGTTGATAAGGATTCCGGCAACATACGCGGCGTATGCTCTTGGTGACACTTGTCAGGGTCGGATGCTTCAAGTCAATTGAGACTCTCACCGGAAGTTGACCCCATATGTATACCAGTACCAGCTGCCATCTCCAGTCTTATAAAGGTCCTTTACGTTATAGTGACCCTTGCGGACAACGTAATATTCCGTCACCTACAGTAACCACTCAGAATGCTGAAAAGAAACCATCGCGGAATTGCCCACATACCATCACCCCAGCAATGGAGCTTAGGAACACGGAGTATGCGGAGAGGTAAGAAGTGAACTCATTACTGTTCTTCAGAAGATTCCATGGACACATGGCGAGACCAACGGTGGCAGCGATATACCCGCCACGTCGGATGTTCTACAGTCAGATCTTAAGCGTGTCATTTCTGATCATACAGCGGGAATGCATACGATGAAACGAGGGAACAGTGCGGTCAAATCGCATCCTGCCGACACCGAGTTCGCGCAGATGTTTGTGCTTGGTAACCAATGTCAGCTTTGGGATTGCTTTGGAGTCCGGGTATGTTATTTAACACACCCCATCTGGGAGAAGAAGCATTAGAATTGCAACCAACACCAAAGAATAAAAGCGAGGTCACCTGTGCCATCATGAATGACGTCGAGATAAACCACACCTGCCAATGAAAACGCATCAGACATACGCCCTGCTCCACGGACATAATGATCACACACCCCGAATCTCGTGGCTTTCGATGGATTATCATTCAAGAAATTTCCCAGAAGTTCGATGGGGGACCAGATGGCCGTCCCGTAAATTGCCTGCGATGACGAACTCACAAGGATTCCAATCAAACTCACAAAAGATGCAGTAAGAGGAATCGCAAACAGCTGTGGGAATAGCGCAGCCGATGGGGTGCGAGCGCGGGAGGCGAAGTCCGGTGCGTTTGTGATCAATGTTACCTCGTTACTGATGCATGACATAAGACTAGCCACCATGGCCCAGCCCAGCTTTGATCCGTGCAGTGTCGAAGGTTGGTGCACGATCGGACCGATTCCGTGAGCTTTCACGATGCACCATATGAGAAACGTCATCGAGGCTATGGGCATCAGGATGGGCGTCACAAGGAAGAAATGGCGGCTGAGGAAGATTTATGACCGTCTTCGTGAAGGGATGAGTGTACTTACACTTTGTGCACAGGGAACCAGATAATTGGCAGGGAAATGAGCCAGAAGAGGAAGAAGCACAGGTAATCTCGAGTGTTCGTTCCAGAGGACGCGGGCATTGAATTTGCTATTGGCCAGCCTCAGCTGGATATGATTGCCACAGGAAATGAGAAACGCGACGCACGCAAGTCATTGATGCTAGGCCACATTGCTCTGAGCATTACGAGCACACAGGAACCACCGATGCTTGCCTGAACGCCATACCATATGCTGTGCTGCTTAGCTCGCGCGTTATTGCGAAGTCGAGAAGGCGCACCATGCCATAGCAGCGCGATTAAATACACACCACAGACTACCAAACATCCCGAAGCTCGTGCGATTCACGATCGGGAACATCACATGGAAAATAGCACCAGGACGCGCATTCAGGATAAGGAAAGGCGCAGCAATGCCATAACCCAGCCACACGCATATCCAGGCTTGCCACCACGACATTCCTAGTTGGATCATGGAGCTTGGAAATCTCATTCAACATGGAATGATATCATAATGACGATGGTGAGCGTACGATACGATCATCCACATGTTTATATTAAACGTGTCTGCTGTCCAGAAGGCAACGTAGTTGTATGCACGCCACGTTCGTTTCTCTGGCTCGACAGGCAGCAAATCGTCGTTCTATCATGGAGCAATTATGTTGGTATATAGGAGATCAAATCCGTAGAGGATACTCACGGCGATGAGCTGCTCAGTAATCGTGAGATTGGTCTCATGAGTGACTTCGAGGCTTTGGACGATCCTATTGACTAAACCCATGGCAAGTTCAACTGATGGGAGGGAGATATCATCGTCCACAACTCGCAGTTCTTTAGCACTATGCTTATCTTGAACGCAGATGAAAAATAGATATGCCTATCGCCACGCGCTGAGCCAAGTCAAGCTTATTGTGAGAGCTGCCAGGGGTCTGCTGGGATAACTGTCAAGCACGAGGAGCACGTGTCGTCTAAAATTAGAGGGGTATACGACAGGTATTGTTCCGAGTGAGGCGTTGATCTTGTTCGTGGGGGATGTAACTGAGCTTCCCTTGAACGTTTCGATGAAGACGACGGAAATGAAAAGGTAAATCTGTTCAGTGTTCTGGCGTGGAGAATAATGGAGAATTCGCTTCCGCTTGCTTGGACGGTAACGAGGCGCGCGGATAACCTCAGATGATCTGGGATAACGCGGGAGAAGCTGAGAGAAGCAGTTGCGGAATTCATGTACAACAGACTGTTCCTGATATCAGGGCCAACCAATGCTTAAGAATAAAGAAAAGACGAACCTTGTCAAATTCAAATACAGACTCTTGATCCGAGGCTTCTGTCGCGGTGTCGTTGGGTGGTTGGGAGTTGGTCAAATAAAATGCGTGAAACATAGCTAAGCGATCACAACTATTGCGGCAAGATTTCTAACAGAGTCAAGATAATCATGAAAGCCTGTTACGAGCTGTACATGTCTTGAACGATGATCTGCTCCTTGAACATGCCCACCGATTCAGATGTCAAAGCGCGTATGCGTGACGGTAAATTGCAAAGAGTGCACACTGGTAGTTGACTGGTAGTCGAGTTTCTTCCAAAATTTGGAAACGGTCGGGCGAGCGGAGATTGAAAACCGACGGTACCTCCTAGCTAGGCTATCACTTGATTTATCATATGATCAAGAGGGACTTGACGAATAGAGTGCTTGGTGCACGACGACATCACTTGTGTCAGGCAGGAGCTAAGAGCTTACTAGGCGAATTTGCGGACAACGATGAGCGAGGGTTTTGTGTTCAGTTTGAGTCGGGAGTGGAAGTCAACACCGCCAGACACCACGGATGCTCGTTAGTATAATACAGACGGGACTTGTTATGCATATCTCTAACAATTGTTGACCCTGAAATACTACTATCGACACAGAAAACTCCCATAGGCCTACGCGAGTCGGCATATTGGTGATTGAGTGCCTCCGGACGACATTCTGTCTCAACGAAAGGGTGAACTTCATCAAGTTTCCTTTTGAGTTGCCTCCTTATCATTCGCTCGCGGTCTCTGATCCCGCGTCCTTCGTATCTATGTCCATTTCCTCAATATCCTGCGACCCATTTGCCTTAAGTTCATACTGAGACACGTCAATCTCCTCGAACGTGTCAGCAGCGCCGACCACTGGGAAAACACGATTTAGCGCCCAATAGACGACTGCAGAAACTCCAAAGCCCGTAACGAATGACAACTCGTATATCCGGGTGGCCACCAAGGGGACTTCCCGCCCGGCTGGAAAATACCAGCTCAGTATCGAAGCATCGCGATTGTGGGGTTCGCTTACTGGCTCCAGCGAAACCGACAGCGTTGATCAGAATTCCGGCAATATACGCGGTGTATGCCCTTGATGGCAGTTGTCAAAATTTTGAACGCTTCAAGCCCATTGAGACTCTCACCGGAAGTTGATCCCATATGTATACTAGTACCAGCTGTCCTTCCTGGTGTTATAAAGGTCCTTTACGTTATAATGACCCTTGCGGACAACATAGTATTCCGTCACCTACATCGACTGGATCAGAATGCTGAAAACATCTCGCAGAATTGCCTACATACCATCACACCAGCAATGGAGCTCAGGAACACTGAATATGCAGATAGATAAGAGGTAAACTCATTGCTAGTCTTCAGAAGGTTCCATGGACACATGACCAGACCGACGGTAGCAGCGATATACCCCCCGCGTCGGATGTTCTGCAGTCAGATCTTAAGTATGTCCGCTTCGTTCGTACGGCGGATATGCATACGATGAAACGAGGAAACAGTGCGGTCAAGTCGCATCCTGCTGACACTGAGTTCGCGGAAATGTTCGTGCTTGGGAACCATTGTCAGTTAAAGGACCACTCTGGATATGTTAGTTGACGCACCCCATCTAGGAAAGAAGCATCACGATTGCAACCAACAGCGAAGGAAACGGAAACATGCAACTTCACCTGTGCAATCACAAATGACGCCGAAATGAACCATACCTGCCAACGGGAGGACATGATAACGCGTCAGACATACACCCAACTCATCATAATCACACACCCCAAATCTCGTGGCTTTCGATGGATTGTCATATAAGAAGTTTCCCAGAAGTTCAATGGGAGACCAGATGGCTCTCCCGTAAATTGCCTGCGATGAAGAGCTCACAAGGATTCCAATCAAACACACAAAAGACGCGGTTAGAGGACTCGCAAACAATTGCGGGTATAGCGCGGCCGACGGGGTGCGAGCGCGGGAGGCGAAGTCTGGTGCGTTTGTGACAAGCGTCACCTTGTTACTGACACATGACATAGTACCGACCACCATGGCCCAACCCAGCTTTGATCCGTGCAACGTGGAGGATTGGTGCACGATCGGGCCAATTCCGTGAGCTTTCACGATGCACCATATGAGAAACGTCATCGAGGCTATGGGCATCAGGATGGGCGTCACAAGGAAGAAGTGGCGGCTGAGGAAGATAACTTTATGACCACCTTTGTAGGAAGCGATGAACGTACTTACACCTTGTGCACAGGAAGCCAAATGACCGGTAGGGAAATGAGCCAGAAGAGGAAGAAGCACAGGTAATCTCGAGTGTTCGTTCCAGAGGACGCGGGCATTGAATTTGCTATCACTCAGCCTCAGCTGGATATTGATACCGCAGTAAATGAGAGGTGCAACGCACGCAGGTCGTCTATGCTAGGCCACATTGCTCTGAGCATTACGAGCACACAGGAACCACCGATGCTTGCCTGGACGCCATACCATATGCTGTGCTGCTTAGCTCGCGCGTTACTGTGAGGGCAGGAGCACGCACCATGACATAACAGCACGATTAAAGACACACCACAAGCTCCCGAACATCCCGAAACTCGTGCGATTCACGATTGGGAACGTTACGTGAAAAATGGCCCCAGGACGCGCATTCAGGACAAGGAAAGGCGTGGCGATGCCCTGGCCCAGCCACACGCATATCCAGGCTTGCCACCACGACATCCCTAGCTGGATCATGGAGCTTGAAGTTTTGATTTAACACAGACCAACGATATTACAATAACGGCAGTGAACGTACGATACGATCATCCACATGTTTATATTAAACATGTCTGCTACCCAGAAGGCAACATAGTTGTACGCACGCCATGTGCGTTTCTCTGGCTCGACAGGCAACAAATCGTCATTCTATCATAAGGCAGTTTACGTTAGCATATAAAAGATTGAATCTGTCGTGGATACTCACGGCAATGAGCTGCTCGATGAGCGTGAGATTAGGGTTATGAGTGACTTCGAGGCTTTGGATGATCCGGTTGACGAAGCCCATGGCAAGTTCAACTGGTGGGAAAGGAGGGCGCCCTTTGACTGTCTGCTTTCAATCCTTATCTCTTATGTTTATCAAGAAATTCCCCTTGACGCAACCGGTAGATAAAAAAAAATAGACGTTGGGCTCGTGATGTGCCTATCTCTGAGGGCTGAGCCAAGTCAAAGTCGTCAGTTTGTGACTGGGAGGTGCTGGGGCACGTGTCCCTCTTGGTCAAGAATAGCGGGGTGTCATGACAAGTATCGTTCCGGGTGGGAAGCCTCGGATTGGCTCGTAGAAGATGACTGAGTGTCCCTACAAGGTTTGGATGAAGGCGACGGAAACGGGGAGTACCTTCCGCCTGCCCAGATGGTCACGAGGCGCGCGGTTAATGAGAAAAGTTGTCGCGGATTTCAGGTTCAACAAACTGTTACTGAAATCAGGGTTAATCAATGCCAGAGCACAGAGAGAAGGATATACGAACATTGTCGAATACAGACTCTAATTAATCTGAGGCATCTGTAGCGGTGTCATCGAGTTTGCCAATGATTTCGCGAGTCTGAGAAATGAATGAAAGTAATTGTAGTTGCACTTGGAACGAATCCTGCTCTTCGTTGACAACAAAGACGAAGCTCTGCGTGCGTGCAAAGTATGAGTCTCCGCTCATCCGTTGGCGCTTGTGCCATATCACGCCCTTACATCGGCTCCTACCACATGACCGAAACGGAGAAACCGTAAGTCGCGGCATGCATTGCATACTTATTATCGTTGGGCACCCGAAGAACATTAATATTGTAAATTGGCACGGAATCGTGGACTGTATCTTCGTTGAGAGGTGAGATATTGAAATCTGTATTTCATAAGAGTCTCTGTGTATGTGCGAGACTGCGAGTCCTGTGCTGAGAGCACCCGGTAGCGACTTCGACTAGAAGAGTAGCACGCCGGAGCTGAAGACCTCATGTTCTGTATGGTATATTGGGTATTCGCATTAGCACTGAGTCCGAAAGAAAGCAGCGTGGGACGGGTGGACAAGGTGTGGTCACCAGACAAATGTTTAATGGGTATGGTCACTGGTCACGCAGCTGGCGTTGAAGTCAAGTTACGATAGCTAGAACTAGAAACACTAGGTGAAGGGCACGGACTCCGAAAGTTTGCATGCTGTTGTTTGGCAAAAGCTTTGGATCCAAACAATCGCTGAGTCAGCGACTTTTCACTCTAGAACATTTCCAATCACATCCGACTCTCCGAGTCAATGGTTTCAAACCTGTTCCATGACTTACCAGACTATGAACCTAATCATTTCCTATTGTCTCAGACTTCAGACAGTTTAAGTCTCGTTGCCATGATTCCAACTTGAAACTGGACCCGGTATAACTGACAAGCTACACACAACCATCTAGTCTGCAGCTCAGATGCAGATGCAAGAAGAACTTGAGTGGGACCAGTGAGCGGGACCAGACGGGCACAGGAACGTACATCGAGAGCGTTAGCAGAGGATGCGGGGATCAACACCTCGTCGAGTCTTGACACTATTGTTAACTTGTATCGCTGTATACGTATGCCAGCAGCTGCGTTATGTTTCAAGAACTTACGGGCGACGTCATTGCAAGTAATCTTCGACCTGTTGAACCCTCATCTAGAATCGGTGGGGTTGTTGGGTGGTCTGCTTGATGCGAGTCCAGGGAGGCTGCTGGTTGGAGGCTGCATCCTTGAGTCTGCGATACCATCCCGAACTTCCAGTTATGACACTCTACTCTGGGTCGATGTACTGACGGTAGGTTATTTTGTAGCATGTGTCAATGCTGGTGGTAACGGAGAATTTGAGGTTTCGAGGTGTCGAACCAAAGTGGAGGGCAGGCATCGCAGTGGTCCCGTTGATGAGATTTCCATACCGGGGGCTAAAGTTTGTCAAATAAATGGTACCTTCACTTCAGTATGGTCTGGGGGATGTTTTGAGGGCAAGAAGCCTTGCAAGGAAGGTACGGACTACCTGGACGGACGGACAGACACTTTCGAGAATTCCGGTTTCTTGGCAGAGACCAGTGCAGCTAGAAGCTTTCGTGAACCAACAAAATATGACGAGGTGTACTACCTTTGTGGTAATTAACAATGACATTACCCTCTCGCCATTGTTTCCTCTTGGCTTTCCTTCTCATCTTTCGCTCGCAGTCTCTGATCCCACGTCCTTCGAATCTATGTCCATTTCCTCAACATCCCGCGAATCACCTGCCTGACATTCATAACCAGACACGTCGATCTCCTTGAACATGTCCGCAGCGCCGACAACGGGGAATACGCGGTTTAGCGCCCAATAGACGACTGAAGAAACCCCAAAGCCCGTAAAGAACGACAACTCGTATATCCGGGTAGCTGCTAGAGGGACTGTCCGCCCAGCTGGAAAACAACAACTCAGGGTCGGCGCTTCGTGATTGTGGAGTCAACTCACTAGCTCCAGCGAAACCGACAACATTGATAAGGATTCCGGCGATATACGCGGCGTATGCCCTTGATTTCATTGAACTTGTCAGGGTATTTAAAACGCTTCAAGCTCATTGAGACACTCACCGGAAGTTAATCCCATACGTGTACCAGTACCAGCTGCCCTTCTCGGTATTATAAAGGTCCTTCACGTTATAATGACCCTTGCGGACAATGTAGTATTCCGTCACCTACACCAACACGCTCAGAATGCTGCAATTAATCATCGTAGAACGCAGATTTGCCTACATACCATTACCCCAGCAATGGAGCTTAGGAATACTGAATATGCAGAGAGGTAAGAGGTAAACTCGTTACTGTTTTTCAGGATGTTCCATGGACACATGGCGAGGCCGACGGTAGCAGCAATATACCCGCCACGTCGGATATTCTGTAGTTGGATCTTAAGTTTATCAGTCCTGTGCATACATTTGAAATGCATACAATAAAACGAGGGAACAGTGCGGTCAGATCGCATCCTGCCGACACCGAGTTCGCAGAGATATTCGTGCTTGGAAATCGATATTAGCTTAAGCCTTGGGGACTGCGCTGCACATGTTATATTTGACACACCCCATCTGGAAGAAAGAGTATCAGGATCGCGACCAGCACCGAAGAAAATAAGCGATGTTACCTGTGCAAGCATGAATGACGCCGAGATAAACCATACCTGCGAAGGGGAAGACGTGATAGCGCGTCAGACATGCACCCAAATTCTCCGACATCACATCTACACACCCCGAATCTTGAGGCTTTCGATGGATTGTCATTCAAGAAATTTCCCAGGAGTTCAATGGGCGACCAGATGGCGATCCCGTAAATTGCCTGCGATGACGAGCTCACGAGGATTCCGATCAAACACACAAACGAGGCAGTTAGAGGAAACGTAAACAATTGTGGGTATAGCGCGGCCGATGGGGTGCGAGCGCGGGAGGCGAAGTCCGGTGCGTTTGTGACAAGTGTCACCTTATTGCTGATGCATGACATAGAACTGACTACCATAGCCCAGCCCAGCTTTGATCCGTGCAGTGTGGAAGGTTGGTGTACGATTGGGCCGATTCCGTCAGCTTTCACGACGCACCATATGAGGAATGTGATTGAGGCTATGGGCATCAGGATGGGCATCACGAGGAAGAAGTGGCGGCTGAGGAAGGTCGCGTTGTGACCATATTCGTGAACAGACAAACGTACTTACACCTTGTGCACAGGAAACCAAATGACCGGCAGTGAAATGAGCCAGAAGAGGAAGAAGCACAAGAAATCTCGAGTGTTTGTCCCAGAGGACGCGGGCATTGAATTTGCTATTGCTCAGTGTCAGCTGGATATAAATATGAGATGCGAACTGCAACGTACGCAGGTCGTTTATGCTAGGCCAAATTGCTCTGAGCATTACGAGCATACAGGAACCGCCCAGGCTAGCTTGAACACCATACCATATACTGTGCTGCTTAGCTCATGCGTCACTGTGAAGGTAGGAACACGCACCATGCCATAGCAGCGCGATTAAATACACACCACAGGCTCCCAAACATCCCGAAGCTCGTACGGTTCACGATTGGGAATGTCACATGGAAAATGGCCCCAGGACGCGCATTCAGGACAAGGAAAGGCGTGGTAATGCTGTAACCCAGCCATACGCATATCCAGGCTTGCCACCACGACATTCCTAGTTGTATCATGGAGCTAGGAGATTTCATTCAACACAGGCCAATGATATCATAATGGCGGTGGGGCGTACGATACGATCACCCACATGTTTATATTAAACATGTCTGCTATCCAGAATGCAACGTAGTTGTATCCGCGCCATGTTCGTTTATCTGGTTCGACAGGCAGCAAATCTTCGTTCTGTGGAGCAGGTTATATTAACAAACGAAAGATTACATTCGTAGTGGATACTCACGGTAATGAGCTGCTCGGTGAGCGTGAGATTGGGCTCATGAGTGACTTCGAGGCTTTGGATGATCCTGTTGATCAAGCCCATGGCAAATTCAACTGGTGGGAGGGCGCTATGATTGTCCACGACTCGCAGTTCTTTAACTGTCTGCTTTCTATGCTTATCGCTCAAGTTTGTCAAGGAATTCCCGCCATGACCTTTACATAGAGTGCACCTGGACCTGGTAGATGGAAAATAGATGTGGGGCTTATGATATGCCTATCGCTCCGCCAAGTCATGGTTGGGACTCGGTTGTGATATCTAGATAACTGTTCCCATCATGGGTTTAATCTCACGTTACCTCTTGTGCCAAAAATACATCTTGGCAAGGAGTCTTCTTTTCTGAGGACTTTATGCCTGAGGCAAGTCTGAGGATCCAGTGAGCTTGTGTGCACGCGACTAAATTCAAGTGAAACGAGACGTATCGAGACTCTTCGGCGATCTCTTGAATTGAAGATAGATTGATGCGAGGTGCGTAATACATAAATGCTTGAGAAGTCCAACAATGCGGATACTCTGGGAGCACAAAGCAATAAGCAAACCGAAGCGAGTGAACCAGATTGGAGCATAGCAAGCGAGATGTAGCCTGATGTAACCCATAGGTAGTGATGTTGGTGATGATGGAATTCATAAATAGAAAAAAATAATTGTTATGCACAAGAAGGAAAAGCAGGTAGCCGCTCTGGGATGAAGGTTGATGATGAGTGTGAAAATGAGATTTGGGTAAGATGTGATAGTAAATTGTACGTGTGCAGGTGTCACTAGTAGCAGCTCAAAGGGCTCACGACGGGGTATACGACAAGTATTATTCTGAGTGGGAGGCGTTGGTCTTGTTCTGGGGGGATGACTGAGCTTCCTTAAAACGTTTCGATGAAGGCGACGGAGATGAAAAGGTAAATGCCGAGTAGATCTGTTTGCGTTCTGGAGTGGAGAATTCGGTATGGGAAGCTGTCCTTGAAGCAAGAGGAGTAGCTTCCGCTTGCTCAGATGGTAACGAGGCGTGCGATAGTGGGGGCGAGAAGTAGTCGCGAATTTCAGGTTCCACAGACTGTTCCTGGAACCAGGATCAATCGGTGCAAACAGAGAAAAGGATGTACGAACTTTGTCAAATACAGACTCTTGGTCAGAGGTTTCCGTAGCGGTATCATATGCTTCAGAAACGTCTGCCAATGGTGAGACGGTAAGCTCATAACACTTGGAATCTATATTGGCCTGGGAAATGATAAGACGAGTGGGGTCTCGCTTCATTGGAGTCGCAGTTGAAAGCTCCTGTTCCTCATCAACTCTTGGCAAAGGGGAAGCGTTGCGTTGAGGGCGTGAGCCTCTAGGAATTTTTTTCCGCCCATCACTTTTCTTGCCACTAGACGATTTACGCGATTTCTTCGGCTCTGACTTTACTTCTTTCTGCTTCTTGGAAGATAGCGGAGGAGCTACGACTTTTGTGACCAGAACTGCTGTCTTGCGCTTCTTGGATGCATTAGCCGTGGCTTGGGCAGCGCGTTCGCCGGTAAGCGGATGAAGGTTCTCCTTCTCGATAGCGGCAAGGGTTGATAGCAATGTGGCAGCAGCATCCGCAGCAGTTGTTATGACGAGATTTTTATCGCTAACATGAGTGATCTTCTGAATCTCGGTTGGAGTGTCCTGGAAGACTGTGAAAGAGCGAACGGACATTGAGATTTGAATGAGCAATGAGGCAAGAAGAATGCAGTGAATCGGGAAATGGCGCTAGGGACGGTGTGTAGGCAGTGTAGGCTGATGCGCGTGGATGTGACTGCTCAACACAACAAGTTGTTCATGCGTGTTCGGTAAACTCTCTTTAAAATGGACGCGTGTTTATTAGAACTCCGATGTTCCGATTTGCCACAACGCGTCGCGTTCTGCTCACGTGCTTTTAGTCTTCTTGGTTTAGACCTGCACGCGACATCATCGTGTCCTGAACCAATGTTGGCCAACTCCCCAAACGATGTTTCAACGAAGCAGTGGCTATCTGCCAAAACGTTTAGAACGTATGGTCATTGCATCAGAACTTCCTCTGCTAACGTCAGAACGCAGCACTTTGTCGTGCTTCAACCGCAGCTCTGAGCTAACCCCCTTCCGTGCCAATCGTCTTTTCATTCACATCGAATCATTATGTCAGACGAATCTGTAATGATCGTCTCCCGCTCATGGCATCGGAATGATTCTGTCATAGCCCCATTATTCTGGTATTGGTCAGCACGTTATCCAATCCCTCAGCCCTTTGATATGATATGGGTATTTCTACACCCGCGGCGGCCCCCCGCCCTAGAATTCGGCCGTGGAACATAGATGCAACGGTGCGGAAATTTCTCATAGAAGTTTGACAAAAGTTTCACTGGTCTCAAGGGTTCCAGACGTCGAGACCAAAGAACCGCAAGCAGGCTGACTTTCAAAGACTGCATTCGATGCTGACAAGTTAGACATTTGTTCCGCGTCGGATTCCTAAGCAAGCAACTCCTCTTTTGAAAGCGGTGTCGGAATCGATCACTTTCTCTCTCGATGCGGTAATAGTTCTCGTATCGTCCTGCGCCTTTTCCATTTAGGGGTACCCGAGACATACGCAAAATGAAATGAGCTGCTAATGGTATGCGGGCTCGGATTATGACAGAACCGTAAAGCCAAGCATGTCATTATCGCAGGGGGATCTGAATGTTGCGCCCCCTTCGTCAATCACGACCACCACACCAGGCGCGGCCTCATGCTGAACACGCCGCAAACAGACGTCAGCCATTTAAATTGCCGCTCATCCATCATTACTCTTCGCCTCTCCCGTTTACCTCTCCCCGTAACGTTCCTAGCCCCCGGCCCTTCCATTCAAGTCCATTAGGACGTTCCTCCTCCCTCACCACTCTCCCTTTGTTGTAGAAGCGTTTTCGGCCAGGATGCCGTCCAAGCAAGCCTCCTCTGCGAACACTCCCCCTCCTCCTGCTCTCGGCACTGTCATCGACAACAATACCCTAGAGCTCGTAGAAGTGCTGGGCGTTGGTGGTTATGGTGTTGTCTATCGTGCTGTTGACACCCGTGATCCCCTACTCACCTCCTACGCCGTCAAGTGCCTCATAAGCTCCCACATTCACCACAGCACTCGGCAGCGTCAGCTTCACATACGTGAGATTGCTCTCCATCGCCTCGCTTCAGCGCATCCGAATGTGGTTACCCTGCACAGGGTGGTTGAGGAGGGCAACTACACCTACATTATTATGGATTATGCGAGTGACGGCGACCTTTTCTCCCAGATATTGCACAACTGCCGCTATCTGGGTCATGACCACCTCATCAAGCACATATTTTTGCAGCTCCTTGACGCTGTCGAGTACTGTCATTCACTTGGCATTTACCACCGCGACCTCAAGCCAGAGAATGTCCTGTGCTTCGACGGTGGCATGCGAGTCGCAATCACTGATTTCGGCCTTGCTACGACTGACAGGTTTAGCGAGGAATTCAGGACGGGCAGCGTATATCATATGAGTCCAGGTAATTATTTTACGTTTCAACCGTCGCGTATACCGATCTCTATTTTAGAATGTCAAGGAGGGGAATTCGCTCCGACAGGCTCGTATTCACCTCTGTTCAACGATATTTGGTCGTTAGCTATAATTCTGCTCAACCTCGCGACCGGTCGGAATCCGTGGAAGTCGGCGTCATCATCAGACCCCACGTTCCAAGCGTATTTGCAGGATCCGGCTAACTTCTTGCCAACCGTCCTCCCTATTTCACCCGAGGTGAACGAGATCCTGTGCCGCATGTTGGAAGTGGATTGGAGGCACCGCCTCACGCTTGCAGAGGTCCGCGTGGCGATACAGGATGTGGAACACTTCTACGCCGAGGGCGTAATATTTGAAGGCAGCATGGCCCGTTGTGCCTGGGAGATCGATGTGGACCTTGAGAGCGACAGTGACTCCTCCAATCATGAGGAACCTGTGGAGGCTCAAGATGAGCTCAAGTCCTTTTGGAGTAAAGATTCGGATACGGAGATGGACTTTACGAGGCTTTCTGTTCAAAATCCGGCCTGGGAGCAGTATTCGTCGTGCAATGCGACCTGGGCAATCGAATCATCTATTCGGTCGCCATCACCGTCTTTGATTGAGCCGCTCAAAATCTACGAGTCCCCTCGTACTCCACCATCGACATACTCACCCCAATCTCCTGTTTCTAGCTCGTTACCCTCCGCTCCCGCCACTCCTGACGGTGTGATGTGCAGTCGGCCCACGCCAATTCCCGCCAAGGGTCTCAAAATCAACACAGTGTGCGGGCGTCGTATATTTTTCACTGGTAGCAGTGAAACACGTTCCACCTTTTCCTCTATGCACACTGCTGTCGAAAGTTCGACGCCGTTCTCCTCCTGTTTTTTCCTTCCCACTCCCCCCTCGGTTTCGAAGCTGTCTTTGCCTTGGACCAATTCTGGAATGCCTTCTTCGGTTGACCTAGGCGCTTATTCTACACCTGAAAGCCAGCGGATGGATTCCGCATGGGATTATACAGAAACAGACTATTCACCATCATCATACCCTTCCACCTCATCCTCCAGCATTGTGGGTCTAGAACTTGACCTCTCTCCCACATGTCACGTTGCTGAGGACACTACGCTGGCCACCTGGCGGCGTGACCAAGTTGTACCCGCTATGAATCACCTCGTACCCGCCGTTGTCATGAATGCATTTCGCTCCATCGACGCCCCCCTTCCGACTCCTCCGCCCTCAGCTCCAATCCCGATCCCGCGTTCCACTGCAGGCGAGGAGAAGAGGTGGTCCTCAAGCCTGTGGAGGTTCTCATTCCCCCGCTCATCGTCGCCGCCGCACCACACGGAAGAGCAGCCGCGTTCACGCAGGGGGTCCTTCACAGATTCGTTTCCCTTCTCCACGTTCTTTTCTGCGAGTCCAACCTGGGGACGTCGGTCGCCGTCACCCAGCATGCCGGAGCCGCCACCACCCGCTGTAATCGCAACACATGAGCAATGCCGGCAGCAGGCCCCACGCCCTCGTCAAAAACGTCACTGGTTTTCGCCAGGAAAACTGTTCGCTACAGCTGGAGGCTCGTAGTTATGGACTTCTTATTCTCATTCAGTCATCATCATCATTCTTCAGACCTACTCACGATTTCTCATGCCACGACATTAGCATTTTGGGCCCCATCTTACCATATCTTTCGATTTCGATTTCTTTTTTTCTTTGATTTACTGTTGTGCAATCATCCAGGCATTATATATGAGTACCTGGCGTACACGAAACTTATGTATCGATATGCTGCTGTAAATTTGATGCAATCCACGAATCCATGCACGCATGTGCCATGCAGTGCTCGCCGTCCCATTACCCTTGGCTTTGAACCCATTTATGGCAAATTAATAATGTGATACCTTGAGTCTGGGTGCGTTCTAGAAGGTGAAGATAAAGTTACCTTTCATTCGAACTTGGTAAGATTACACTCGAGGTTTCAGTTTGTCTTACTCACAAGCACAGAATTTAATTTCGAACGTCAGCTCAAGAGTGCCTTCCTGAGGTTACCGTTATTTCGATGCGCCTCGGGTCTCGATCGTAGCTGGGCTCTAGGAACGTAGAGTAAAAGAACACACTGGAACCAATCAATTTATTCCGCGGAAAGGAGTGTCACAAAGCAGGGACGCCAGAACACGGGAATGAAAGCTAACAGCACCCCAAAATCAGTACGTCCTGAGATCCACAAGCTTCCGCCCACGATCGCGTTCTACAGCACTCTTGTTACGCAGTCCAGATCCCTTGTCGAGCTTCCTGGCCTTCCCTCCAAATCCATCACCCATAGCCAACGGCGCGTTCCCAGCCTGCAACACCCTGAACAGCGCCTTGATAACATTGAGTGGATTACGGCTGCCCCATACTTTTGCACTGGCATCCTTGATGCCTGCTGCTTTGAGAACCTGATGCACGTTCGGGTTACAGCGCAATCCAAAACCGACAGGACGAGGCCGTAGGATGATGTGCGTGGAACCGAGCTTTGTTTCCATGTCCGTCCACATCGTACGCTTCTCGAAGCGCTCGACGTAGTCCATGTTACGAACGGCAGCGGCGAATGCCTTGTCGGACGCCCTAGGCAGTTCGTCGTCCTTGCCCTCTCCATATCCCACCAGCCCATCTCCATTCCCCACAACAACAAGTGCATACTGTCGGTGTATTTTCCCCTTCCCTGTCTGTTGCGTGATGCGGCGAGAAATGAGCTGGAACTTGTACAGCTTGTCGAGAGCTGGCTGGCTGAGAGAGAGGTGCGCGAGCGGAGAGACCTCGTCTTCCTCGTCAGCTTCCTCGTCAGCATCGTCTTCTTCGGCAACGTTCTCTGAATTTTCTGGACTGCTTGTTTCTAGCCCTTGGTTAATGCGCTGTTCATAGACACTGCGTATGACGACGCGGTTCGCGTGTGGTGTGCGTTTGGTAGGAGGGAAATCCATGGCTAAAAGATCGTCATGAATAGCGTCTGGTTTCATTACGTCTGGAAATCCATAATTGTCCTCTTCCTCCTCAATAGCCTCCACCTGTGATTCTGGCAATGCATTGGGTGGAGAAGAATTTGAAGGATCTGTGGAGAACTGTCTCAAAGATGAAGTTGATGGTCTACACAGAAATACGCGACGGGGGTGGGTTGGAGGTCGTCGAAACGCGGAGGAGACGCTGGCTCTTGCAAGTCTATGCATTTGCTTTGCACGCGTTTGAGTTAGAAATTTCAAAGGTGTACCAAATTATTTGTACCTATTTGGTTTATGTCAATTTAGGACGACGCGTAGCGGATTGTCTTTGATATTCGATGGTTGACCACAACGATAATAATGGAAGGAAATAACTCTTTAGCTGCAGATCTCAGCGGGTCAGACCTGTCGAACCTATTTCCGCTAATTGACAGAGAGAAGTAAGCACTTGCTGACTTATCGCGGTGTAATCTTTCGCACAGATATCTGACTTTGATGAAATACCTATCAAGCGTACATGGGCTCAACTTGGCAATACCAGAGCAGGCTAAAGCGCTTATCAAGCCCTGGAGTGAGCGTGAGGATACCACTGTATATGCAGACTCCGGTGTAGACGATCAAGTGAGCGGTGTCTCTGAGATGAGATCCACTTTGATCAATGATGACTTTCCGCAGATGATCATACACGTGCCCTTCGCACAGAACGTGCGCGTTAAATCTATTATACTCAAATTAGGTGATTGGTGCTTTTTTACACTGGATGTCTGCGTTACACGTTCATTATACGTACAGGCAGAGGCGAAACTACACCCCGCCACCTCAGGGTGTACGCGAATTACCCAAATATCATCGATTTTAGTGACGCCGAAACCACGAAACCACATCTAAACATCAGTCTCTCGGAGGGCGAGACGGCAGTGGTTGAATATCCTCTGAAGGTTGCAGCATTTTCCAGTGTTCATTCATTAAGCTTGTACTTCGTGAGTTTTGTCCACCCGCATGACAAAAATCGTTCAACTGAATACGTTTTAGCGCGAGTCGGTTGGAGGAGAGCTTTCTCGCATTTACTACCTCGGATTCAAAGGAGATGTCCGGACTCTGCGGAAAGAGGGAACAAATAAGTTAGAGGTAGCTGCTGCTGATGCAGCTGATGCACCCCTTGTAGACCGTCTTGCACAGAAGACAGGAGGGCAACAGACTACTGCCCGGTGATGTACTTTGCCTGTCTTGTATTTGTACGATGTACGTTTGATGACTGACCTCAAGTTTCTGGTCACCAGTCAACCGAATCTCAGGATGCATTCGGTGATGGCCGCTAGCCCCTGGGAAGTTAAATTGTGAAAGACATCAGGCTGTGATGGGCTGTGGTGAACAGCCTCTGTAATAAATTGCGGGAAATTATTTTTCTTTTTTGAGTTTGAGTTCACTTAATCTTGTTCCATGCCTTGTCAAACCGTCAAACGGCAGCGAGCAGCAGTTGATGACAGTTTTTTTGCTGATATTATTACCGAGGTTGCAGGTCAACATCAGGACGATGACGATTGGTATGATTACTATCCAGATTCCAACCTGCCGAGGTCTCCTACTGTGATTCTGTCCGTGCTTTTTTTAGTCCAACATCCTCAACAATTACGTCTACCATAGTGGCGAGGCGCGACTCCTTTGCCAGATCTCATGGGGACACGGTCGCCGTCAAACTGTACCCGTTGATTGATAGAAAAAAGTAAGCATTCATTTAAATTTGGTCATCGCAGTTTCAACTCTCGGAAATACATTATCTAACTTTGATAAAATATCAAGTGTACATGGGCTCAACCTGGCAATGCCACAGCTGGCGGAAGCGGTTATCAAGCCATGGAGTGAACGTGAGGATACCACTGTATATGCAGAATTTGATGAAGTGAGTCGCATTCTCTCAGAATAAATTCACTTTCATAAAAGTACCCTTCGCATAGAACGTGCGCGTTAAATCCATTCTGCTCAAGTTAGGTGATTGATGCTTTCATAAACCTGATGTATATATTGCCATGCGACTATAATATCAGACACACAGGCAGAGGTGATACTACACCCCGCCACCTCAGGGTATCTGCAAATTACCCAAATATCATCGATTTCAGTGACGCTGAAAATACAAAGCCGCATTTTTGCATCAGTCTCTTGGATTAGGTTTAATGTTCGTTCCTTGGGCTTGTACTTCGTAAGTTGCTTATGTTTCCCTCATGATCGATGAACCGAATAATTTTTGTTTCTCGCATTTACTATCGGATTCAAGGGAGTGTGCAGACTCTACGAAAAGAAGGACAAATAAGTCTGATTCAGGGGTAGTTATTGCTAATGCACCCCGTATATATTGCCTTGTGCAGGATTAGGACGGGAACAAACGACTGACATCGATATATTTTTGTTTGTCTTGTACTCGTACGATGTCGAACCACAGAGCCGCCGAATAGCCATGTCAGGGGTTAATTTTCTATTTTCATCATAATTGATTACATCAGCAACGCTTTGTTGAAGCGTGATGAAACGATTCACGAAGGGTTGAGCTTAGGCGTGTTCATCATAAAGCGGCATGGATATCGTGAGTATCCTCCCTATGTGCTATGCGTAGTCTTGCTTTACCTGTCTTGTGCTTCATCAGGACGATAGAAATGTGGGCTCAAACTGGCTCCCGCTTTTTGGAACGCCACACGAATTTCCTTGGACCACTACTCGGTCTGCAGAGATAGAATCCCGACGCGCGCAGATGGCCGACGTCCTAATTTTTGATGTTCTGCTCATACGGGGTGGCATCCGTCAACCGGATATGCTTTATCCACCCACAGACCTACATTCGCTCCATAGGCTACTGGATGTCATCAATGGCTCGAGTTACGATAGCTTGAAGAAGGACTGTCTGGTGTATATCCTCTTGAAGTGGTTTCAAGATGGACGAGAGATTAACTATGCTGAGGAGAGGTGTATACCACCACAGTTTGTGTCCCTTGCAGATGCATATTGGCATCTGGACACCGGCATCCATGTCGAGGTATGTTGTCATATTCAGTATCATAGTTTCTTTCACCCTTACGGCGGGTTAGAAAGCAGTTTCAATACTGTCAGATGCCAGACTCAATAGGGACTATGCCTCCAAAATTATGCAGGCGCTTTCGTTGTCCGAGAATCCGTTCCCACTTATCGTGAAATACGTGCGGACTGCCAAGCCTCCGCTCATGGAACCTGACGACATCGATATGTATGCGCTCGCACTGGCTAACTCAAGTCTTTGGGACGCGTGGCAATTCCAACGCACTTTTCCTGATTCCTCGGACACGCGTACGCGTCTACTCCACAAGCTCTTAGGGTGGTGTCTTTCGCGTGCGTAAACCGACCGACATTCCTTGTGACCTTGTTAATGTTGAAGGTTTTATAACAGCCAAACCACGCCCTGGGCCGTTGGCACAGCTCGTGGCATATCCTCTATCCCCTCCGGAACAGTCTCTACTCCATGCATATGCTCTCAAACCCCCGCATGACATTCCGGCAGCTTCTGTTGCCATCGTCCAAGACCTTGTCTGCGTCCGACTCGTCCAAAGTGGAGAATATGCAGCAGCCATCAAACTAGATCGCCAGTTCTCCGCTGTAGGGTCTGCTGGTATAGAGGTCGTGAAAGCCGCACGGGAGAGAAAGAAGATGATGGATGACATCTTGGGGAACATGACATATGTGGAAAGAACGTTGTTGGAGAAAGAGCTTGGCCAGCCAAGTACGTTGCCTTCTGCCCCGGCGCTCCAAGTAGCAAAACCCGCGCCTCCGAAGCCCAGAGCACCTCTAGGTGATCTCAGCATGTCATGGGAGGAGATTCCATCCACAAGTTCTCTGAACGGGGCCTCCCCTCGCAGAACGGACAGTCTTACACCCCGGATCCCCGAAAAACATACCAATCTTTCTGGTTCTGGTCGCTTTGAGCCAAAACCGTCACTTGCTGGGCCCGTTCCAGGGAGTTTCTTCTCCTCGCCATCCCAAAAACCTCCCGCTGCATCGCCATTTGCTCAACTTCCACCACGCAAATCCGTTGCTGCGCCGCCTGTCCCCCTCGTGGGCCCATCCGGAATCAAATTCGCGCATAGCACTGCCTTATCAAAGACTACGTTCGCATCAAACGTGCCGACTTCATCGCTGTTTGAGAAGACTGGTAGTGCCAAAAAGGCGCCAAATGCGTTCTACAAGCCACCACCAGCATCGACTGGAACAAGCCGTGCACTTACTACGGAAGACGTGCCCACACGGCCTCATTCACGCGGGGGAGATGATATTAGCATGGAGTCTGATGACGACAATGCCTTCATTATCCATGAAGACGGCGACGTTACTACTATGCCGGATGATATGGATGATGAGCCTGAGCTCGGCTTCTCCGTGTTCGGCAACAAGAGTGCAGCCTCACCTGAGCACCGCACTCGTGCTCTTGCATCGAAGCTGGTGGAATCCAAGAAACGTGCACCTCCAGGCGCATTTTACGATGAAGACGAGGACGAAAGCGATATTGGTTCCCCTCACAAAAGCGCTTTTCCGCAACAACGCAGCGCCCGTTGGTCTCAGCCCCGTGCGCGTACTCCCAGTCCTCGACGCAAAACCTCCAGTTCCCATAAGGATAATATCAAGGGCCCTGTTCTCGCACAGAGCATACCTGGCTCTTTACTTGACGATGATGAGGACCAAGACGAAGATGATATCGCTCCCTTGCCGCCGTCCCGTACGGCTCGTAAAACCCGAAATGGCGTATCAACCAAAGTCAAGCCTGCGAAGGATGAAAAGACGCCTGCGCGCCGGTCGTCCAGGTTGTCAACGGCTTCGTCATTGGCTTCCGTGTCACCAGAACCGCCATCGCCTCCTGTGAAGGCAACCAAAACTAGGAAAGGCACACGCACTTCGACGGCAAGCGCCGGTGCGGGGGCCGGTGCAACACGGAGTAGCTCAAGAAGAAAGGCCGTCAAAAGTTGAGATTGCAGTCATGTGTTTGAGTGCAGTCGGCTTCGGGCTTGCAGTATTTCCATACCCTTCTTATTGATCGCTATGCTCGTCATGTTGGTTAACTAACCTTGGGGGTCAGTGGAGGTAATTTTGCTCTTCGTATTTACCTTGTTTGTTGTTTTGTTTCAGCACGAGTTATCCATGGCGAATTTAGTCTCCCCTCGACCAATAGGAGGAAGATGGTTGTTCCTTCTATATCAGCCACGACTCTTCAAAATGGTACAGCTGTCAAGTTCTAGGCCCAGCACTTATGTTTTGTGGACATTGGGCAATGGGCGGAACTTGCCAGAATTCACGGACAACTCAGGGGGGTGTTCATAATGAAGTCATTAGATGTGAGAGTACATGTCAGACCCTCCACGAGACACAGCCAACGGAGCATATGTCATTCAATTCTCCTAGCAGTTCTCGGCACTAAAGCCCACAAGACGGTCATAAACACCATCATCGAAACGAGACTTTTGTGCCACCAGTGGTCAGTTTTATTAAGCACAGGCAGAATGACTAGGAACACCCACAATGGCTGTAAACTCTTGATTCCCGTCTTCGAAGCAATGGCACCGGTTAAGAATGGTAAGAGCGCAGAACCTGCCTGCCCAAAGCCTGCAATCCAGCCAATTGACCCTACATTCGGGTTTCAGTTGACCATATTCATGCTACTAAACACGATATTACCTGTGACGAGCCACTCAGGGAGGATTCGTACTGTGTGATTCATAGCGATGGGGTACATCGGTCCCAAAAATACACCGATTATGGCGACCGCCACGCCTCCACCAATGAGTGAAGGGACCAGCCATACTATTAGTTGCAGCCCAATTGCGAGGGCGGAGTAAATGAATAAGACACGACGTTCCCCGACCTGTGGTTTATTGTCATCCATTAATGTTGCGTTCAACGGACGGGATAGAGACTTGCCTTTTTGTTCACCCACAAAAGACCGACACGGCCAATCATGAGACCTATTGCAAACATATAGTTGAACCCCCTAAGATGCCTAGCAAAGCTTACCTCCGAAAAATCCCGATGATATGTATCCTGAACTTGGGCCTCCTCCGCGCACGTCGATTATGTACGTCACCATCCAGCCTGGAGCAATATTTTGGGTGAACATCCTTTACACGTAAGTTGTATGCTTACCTCCTACAGTGACTTCCACTCCTACATATATCAATATGAAGAAGGCAAGGAGGTGCACTTCTCTGAGTCGCAATATCTGGTTGAACTGGCTCTTTTCACTCGTTCCCTTTTCGCCAGCCGGCTGTCCAATCTGAGCGAGGCATTCTGTGAAATGCTTAGCCATCTTCTCGATAATATGAGTGCTTATCATACCATCCTGTGTTTTCAGCCCAAAGACCGCGATCAACGATACAAGGTTTATGAACGCAACGCCGAGGCTACACAGGAAGTGAAATGACCAATGCGGGAGCTGAGCAAATTGCGTTGCTACTAAAGGGGACGACAAAGCGCCAGCACCTAAAAAGTGATAACAGGAATATCTATCACGTTGCGCCGCCACGGAAGACGTGCAACTCACCGTATACCTGTCGATTTTAGTAAAATAAATCGAGAGTTCACGTACAAGACAACACTTACCGCATGGAGGATCCCCATTTTGACCTCGGGGTTATCCTTGAGACTGGCCACAAAACCATTCGATTGTGCGTCCTAATTTCATGGTCTATCTGGGTCGTAGAATCTACTGTGCCCACACCGCTTACCTGTAAAGCCATTCCAAAGCCATTGATGGCGTAACCTAGCACGAATGCAGGAAATGGCAAGGCCGCCGCTTCTATGGCGTACGCTATAACTTGACACGCCGATCCTGAGCAATCATAAGGCGACTATGAAATATGCTTGTAATGACCTAGTCTCACCTAACACAATCACCTAGACCACGGAGCGTACCTCAGAGATCGTAAAACAAATTCATCAAAAATGAAATTACCTTCCCAAAACCGAATCTGCCGTTGAGATATAGATTTGCGAATGCTCCTGATAGGAAGCCCTGTCGCGGAAACTCAGACTCAGATCGGCGAATTTTGTATACTGCAGTGAAACCTTACAACACATGCGAATACGAATATCAGAGATACGACAGCGAAATTCAGCTGTCAGGACGGTAGGATGGTCAACTTCAGAGAGAACTGCAGGTATTTGAAACCACCTACGCCGTACACTGACTGTATGCGGGGGAGCAATGGACCAGTCGACCCATCATTCCATCCAGCTAGGTACATCGACCCACAAGCTGTCGCAAACTGCACTCTCGCGCGCAGCCGCTGACCTTTTGTTTGGGCTTTCAGGTCAGAGACAGACGCTGCCTTTGAATCACTTTCAGGTGACCCCAGACGCATTTCAACTTGTCCATTGTGTTTGTCACTGTCTTTAACTTCGTGATGAGGGTCAACTGTCGGATGGTGCGAAACCGTAAGACCTTGAGCCGTCGTCGTCGTCTGCATGATGAGTTCTGAATTCGGATACGTGGACTAGTACAAGCTGGGGGAGGAGGGACTGATAAGGGATGTTTCAACGATCTTCCACCACATTCCCAGTAAGTGATACGGGCCCCGCAAAGGCTCTAGAGTCTGAATTCGAGTCATGCGGATGAACGTACTACGCTGAATCCTGATAATCATTTTATAACTCTGTACGTAAAAAGTGTAAAACATGACTAATACTAACTTCGGACGGAGATCTAGATCTGAGCATACTTACTAGTACACCGGTGCAGTCAAACGTGTAACCCCATATGCCTCTCTATATGTACAACCTAACTTCAATCTCAAACCTTCAATCCGGGCGACGCGAACCACGGGACACCAGCGCCCACAACACAGTCATAAGACACAGTATCCCAACCAATCTAAAAAAAGGATATGAGGTATGGTCATGTACTTCTATCATGACACGTACACAGGCTGCAGGGTTTTAATTCCAGAATTTTGTGCGATAGCACCCGTCATAAACGGGACCAATGCAGAGCCTGCCTGCCCCACTCCTGCAACCCAACCAATAGCACCTATATCCCGAGGATTGTGAATTAAAAACCATGCTCAGACTGTTTGAGACATACCAGTAAGTAACCAGCGAGGAAGAACGCGTCCTGCATGGTTCATAGCAATTGGATACATTGGCCCCAGCAACACGCCAATGACAGAGACAGCAACTGCATCGCCTACCAAAGATGGAACGAACCATACGACTAACTCGAGGCTATGCACCAGAAATGGATCATCAGCTATGATAAAGCAAGCACGTTTCCATCACTAACATGATAGCCAGAACGGCGTAGATAAACAAGGCCAGCCGTTCTCCAATCTATTTTGTGTCCCGAATCAGCCGAAATGTCCTTTCACGTTCAATCGAGCGATCTACCTTTTCATTACACCATAGCAAGACCACTCGGCCAGCCATGAGACCTATGGAATAAAGGATGAGTCAAAGTCATTATCAAGCGCCGTTACATACCGCCGAAAAATCCAGTAGAGATATAACCAGATGAAGGCCCTCCACCTCTGACACCAATAACGTAGGTAACACTCCAGCCTTTTTCAGAGCGTCAGATATATTATTAGAACCATTCTGGACAGTCACGAACCGCCGATAGTAACCTCGGCTCCGACGTAGAGCAGAGCGAATGCTGCCAGAAGATGGACATCTTTGTTCGCCACTATCTGCCTGAGGTGACTATGCTCGCTTGTACCGTTATCCACGTCAACGATACCTATCTCGGCAAGACATTCTGGAAAATTTAACAAATCTCAAAAATCGAGCAAAAATGTGACATGCATATTGTCCCTACCTCTCTGGGGCTTCAACCGGAAGACCGTAATCAAGGCGATCGTATTGGTGATCGCAATTCCAAGGGACGTCAAGTAATGTAGATTCCATTGAGGTAGATGTGAAAATTGAGTGGCAACCAGAGGAGATGAAAGAGCCCCGGCCCCTATGAGTTGTGAGCATTGACTGCGGCGGGAAAAAAAAACTGCTGGTGAAATTATAAATTACCATATACTACATATTTCAAGAGTGAGCGGGGTGAATAACCCGCATAAGAATGCCCAATGCGTACCTGCCATGAAAAGGCTCATCTTCACTGCTGTATTTTCTTTGAGGGAAGCAACATACCCAACCGAATTTGCATTCTGTGTCACGAGTCTAGTCAGGATTCATGATGATAAGCAAATATACACGCCTGTAGAGCCAGTCCTATTCCGTTCATGAAGAACGCAAATATAAACACGGGAAAGGGGGGCCCCGAGGACTCGATACAGTATGCCAAGACTTGTAATAGGGAACCTAGAGTGCGAGAATTTAAGAATAATTGCGGCCCTCGATTTTAGTGGGCAGTACCTAGTACCATTACCTTGCAAAAAAAAAATTAGGGTCATTACATAAAATGTGCAGTCTGAATGGGCGTACTTTTCCGAATCCCAGTTTCTCGGCAAGGATTACATTAGAGACGGCACCCATGACAAAACCCTATTTAGCACACAGAAGATGAGAACTGTTATCAGTCCAGTGTCTGAGTCATGCACAAACTGACCAAGCAGGCGAAAACGAAAATAAGAGATACAACAGCATATCCAACCTAGACAAACACGTCAACAAGCGGTCGCGGCACAAAATATAAGAAAACTCGCCCCATAAACTTTCTGAATCCTCGGCAGCAGGGGGCCATTCGATCCATCGTTCCAGCCCTCCAGATAGACGAACCAACACAGCGCCGCAAACTGGATCATCTCCCGCGTTTGTTGCGTTTTGCGCTTCACCTGGGACTGCGCGCATGAAAGCACTAAATCATCGTTCTGCTTTTCTACAGGCGTCACGGGCGAAAGCTCGATCGCATCTACAAAATCGTCCGCAAGATCAAGCTTGCAGCGCGGCCTAGGTGACGCTCGACATGTCGATGCGGCCCCAGAAGCGAGATAAGCCTCGTTTGGGGCAAAAATGGGGTCTGTTGTGGCTGATGAAAGAGACATGACGTGAAAATAAAGTGAAAGGGAAAGGATAAGGACTCACAGTACGAACACCCATATATACGCCAACTTCTGATGAGACCAAGTTAACTGATTGTCGGACGGATGGTCCGCCCCTTTACATACTCAAAAATAAAGAGCATGTAATTTGACGTGCCTATTAATCGGTCCTTCGAGTCCTCGTATCCGAAGCCTATGTCAGACCATCAATATTGGTCTGATGAGGCTCTTCGTACGTGTATACTCGGTCGACCTGAACTTGACCTGTAAACCATTAAGGACACGGGCCAGAAAACTAAAAATGTGAACCCAGGCGGCCTAATAAGCTTCTGAAATACGAATCGCTCAGCTAGTTTTTGTGGAGTAGTGCAAACACACCGATTCAGGTCACTAAGCGCCAGTGAGTTCTAGTAACTCCTTTCCCGCAGATCTTGAGGAAAAGACGTATAAGTTTACGTTATGCTCGCAAAAGGGAAGCAAAAAGGCTCTTTATCTCAGTCTGCACATGACATCGTCTACAACGCCGTATAGTAAAGTAGGAGAAAGCGCGTAATATCAGTCCAGACTTCCGCTTCGCCCGAATTTGGTCTGACAGCTTGTGCGCAGGATGGCTTAGTAATTATTGGCTCCGTTAACCTTGTCCTTGAGTTGTCCAATGAACTGTTGATAGCTCGGTAAAACATCGGCACGATCTTGTATGAGGCAGCTGAGGGCCCAAAGGCGCAAAGGTGGCTCGCCATCCTCCTTGACGAGATAAAGATGGGGATAGTAAACGCCTCTGCGCATCTCGCGAGTTTTCTGAATGATGGCATTGACCCGCTGTGAGAAGTCGTTGTCAAGAACGGGAAGTGTCGTCTGATCGGAAGGGGTTTATCAGCAACATGGAGAAAGAAACTCGCAAAACAATAAGATGCCCACCTTGCCGCCACGTAGCACTTCGTAATTCGGAAGGTTGAAGACATCCATTACGAGTTGTGGGACAGCATCACGGCCTATCCACAAGAATATCGTCTGACCATCCTCAATCAAGTACAAACCATGTCTCTCCAGCCGTTCCGAAGTGAGCGGCAAAGGGGTCGGCAAAATCACACCTTGCTCGCCCACCGTTCCAGCCTGGAAACAGTTATCAAAATACTGGATTCGAATATCCAAATTCAACTTACTTCAGGTGGCATGTTGTGCAGCGAAAAGAACGTGGGATGAATGTACGGAATGAGGGTTTGAGACGGTAATGTGGTCAACAGAGCCTGGGCATAGGCCCTGAGATCGGGAGGAATTTGCGCGCTTTGACGAATACCAACCTACATAGATGAGCGAGTTAGGTCACTCGTGACCAAGCAATGTGACCAACGTACATTCTTCAGTAGCCCGAGAACCAACACAGGCAGCATCCTCAGGTTCTCCGAGATCGCTAGTTGCGCATTCGCACCCGCACCTGCGGATGTCATACTGCTCTTGTAACTGGACAAAATATCTACCAGCCGCTGGTGCACTGCGTCACGGGCATCCTCTAGCTTGTGGGTAAGCGAGCGCTCGACGGCTTTGTTCGCCAGCAGGGTCGCGATCGCCACCTGGTCAGCAGATGCGAAAACCTCCGTGAGGCTGCTGGTTGTTGGTAATGCAAGTGTGATAACCCGGATACGCCGCTCCCCATGACACGTCGTATGTAAAACTGCGGTTTGCATAACTACAAACGGTTGCGTAAGGGTGTCCTCGATCTGGATCTCAATGGCGTAAGATTGATCGGTGGGCACGGCGGGCATGGCCAGGAGGTCAGTGGAGCGGACGAAGAAGTTTCCGTGGAACGAAGCCATGCGCAAACCTTGATTGCATTGATGAGCATTGATAGCGGCGAATTAAGGGTTTCTTACCCTTCGAAGCACGGACGCGCATGACGGCTTCTAACATGATGGGCATCGCGAGGACTTCGCCGAACTCGTGCGCGAATTTGATGGCATCCTCAGACCGAGCAGCATTGAACGCAGGGTAGAAGTAGGTTTGACCAGAAGTGTAGTGTGGGAGGCATGCTATTGAAATGCATCAGATGGATCTGAAGAGAGGAGAATGATACGGGGCCACGGACCGAGACTGGCAACATCCTGGTATGCAGCACTGAATAAGAACATGTCCACCGACACCTGGGCACGCGAGCACTCGATGGCGAATGTCTTGTAGAAGGGCGAAGCAGCTTGCAGCAGGCCTGATTCCTGCAAGATACTTCATCAAGCTAAATTGTAAGCGGCAACATGAGCTGAGGCTTACTTTTGAAGTGCCCAAAATTTTGAGATCTTCACGGTTCTTGAGTGAACCAGCGCCAATATTTGGCAAAGAGGACGAGAGTACCATGATCTTGCCACCGATAGGAGCCTAGAAACCATTCAAAAACTGGAATGTCTTTCCATTCAGCAACTGACCATCAACTTAAAGCCAGCTTGCAATGCTGGGCCCATTGCACTTCCAACAGTGTGATTATCCTGGAACATGTCATTGATCCTGCCAAGCAGCAACTCCAGCGACTGGCGCGCTTCCGTCAAGTTTATGAGGAGGTCAGTAGGTTTCGGCAAAAAGACGTCATCAACATCTGAAACAACGAGCATGGTCGATTCTGTCGTCCCAGGCTACAACAACGCATTAGCACGAGAATTTAGAAGATCAGACAAAAGTACCAACAGGCATAGAGAAGAAATAAAGAGAAATATCATAGGCGATAATGGCGACTTTGGTGCGCTCGTCCTCATTGGGTATGCGATCAAGGTTCTCAAGGATAGTGCGTGTCGCCGTTGCCACCATACCTATAAAACAATATTACGAAGCTGACAATTCACTGACTGTGTGATGACTTACCCGACTGCACGGCGGTATGGCTCACATCGATAAGAATCACATACACAGCAGGCTGTGGTGGGCGGACCATATACTCTGTGGGCGCAACGAATTCGACAACGGAGTGGTTCAGCTCGTCTCTAGCCCATCGGTCTCCAGGCTGATTCCGTATCTGGTCCCAATCAAAGAGCTGAGGAACCTCGTTCGACATGCTGCACATGCAACAGCGCCAACTAACCATAATAGGTCAGCACACCACATAAATCTTCAATGCATATGAAACTCACCGATTGCCGTTGTCAATGAATTGAACATAAGGATTTATGTACGTCCTGCACCGTCTGCATCGCGCAATGACCGTGTCGGTCACAACAGGCACTGGCGGCTCACCCTCCTTCACCGTTCGATAGGGGGTGATCACCAAACCCAAAGGAATCTTGGACTTGTTCAGCATCGATGATGTGGTGGGGATGGCATTCATGGTGCACCGCTGGTATGACGGATCTGCATTTGCGTACGGCGATGGCGTGATGCACGCGTTCGCAGGCAGCCTAATCTCGGGAGGAGGACGAACCAGCTCACGAGGGTCCGGTGGCGACGTAAGTAGATTGGTGGTCGTGAGATGTAGGGGCTTCGGCCCCATCCCCATCTGCCCGAACTGGTCCGTGAGATGGTGGATTGGCGCATTGGGTGGATGATATGTTGGTTCCTGACCAAACCCAGGAGCATTGATGTACTGGGGCTCCTGTTGGGGTGCATAGTATGACGCCTGCGGAACTTGCTGCTGACCTGCGAAACCCCCCTCTGCCGCGAGTCCTGGAGTGAAGAGCTGGGCAGTGGGTGCAGGCTGCTGCTGTTGTACATTAAGTCCGCCATACTGGTCTCCAAGGGCATCGCCCGCGCCGTAGTACACTTGCGTCTGCCCTGCTGCGTATTGGCGACGCTTACCGTGATGAGTCGCGGATGGGGGAGGCGACACCGACGGTGCATGGTCTATCATTTGGGCTGGTGCAGCAGTCGGTATTTCCCATTGGCTGCGTCCAGTCGATGGCTCTACAAGGAAAGATATTGGTCAATGTCAATGTTGATGGAGGTCACGCACGTATGAAAAGATATCTCTGGCTAGCGGGGTCCCTGCAAGTTTTGTGTCAATAAAAGTGCAGAAAGTCGGAGCTGACAAGTCTGATACCATTCCGCTGTCCAACCAGGAGGAAGCTGTTGAGAAGGAGAAGCCATGGACGTGAATTTCGGTCGACTTGGGAATTGTAGGTCACGGCAAGTGTTAGAAAGGATTTTGCTATTACACGACACGTAGCCAACATGGACAAACAACTTTCACTTGCAGGATTCTTCAACCAGCCAGACTTTTAGCCAGTGAAGAAGACATGCTGTTTAATGTAAATAACGAATGGGTGCTTGACACGATATGGTCATCTAGTACTATATCGTACGTGGAGCTATCGTGGAATTTTGGCAGATATTTTCTTGTCTAGCCTGCTTAAAAGCACTCCCGTACATTGCTCAAGCGCATTTGTTTCCTCTACCTTGGCATCTGCGCAGCCAGCCCACCTAATCTTGAGATTGTCATCCACAAGGTAGACGTACCCGACGTGTTTGTTCACCATACCAAGGTGCTCGCGCACGAACTCCATGTTCTGGCTCGACACCAAGTACGTTGAGTGTAGCTCCGGGGAGACCGACTTGGCTATCGATGAAAGAAATAACGATACGAGGAAGGACTTTAAAAGGTTCTCTTGCAAGTTGATCTGCACATATTGGTACAGTGGGTTCGAGAGATACCTCTCATTTGTTGGTGTTGTGAAACCATTCACGTGTATCTGAAGTAAGCTCAGCACCGACAAAAAATCTTGAGGAAGGAGATGCGAACGTACCTCTGACATCCTCGTCGATAACATAGATACCACGGAGATACGTCCTTCACACATGCTGGAGGTGTGTTTCTTGGATTTCGTATCCAGGCTCGACCCGACGATGTTTGGGAAATAAAGTGCTTTCTGGGTAAACCGTCAATCTTCTCGCCACCATGAAGAACCATAGGACATACGTCCTCGCGAATCATCACATTGGGTGCTATCCACGTCTTGCCACCGTGCCTCCTCGTTGCATTGAGGTCAGTAAAATAGCCCTTCGTGGCTTCTTTCATCCTTGTAAGCGGTCAAAACAACTCTGAAACCAATCTATTGTAGCCAGCTCACAGGTGCTCTCTTTGTGCCAAACGCGTCTCCTGATTCATCATCTCCTCCCTGGTATCCGCCCATGTTTTTAGGACAGGCGAAGGTCTCTCCTTCACACCTAGCGGACGCTGCAGGAACGGTAATGTCAACTCATCAGGTGTGTTCGCTGACTTTTTCGCGGATTCATCAGTTCCAGAGGTCAAATTTCTTGTACATCCTGGACGCCGAATAAATCTGCGCAGGGTAGCTGTTTCTTGCCACCTTGCATGGACAAGTGCGCGGACAAGCATTTGGTTAAAAGCAAAGATCCCTAATCGGGACGTGATGGCCATATGTCACGTGAATCGTGAAGGTATATAAGCGGCGAGCGCGCTCCGAGTCCGTTTGTTGATTGTCATCTCTTTATCACAAACCATCACCAGTCCAGTACTCGCCCGCTTCAACTAACACTATCAATGGTTCGTCGTTCTTTTGAATTAGTTGGGGTGCGACTTTACCTGGATCATTTCACAGTCTGGCAAGGGTCAGTGGATTTGGGATTTTGGTCGACTCATGTTTAACACGGCCTGTAAATGGTACAGGTAAAGCTGGTAAATCTGCAGGCGGAAAGGTTGGCGGCGAAGGCAAGTCACAGTCGCGCTCCGCAAAGGCCGGTCTTCAGTTCCCTGTCGGCCGTGTCCATCGTCTTTTGAAGAAAGGGAACTATGCCCAGCGTGTTGGCGCAGGCGCTCCAGGTAAGTCGAATATATCGCAAATAATCCTGCCTAGACCAACACCTAATATTTCTAGTCTACCTTGCTGCGGTTCTTGAGTACCTCGCCGCCGAGATTCTCGAGCTTGCAGGCAATGCCGCCCGTGATAACAAGGTTGGTGGCCCTTCTGTCTCTTGAAGGCCATGGGCTTAATCGCCACAGAAACAACGTATTGTGCCCCGTCATCTTCAGTTGGCCATCCGAAACGATGAGGAGTGAGTAATTTTCGCATCTCAAAGGTTCGGTGGCCCTAATATCGCCTAGATTGAACAGACTCCTAGGTGACGTAGTCATCTCACAAGGAGGAGTGGTCCCCTTCATCAACCCTGAATTACTGCCTAGCAAATCAAGGTATGCTGCGTGTTGTATGACTGTACATGTAGATCTGACGTCCCTTACAGCAAAGGCAAAAAGGAGGGTGCGAGCCAGGAGGCGTAACTTTCTGTGCATCTTACCTTTATTCTCCTTTTACGCGCTTTTTATTACATTCGATCTTCATGTATCATATCATATATATCCAGTCGTGTTTCAGCTGTAATTCCTGGTACCGAGCAGAATCATGATCGATCATGATCATTGACGTCAGTCGAGTGTGCTTGTTTGTACTTGTTGAATTTGCAAGGTACAAGTAGGTACAAGTTGCAAGCACTCATCTCTGGAGTCGTTCGACCAGACAGCTCAGATTTCTAGACAGGTCTGAACTGAAACAATGGCACGGCCTTACTCTCTCAGTCGGCGGGAGATCACACTCGTTCTGGCCTCCGTCATGATTTTTATGGTCTTCTACAACTTCGGGACGTCGAACGCGACGTCCTTTGGGGATATGAAAAATGAAGCTGCTTTTCTGGTACGTTGGCGCTGCCGCAGCTCATTATACGGCCAGACTCGCGGCGCTAGAGCCGATCGAAGAGAATTGAAATTCTCAGACCTTAACACGCTCATGCATTGCCATGAAGCAACCTGTATATGTACGAGTCTCTAATTGATCTCACTTGGCCTCGCGGGAGCGCAGGCTGCGAGGATTAGCCAGCAAGAGAGTCCTTCGCGTGGGAGCAGCGAAAGACCCCATGAAAATTGAGCGCGGTAAATAAGTACAAAGCAAACTGACGACAAGATGAAGAATATCGAAAAAATTGAGACCCGCGGTTAGCTGAAATATATCGAACGCTGGCACGACGAACGAGCAAGTGAAAAGAGGGACTATGAATACCAACATGAACGACGTACCTGGCACGACGACGAGTGAGTGAGACTCGCCGTCCGTGTCAGGTAGAGGTCGATGATCACTGAGATCGCTCGGCATGATCAACAAGCCGAGAGTGCCCTGAGCGCGAGCCAAGAAACTTTGGCAAAGGGACTGGCCCTTAGTAAGGCAGAACTCGAACGTTTCGAGTCTTTCGACCAATTAGTACAAAAAAGATTAAACTCGAAAAAAGAACGGTTTCAAAGTCCGCCTGACCTCAGCGTTTGACCACTGACAGTACGCCACCAGAATCCTTTTCCCTGCAAAACCGAAAGTTCGATGGTCCTACCAAGGTCCTTCTGCCAGTTACTTTAATGATGCCCAGAGTGGAGCGGTCTTGAGGTCTTGGCGCGTTGACACCTGTACGATATAGTTTATGTATCATCCGTTTGTCTCACGCATTTTCAGGTACCTTACCGCCAGCCTCCAGGTTCTGCCACGGTCGCGTATGGCAGAACGGCCTGAGTAATCTGCCAACAACACTAGTCCGGCGACCCCCGTCAATTTGTGCATTCCTGGCAATACTGCAGTGACTGCCAATGGTCTCAGGATCCGTTCCCGTTATTATGTACATTCCAAGCTATATTATGGAGCACTGTGACTACTATCAGACCTGTTCGCTCTCATCAAGGTTCGGCTATCGTTCCACCCGCTCAAGTTAGGTTCAAATTCGCTTCTCCGCCGTATATCCTTTACGTTGTTGCCCATGTCATTGCCAGTGAAAGTTGAAAGTTAGAATGCTTGTGCGTGCTGGGTACCCTTTTAAAGCACGCCAGCTCTCAGTTTTATGTATTGTATCTATTGGTGGCACCAGTTTGTTGTCGTTAGATCTGTCTTACCACTGTACTGCATTCACCGATGGCTCCATCAACCCAGTTCATGGAATGCCTTTGGCTGCGGACGTAGGTCTATATTTCGTGTGACATCCTTAATTTCTCACTTCATCGTCTAGATCACTCTCCGCAGCAGGCTACACTTTGCTAGTCTATGATTATCTTCTATCTTTCAAATATGAAGTAAGTTTATTGTATGATATGTATAATATTTCTTTTTGTTTTCCTTGATTCCTTGTTTATTGTCTGCAGTGGGACCAAGTCGCTACCTGCAGCATCATGCATAATATTCACAACGTACCCTTTGTCGCAGGTCTTCTACATCTGGAACGCCCCCTGGACGGTCCTTAAAGTCTTGTTTCTTTTCAACCGATATGGAAACCTTATTGGGCAGACTGCCATCCAGTTGGAAGAGGCCGGTCTCCTGGTACATGGTTCTCAAGTGGTATGTTATAGTTTTACGAGTAGACATCCATCGAGTGACTGGTTTGCATGTGCCAGTTCTGCCAACGCTTCGCATTTTTCACCACTTGCTTTATGTATCTATCCACAGAATCGATTCATAGTGCGTACATCTAGTTGATAACTGTTGCATGCGCTAAAAGTTTTTACTCAGTCGTTGTGCTCATTCGAGCGTGGGCCATCTGGGGAACTCGGAAGCGTGTGACAATGATCCTCATAGGGAGCTACACGTTATACATTGTGATGCTGTTGGTCAGCTCAGCAAGTGTTTTACACCTTAGTACAAGTGGGTTGCCTCGCTGCTTTTTTATGTTTTGTTGTTAAACGGTTGCGCTCCCGTAGTTCCGTATCTGTACCTCGACGTGATTCATGTTTGCGTGGTGACAGTGCCAAGTATGTGATTGTCATTTCGCTCCTCCACCTTATTAATTTGCCTCTTCAAAGAATATGTGGTTAGTTGGCAGCTATATTATGCTGGATATATTGCTGGACGTCTCATTGTTGATATTATTATAATGCTAGTGGTTGGGTTATATCGGAAGGTTAGGATGCTCTGTCTCATGCTCTTGCGCTTGCTAAAGACCATCAAGCTTTATTCTCGATATAATACTCTTCGTCTTGACAATGCGAAGTCTCTGGAAATACTCTAGGGAATTTCGGCATCTGTACCCCTCTGATCTCCTCCGTGTTCTCTTTCGAGACGGTGAGCATGCTTTCTGGGGACTTCGTCTGCAACTGATCACAATTACATAGCAATCATATTTTTCCTTGTGAGTGTAGAAAATCTGCGTAATGTATTACATGACCGACAACAGGATCAGGTTAGTATGTTCAGTAATGCGTTTATCGTCGCCTCCTGGTGAGATTCGCTCGACCTCTCCACTCACTCAATCCACTTATGATATTTAGGACTGCATTTCGGGGAGTTAGTCTTCCTTACCCATAGCGGATTATTTCTCTTCTTGACTGACATTGATACAATTCTCAGGATCCAAAATATTTCCTTGGTAAAGGGTGCGTCACCATCAATATGGCCCATCACATTCGGTGAATATATTGCATCTAGGTTCGCGACTCCGTTACTTTCAGTGGCCGGTCAGCGCCTAGTCCTGAACCTCCGAGGACTCAAAACGCGTACCTACACAACCCGCGATATCAGCCGTGAAGTGGACCGGCAACTTCAAGCATTTGCTGAAGCAGAGTCTCCAGGTGGGGACGACATCGAAGAGACGGAACGTGTGCGAGAATAGGTGAGTATGAGGAAATAAAAGTTAAAGTTTATCTCTGTTGGTAACCATCTGTCAGTGCTCTGTATAAAAATATGTAGAAATCGATTGAACGTTGCTGACCTTTGTGCTCGCATTTGTCTTTTCCTTTGCCTTTCCCATATTTATTTTATCTACAATATACAAGCGATCCGCTCGCCTGCGGACGACGGTCTCATCACCTGCGATTGCGGCAATCATGCGAGTGGAGCGCGCACATGGAGGCGACGCGAATTGGTTCCGCGGGATCAAACGCCTGGTCCTTACATATATTGGTAGATATGGTAGATATCCAGTCGTGTTTCAGCTGTAATCTCTGGTACCGAGTAGAATCATGATCATTAATATTGACGTCAGTCGAGTGCGCTTGTTTGTACTTGTTGAATTTACAAGGTACAAGTAGGTACCAGTTGCAGGCACCACATCTCTTGGAGTCGTTCGACCAGACAGCTCAGATTTCTAGACAGGTCTGAGCTGAAACAATGGCACGGCCCTACTCTCTCAGTCGGCGGGAGATCACACTCGTTCTGGCCTCCGTCATGATTTTCATGGTCTTCTACAACTTCGAGGCGACTTTTGACTTCTTTGCCAATCCCAACGTGCCTACCATATTCTCAAGTTCCACCGCTGATAGCAGTGATCTCGACATGGACATATACGGGGACTGGGAGTCTGACGAGAGGCACATATCCAGCGTTCATAAGCAACAAGAGGAGAAGGAAGATGCCTCAGACGGAGATATATGGTTAAAGACCGATCGTATATCTGAGGCGCAGAAACAAGTCATCTTTGGAAACATCAACGTTAATGATGGCTTTATGCATTGGGGCAGCGACATCCCTCAAACTCGACTAGTGAAACACGTCGCTGGTGGGTGCACTACAATTGCATATGGACACGTATTATACTGATATATTACCTACTGCAACCCCTGTAGGATTTTCGATCATGGACAATGTGATAATGTGCAACGGCACAATTTTCATTGTGACGGATTCCCCTTTAAACTTCCCTTCATTGGATGCCATTGCATCATCTGCTGAAAGCTCGTACGAAGCACCGCTTCCAAGAGAATGGGAAATGCTGTCGACCAACCAAGCTAGAGATATCCTTGGTTCATACGGTGGATTGTGAGTGTCATGTATGCACTATTCTAACGGCTCATAATGTTGTCCAGTATTCAAGGCGCGAGTTGGCTATCGCATGACGCTATTCCGAGTTCGTCAACACCTGCATCTTCATGAGTGCCGTCCTCACATCACATTTAGACAACTACACTCTTTTCTCGCTCTGGCGGACCCACAGCTCCATGAACACATCAACGTCTCCAGACCCTTTCAATCCGCCACGACGACTATTCTTCCCGAATATTCCTACTTACAAAGGCATACAACCCGACCTTAATGGACCCATCATTAGACGCCATCGTTCGGACAGTGGGTTTCATCCATATCTTCCCAAGGCCGCTTTTCCATTGCTCGGGTTGATGTATCAAGAAGACTGGGAAGATTATGCGCTCATGGAAGTTCCTTTTGTTTTCGAGAGGCTGGTTATTGCAGATTTTGGTGCAGCTGCACGTTCAACAAACAATGAGCCTCCATTCGCTCTCCCGCTTATCGGCCTGAATGCGTCGAAGGAATGGTGGGAGCCAATTAGGCAGAATCTGGCCAGGTTTTTGCGTGTAAACCACAATGCACAAAACCCTAATAGCAGACAGGAAAAAACGGTAGTCACTTACATATCTCAACAAGATGCCAGAAGTGGTTCAAGGCTGAGGAGTGCCGACCACCTCGCGTTGGTTAGCGCTCTCGAAACGTTGCATGAGAGCAACGACTTCGAGGTCCACATAGTCTCTTCAGAGGGACACTGGACAGAGAGAATGTCAGCCGTCGCCCAGTCTACTGTAAGTCTGCATCACTTGTGAAGGTTCTGCACTACGACTTACATATTTATATATGCGTGAAGGTCATTCTGGGTGTTTACGGAGATAGCCTCGCTGACAGCGTGTTTATGAGGCCATCAGGACACTCAATTCTCATGGAATTTTTCCCCTCCGACGTCTTTACTCGCGACGCAGAAACGGCGGTTCGTTCCTTAGGAATTGATTATATGGCCTGGTGGAATGATCGGTACGCTCTGCCTTCTTGTATATTCTCTTGTCAGATGCCTCATCTTATGTATTTACAGGCGGTTCGAAAGTGACAGTCTTCCATCCGTTGCTCCAGGGAGTGATGTTGATCACGATGTCCGGGTCGACCCTACTGCAGTCGTGCATGCCATCCTGGAAGTGGCTAGTCGCACATAGAGATTACGGCGAGCGATGGGATTTAATTTCCGGTCGTCTTATGGACATTATATCTGTACAAATATTGTGTCATTTTGAACTTCTTCACCTGGACCGCCGGGTGCACCCTTGGAACGTGTTCCCACGGTGTGTGAGACCCCGATTCTTAGACATGTACACTGTGCAGTAGTGTGCACTGTGCAGGGTGCCCTAGACCGGTTAATTATACTTGTCACATCATCCATTGGTCCGAGATACCTCCTCCACGATGCCTTCCCATATTTTTCTGGGGCTGTATGGCTCTCCATCAAGAGGTTACGTGTAGAGAGCCTCGTAGTGGAGGGTGAGCGCTCGGCGCAGCCTCCTGGTATGTTCCCTGACGAGCCTTTAATAACATGCACAACAACTGCCAACCTCCACAGACTCAGACCTTGGACCAGGAATCTAAGCTTGAAGTTTCGACCTCGACAAGCACATCAATTTTGAACGTTCGAGGACTTGGATCATTGATCTGTCAAGTTGCGGTGTCACGGTTTCCCCATGTCCGTTCCCGGGACTTCCTTCACTTGTTGATGTTGAACTACCATTTTTGACATTAATGGTTATCGTCTCCTGCCACGTTATGATCACTGGTCGTCGTTTTCTTGGCCCCGTTGTCCCACGACCGACTCGCAATCATCACCTTGGCACTGCCGGAACGTTATCACACTCACGGTGCGAAACCTGTCCGGTCTTACTACAGCAGTACAAGAAGGTCGGTCTCACTGACGTGGTCATTCCAACACCCTCTGGGTTTCTTGGACAACGGGAGAATAATGGCTCCCCCTCACACTCGCTTCAAACCCTCATTTCACAATCGTTTGTCACACCTTTCCCGCCACTTGTTCAACCGTGCTGAGTCTCAGCACTCTTCAATAAAGACTGTAGTTCCTGTACATGAGGATGATGATCCTAATTCGTTGGATCGACCACAGAATATCAGCGTGGACGGGTGTAAGTACTAAATGTCTTCTTAAGATGTCTTCTTGAGTATAAGTTTTCCATTAGTCAACCAAGGACTCAATCCGCCTGAAGAGCCCGAGATCGACCCCACCTCATGTGACAATCATCTCTCCGACGAGCATGCTTGTTCAACGTTATCTTTTGAAACTGGGAATTTTGCGGTTGGATCGCCACGACATGTTAAGGAAGCTCTCGTTGCCCGACAGAGTGTGATCCATTCTACAAGTACTGTGACTCATGCGACAATAGTCAGTCCGACTAACAATGCTGCTGTCACTGAACCTCCCACCTCTGCAACTCCCACCTCCACGTCTTCTACCCATACATCTTCTCCCCCTGAAACGTCAACTACCAACAATAGTTCTCAATTGCCCACGACGACCACTCATCAGTCGTCTTCTCAGCAGTCCCCTGCTACATCAAGCTCGCACACTGTATACCCAACATTGTCATCTCCTAGTGACAAACCGACAGACACCCCAACATCTGACACACCCACAACCACAAAAACCGCATCGCTTCAGCCTATCCTGGCATCTGCTACAGTTTCATTGGACGGGACTGTAATGGCTTCAAGTTCGAGCCCGTTGGCTCAATCAACATCAGTGCCTGACACCAATTCAAACCCTCAATCACCTCCGAGTCCACACACGGGTGCCATTGCAGGAGGGGTTATCGGAACGGTCGCGTTCCTAGCTCTCCTATTTTCCATTGTGATATGGTATCGCAAGAAAAGACACCGACACTCTGTGACACCTTTCATCCTTCCCTCAACTGCAGGAACAACGCAGATTGACTCAGCGACCTGGCTAAAGCCCCAGAGCATAGGTGATGCCGTCCGTCCAAGCAGCGGTGTCCCATTTTCCCCTCAATATTCCGACCCATACCTCGTGGAGTTTCCTGGAAACAGATACCCGTCCTTCGTCACAGATCACGTGTCATCTCACTTGCCCAGCGATGATGACGTTTTTGCATCCACCCGGATTGCCCGGCGTCAAGGGGCCAAGGGACTAGAAAGAATATACCCATATCCATCTCGCGCCCGTACCTCAGGTCACTATTGCCGTTCCAGTGTAGAAAACTGGATCGAGCAAGTTGTTATGGAGGAGGATGGTTCACGAGAACCGAGTGAAGTGTTACCGGAGTATCGTTCGGCAAAGTCTCTGAAGAGGGAAAAAGCAGATGATGATGACGACGATTATGTCCTTCCTAATTCTTATCCCCCCCTCCCCTGATCGTTAGTCACCAGGACCATGGACAATGTGATGTATTTTTGACGCTTTATGTACCACACCTCGTAGTCGAGTGTATCAGTGTGACTCCTGGACTTCTAGACAAAATTATGTATGTGGTGACTGTATATTTGTTCGCTCACACACTCGGTTTGCACTTGGAGCCAATTGAATCATGATCCCTTCGGAACCCTTCCCCGCCTTTCCGTTTTACTCTCTCCGTCGCCCGCCATCAGTTCAATTTTGACTCTCTCAACAACATTGTCATCGTTCTAGTCGAGATCGCACCCAAGCATGGAGTGATATATACACCGGTATGGGTTGGCGCCATTTTGTTCCCGCTTCCGACCAGCCAATTGATGGCCCGCAGGTACAACTCCAGATCGTGATGTCTGAATGTTTAAGGAGGAATAGTAATTTCTAAGGAAAGCGTAGCAAATACATGAATCTACTAGCAATAAGTGTATGTATTACAGACTTGATTCTATGGCTTCAAAGCTCTACACCACCACCTGTATTACAATGAGTATAGTAAAAAAAATGCGGGTCCATTAATTCAGTGATTTCAGCTCGCGCTCCTCACTTTCCCTGCGCCACGATCCCCCCTTGTGCAGGACCAATAAAACCAGTAATTCCGTCACAACCAAAACCCCAGCCCATGCCGTATACAATCCCCCATCTCCTAAAGCATTCTATGGGGGCTAGCATCAGAATGTGTGGGATACAGCAGATATCAAGGAAACTTACTTGGAGCGGTACAGCAATCAAAATTGAAACGAAAGCCAACGATCCTCGGAACGAGCTGTTGGTCGCCACCGCTGTGCATGAGCGACCAGGATTCGCATCAACGAGGTATGCCAATGTACTAGTATACATCCATCTGGAGAAGTAGATGTTAGCGCGTCCACGATTATGAATAATTGGTCTACCGACATCGAAGAAAATCCAATAAGTAGAAGCAAGATGCAAATGACGGCGACGTTGACATGCTTTTCGCAAACCCAAGCATAACCGACGACAAATGGAGGCAGCCACAGCATCGCCAGTTTCGAGCTCTCCAAGCGCATCTTCAGACAATGTCAATCAAGAATTCTAGTGCGGGAGTATGAAAAAGATTTACTTCTGGGTACCACTTTCCTCCGTTCGCTTCAATCATCCTCGCAAGCACCCGGTCAGACCAACGCCCGCTGATCACACTCCCAGCGATACTTCCTGCATAGGAAATTAGTCATGTGCCACGATCCAGGTGTGAAAATAATCTCACCTACACCCAAGCAAAGCAAGACCAAGCCAATGCTAAACGCACTATAGCCATATGAATTGGCAAGAGTGCGGGCGCACGTGTATGAAAGGCAATAGCTGAATCCGAAGACGAGTCCTTATCCCGAAGTCAGCTCACTAACAACGTGGACAAGAGGCCGAGCTGTCACTCACCATTGGGGATAAGAATTAAAACATTGTTCTTTCGCGATAGAATTTGAAAGTATGGTGGAAAGGGGTTGATGTCCCTTATTGATAGTCTTACATCGTCCAGTCCTGGTGTAGAACTCGCCACTGAGATATCGTCTGGAATATTCGGCTGTTGGAGCTGCTTCTCGATGTCCTTGACAGGTGTGTGGTCCTTGCTGGACTCATCCCCGGTGATGATACATATGTTTGGACTCTGAACGCGTTCTTTGGAGGTAAGAAGTCGTTGTAAAGCGGAGCAATATGTGAGACTCCGTTCGCGTCGGTAGGTGTCCTTGAACAGAACGAGGAAGGACATGAAGATGATGACTTCACAGATCAGCAGGAAGTAGAAACTTGCGCGCCAGTTGAAGGCTTGTGATAACGATCCGCCGAGTATAGGGCCGAGTGCGGGTCCTAAGAGAGGTGCGGCAAAGAAGATGCCCATCGTGGTCCCTCGCTCGTGAGTGTCGTACATATCGGCCAGGGTCGCAGCTGAAATGGCCATGACAGCACATGATCTGCAGGAGGGGGAGTCAACTGGTGTCCAAGCCTTTTGGATGAATGCTCACCCTGCAGCTTGAAGTACTCGCATACCGATCATCATCTCGATGGTATTTGAAAGTGCCAAGGCAGCACTTCCTGCCATGAATAAAGCCGAAGCCACTAAATACACAGGCTGTTATAAACGAGATCCGCAATCATTAAGTAGATCGAGAAGGGTATGCTTATCATAGACCAACCTTACGTCCTCTAATCTCACTTGCGGCACTCCATATTAGAGGAAAATTGCCTTGTACGACTAGGAACGCTGCCAATGTCCAGCTAATCTGGCTGCTTGTTGCATGCAGATCTTCCTCTATCAGAGAGTTCGAGGCTGCAAGAATATTTCAATTTCAAATCATTCATTAGGAAAGACATACGACGAACGATTTTGGATGTTAGAGGCTAATGCAGACATCATTGTAGCCAGCGACACAATGCACAAAGTTGTCGTCTGCAGGTGGTATAGCGTCAGGTTAGTCACAGAGTGCATAGTGTGATACACGCACTTTTCTAGCAGGACTCCACTGACGGGGGTCGTCGTTAACAGGGGCATGTTCTATGTCTATTGTACTATTTCCGTCTGTGGACGATTCGACATCAGAGGTTTGGCATAGCGTTTTGGGTTCGGACGCAGAAGGTGCGTTAGCGACGGTTGAACTAGCCATGAGTCAGCGATTGAAAAGACGCAGCAAGGGAAGCTTGGAGCCTCTGACCAAAGATGAATTGCTTCTTATAGAGCCAAAGGGGGCACTTACAAGGTGATCTTACGCTCTCCGAAGGACATCGCGATACCGGTACGGGCCGAATGTGTACATACACCTTTGCGTGAAGGTGATCATAGCCGCACTGGCTAGTCACAGCTGTCGGAGATCGTTCCGGACAAATCTGCTGCCTGTTCCGATGCACAAAATTAATTCCTTCTGCCGTACTCGAGCATCATCGACAGTTGCATTTTGCGTTTGTCCCGTTCTATTGGTTCGATGTTTCAAGTCGAGTCCAATAACACAACGATAAATCCCGTTCGAAGACTCCAGTATGGTGCCTACTCGCAGATAACAGGAGCAGCGATGTCCAGACTGCACGGGTATCAGGTTATTCGGATGAATTGACTTCATATAAACGTATGAGTTTTATTACCGTTTTTGACCTCGTGCACATCTCGCGATGAGCGCCAAAATTAGCACACTTTTGACTCTGGCACATGCTATCAGTCACGTAAACAATACAGCATTCGGCGACAGTGGATAAATGATAATCCTGTGCAATTCAAAGGATTGTTTTGAAAACGCGATCGAGCACGTACCCTGTGCTATATCTCTCTGCACGTTTTTCCTCCTCGTATATAGCTCCTCAGGCGGGGATGGGATTTCATCATATCAAGAAGATTCGACACTGTCGCCCAATCACATGCTTCATCCTCACGCGTGTCTCCATTTGCCCCTTGAGTTATTCCGAACAGCTAAGCCAGTTAACCCACTGCAATTGCATCATAGCAATCTGGCATGGGGGCAGCCTCGGAGGAGGCTGACGGGAAATGAAACGGCAATTACTTGTCCGAGGATAGTGGTTCTGGCAGACATTTGCTCGATCAGTGTTGCGTCAAAACCCGAAGGGACGCTGACAATTAGGTGAGAACATACTTGGATAATCTTATTGAATAAAATGAAGATAAGAAACGTGTGCGAACGCAGCCTCCGAGTCAGGTGAGGTCAATTAGGTGCAGTGGCGAGTGCTTGGCACAAGGTTATGTTATGTGAAGTCCCTCCTACAGGAGGATGACATTACCAGCATTGGTGCTGAGATCTGATTCAAAAAGAGTTCGGATCAAAAAGCCATCCTGCAGGCGAGTGAGTGCTAACTTACAAAAGGCTCGGGCGTTGTGCGGAAAGATGATGCAGTGCCGAATAATGCAAACCTCGGAGTATGAACTTTTTTCGTAAGTTAGTCTCTGTGCTTTGCGGGCCGAGAGACGAGCCTCGATGCCATGCGAGCGAGCGGAAGATACTACTAGGTAAGTTCTGACTCATTTCAGCGAAGACACGACCCGTTCTCATAATAAAGAAGGGTATTTTCTATGAATGCCCACAGTGGGAGACCCAGACTAACCAGTTCTGATTCTGAACCGGTTGGCTGAACTGCCACTGCCGAAACGAACACTACCGATCGACTGGGAACTTGGAAGAACATCAGCAAATGCACTGAAATGAACGCTTGACTTACGCGCGTTACGGACACTTACGAACCCTTACGAATTCAGTAGCGCACTCATGCGATTGGTGGAGATGCTGAACACCAATATAATTCACCATATCTGGCTGATAATAGTTATCTTTCGCTAAGATGCGATACTCAGAAATGCGATACCATAGATGCGATGCGATAGATGCGATTCAATAGATGCGCAGACAATCAAATGTACCACAGGCAGATAATCAATTGTACTACGGGCAGCAGGTAGCCTCGTCTACATTAAACCAGAGTGCATTGTATTGAAGACCTCTTTGTCAGAAAACGTATTCAAGTAGTACTCGTCGCAGATCTCCATCGCGTTTGCGGCACTAATCGTACGATCCATCTTCGACCCATACATCAGGGAATCGGCGAGGAAAAGCTTTTTATAGATATAAATGGCAAACTTAGATCACATGTCCGCTGGATTATATCTATTTACAGAGAGATACATAATCACAACATAATGGCATGGAAGGACAAGAAGATACAGGACAAAACCAATTTTGATGAAGATGCATATGTCTTATGGCTGTCTACAATGCTAACCAGGCGCACATCGAGGATTGTAAAATGTATGTAATATTGGCACCCGATGGTCGTTATTCATAGTGGTGATGAAGATGCATAAGTCTTATGGCTGTTTGCAATGCCAACCAGGCGCACATCGGCGATTGTAAAATGTATGTAATATTGGCACACAATGGTCGTTATTCATAGTGGTGATGTATCCAAGACAATGTCATTATCAAATAGGGGGTGTGTATAAACATGATTGGATTACTAGCAGGACGGGGAAAGACTGCATTCGTTGGCTACCCCCTCGGAACTAGAATAAGAAGGGCAGCTCGTGCCGGATGTATGAGTCCTACATATGCGATACCTTATAGAAAACCCTCCAAAATAATTGCTAGTTACTGAGGCCGTGCCCTAGACAAGCCGGGACCGTAACTTGCAATCACCAATACAAGCAAGAAGCCTATCACCACGCCGAGCGTCGTAAAGCATGCAACCACCAAGGGTGTGGAAGGCTGGAAGTCAGCAATGACACCTGCGAGAAATCCAAGGATCGAGCTTATTACACTAGTAGAAATTCTATGAGTGACAGAGGCAATCATAATCAAAGTTGACTGACCTTAATACACAGAAGCACGTCGGTATACTTGTAATGACGACCAACATCATCGTCTTCTTTTGTAGGTAATATACCTGTTCAGTAAGCAAGGTCAGGCACAGGCTGCGGCAATATAGTATGAATCAAACCGCGACGTCAATGGATCTCATTCTCTCGCCAAAGTGCTGCACCATTGTAGCGGCGAAAATGCAGCCAACGCCCAAAAGTAAGGAGCAGGAGCAAAGCGTCCGTGAGGTTACTGTTGTGCCTAGACCTGGAATGGCAAAGATGGCGACGTCCATGGCCACGGAGACGCCTGCCTGTCAGAACCGATGAGTTACGAAGATTTGTGATGTTGACACAGCACTTACCAAGGTGATCTGACTCTTAGCTTGGCTGCTGAAATCGTCGATAAAGGTCCTGACGTCCACCCCATTCACAATACCATCAACGGAAGTGTTCCTGATGCGGTCGATTGTGATCGGCATACACAGTATAGTAGCCGCAGTATTGCCCATGAAGTAGAGAGCTTTACATGTCCTACGTTTCTCTACCACTGCATGGCCTCGAATTAGGCGGGCTTCGGGCTGGTTGTGGCGGTTCAGATACTGGTAGTGGCCTATATTGCGTGTTGACACAATGACATTCGATTTGTGAAGGAGAGACCTACGTAGCATGTACAGTATTCTACCTGTGAGTCGGCAGATTAGTATACAAATTGTCCGGTTTTGCTGGGCTCACATACAACAAAGCACGACACCAGTATCCTCAATGATTTCGTTTTCTGCAAGGGCTTCTGTTCCTCGGTCATCACGATGTTATGGCGGACAAGACTTGGGCACATACCGACACTAGCAAGTTGCGCGTCAACCTGTCTCATTTGGTCTAGAGTCCAGAAAATCGTAGCTGCAGTAGATTGGGCCAAAGTTGTAGCTTCTATTGTACGTTCATGTGATTCTGATTGTCGTTGCAGTAATATAGGGCTTACCTCCAAGGTAACAAAGAATTTCTCTGCGTGTGCGTCTAACTTGGGAGCTCGTCATGCGGAACGTGTGCGGAAAAAATTCAACGTGTCTCCTGTGAAGCAGTGAAACATAAAAATAAGTGAAACGATATTCGTCGACCAAACTCACCAATACTGAGCTTCTAGTTCGAGCCCTGTATAACACGATCGAGAAAAAGATCAAGTAATTGCATGGCAACGCACTCTTATGCCTCCACTCGCTTGCCTTGATACATTCTCGGAGAAGAAGGTAGCCGTCCAGATCATCGAGCCAGGTGATGATGCGCAGGTTGTGGACCACATAGTAGTATTGGTATACGTCTTCTCCTCTGTAGCTCATTTGGTGAACAACCAATACCCAATCGTCTTCTTTCGCCGCGGCTCTTGATACATCGATAAATTCTTCGAGCCTTTGTCGATCCATGTGGCGTATATTTAGTGACGTATATGTGTTCTAAATTTCAGGTAAGTAAATACATCGCTTATACAAACGGCCAGTGCTCACCTTTTTATTGTGATAGTAATAAGTCCCCCCCAAGGGGTGTACCAACTCCTCCCAAACACTCCCATACAATCCGGGCCTGTTAAAAACGGTCAATGATATCATTAATGGGAGCGAATGTCACTTACGGAGGGTCATCGATTCGCCTCATAGGGATCGAGTAATCTTCACGTCCATTCGTTCTATATAACGAAAATGACGTTTGACTCAAATTTTATGTATCAGTACTAGATCCGTACTCACAACATTACCGGTTCAGCGTACCGAGGCAGTTGCGTCGGCCAGATTCCAAAACTACGGTCCAGCAGCTCCGCTACGCGCTGTTGAGAGCCTTGAGTTGCCTAGAACAAGACAACATCCTGAGACTTGAGGACTGTACAGTGTCAGAAGGTGCGATATCGGAACGTACCATGGCTTCCAACTTGCAAACAATAATAATCGCTTGTTGAGAGTACTACTAGTACGTGAGAACCACAAACGCATATATGGTAACCTGTTGTTGTTATTTCCTTTTTGGAGCCGCATCCTTGATTATCGATTATCTGATCATCTGATGCATCTGAAAGCAACGTCCCTCCAAGTCATTTGGTGGGTTGGTTGAAGTTTCCTTGTCGCGTTTTGTTTCTTTTATTTATATTGTTCGTCAAGCACACCTCGTATGATGAAAACAAGTTGTTGCAGCTAAATTAAATACCGAAAATATGCAGTGATCTATAAAGCGCTCAAACTTTCATGCTCCTGGAACACCATATTTTGAAATGTCGCCTTCCAATCTCATATATCCCCGCGCCCTATCGTCAAAATTGTGGCCCTGTGTCCAGACGAAGGTGCGAATAGTCTAGTAGCGACGCGGCGCACGCAGTCAGGAGTCACCTTATTTATCATAGGTCGTAGTCATTTCGGTCACAGGAGTCTTTCGACTGTGGACAGGCAACTAAATTATCACGTGAGTATGCGGGCATGTTTATGATAAAAGTTTGTCGTACCTTCCGGCAAAGATCCTTCACCTTCACCTCCACCGCCCGACTCTCGAGAGCCATCACCAGGCTCGATTTGAGCTGATTCTTGACACGCTCAAGTTCAACTTTGGAGATAGATTAGTACATAAGCAGGCTAAACTGATTGGTTAGGTGGGGTAGCATTTGTGCAGGAGTGTTGCCTCTTTGGCCGGGAGCATTGGGGACGAAACGCCTAAGAGCGAGGAATCCGTGTAAATGAGATGGAAGGAAGCAGTGGCCCGCCTATGTCTGATGAATATTGCGCACCAGAAGAAATATTAGCAGACGGTCTCGTATGCTGAGTGTCCGTGTCAGTCTGGAATCCACCTTGTGGTCCGGCAGATGGCCTTGCATGCGGAGCGTCCGTGTTAGTTTGGAATCCATCCTGTGGTCTTCCTGGTTATTTGCAGCTGTGATCTTCAGCGCCTCGATAGCGGCAGCTGTGCCTATATCATCATTCGCCATCGGTTTATCGTCATGACCAGAACTATAAGAAGCGCCATTTGATTCAGCCCAGCCGCCTTCATTAGAAAGAACTTACCCATAAGCCTGAGCATGAGCAGAGAAATGAGACTTGTACACCTCTTCGTCGAACTCGCTCGGTGGCTGAGGCTGGTAGCTGTGGTAGGTTAAAGGATTCACCATGAGCAGCTGCGTGATCGGGAGTGTACGAATGTGACTGCTGATTGACCTTCTTCGCCATTAATCAGGAAGAAGCGATACTTGGCAGTCTATGCATACCTGGCGGAGGCCGATTGTAATAATCACTTGCAGCGCCGTGACCCGACCCTCCTTGAGGAGAAGGGTCGTGTCCATATGAAGGTCTAGCTTGAGGGGGAGCCCCAGGAGGTGGTGTAACCTCCCGCTGGCGCATAACTGGATGATGCCCCAGGAGGGCGACCAGCAGGGGATGCGTACACGTTGCCTCCATGACGTGGCTCCAGCGATTCCGGGACAGAAAAGTAGTCGCGAGAAGGCTGAGAATACGCGCCGCTTTCATAGCCAGATGTGCGTTGTTCGTGGGGGATGGGTGGTGGGGGTGGTTCAGGGAATCACAGTCCAGATGGCTCGGACTGTTGCAGGTATGATGGCTGGTAACCAGCGTCCTGAGGTGGTCTAGTGGCATCATCCATCATCAGCTCACACGCAACCGTCATACAGATCAGATAAACTCACCTCGGTCGATCCCATTCTCCATAGTCCTCAGGGCCGATACTGACTCAGGATGTGTGTAAAGTCGGGAGTACATTCCCTTACTAGGACCACATGCAAGAAGTTGAATAAAACGTGTGGCGAAGGAAATGATTACTCACCAGCTGAGAAACTTCTACCTCCTCCAAGGAGGACTTACATAGTGGCGAGGGTAAATACATCCTCGTCATCAACACCTACACCCTCAAAAGCTAGGTAGAGCTGAGCGAACTCTGTCGATGCCACCAACGTAGTTGGACTGAGGGTTCAGTGGAGGAAGCGGTGGCTCGGTAGAAAGGGACGTACGGTACAGATATGTTGATGCAGCACAAGTTAATGACTTGTAGAGCGAGGGTGATGATGAGGACGACGAGGGAAGCAAGCGAGGTGGTAGATTTTGAGTGGCTGACGGCTGAAGTGATGAAAACTGATGGTGTTAGCGCAGATTTGAGGGATTAGAAATATTTATCAGCCAACTCCACTGGTCGTTCGCAATGCATCCCAGCACCAGCATCCCAGAATTCCGAAGTATTTTCCTACCGTATGCAACCTCATGCAAGACCTCTGGCAGAATCATCTCGGGTTTCTGACTAATTTCTCGGATCTCATAACGAGCGGTATCTCTCCGGGCATCAAGTCCATCAGGTAGAAATGCGGAATTCAAGATGATGTCTGATACGAGCGAAAGTGGGAGAGTGGATAGCTTGGTCGAAGTTGGACGATTGATACACGATGGATTCGCGTGACGAAGAGCACATGATTTGGTCACCTAGCTTGTCCATTGTGGTCGCCTTATCCATATCTTCCGTGGAGCAAAAGCTGGTGGTCTGAGCAATAGAGAGCTGTGAACACTGGCATGAATAGTGCCTGAAGCTACGCACCTTAAAGGCCATCCTGTCCGGAAAATGGCTAACACTCGAGTGGATCGGGCTTCATACCTGGATCCCGCGTCTACGTGTAGTTCAACGGACCGAAAATGACCGGGAGTCGATTCCGTAGCAACTCTAATCCTGTGTGAATAAAAAATGAGTGATCTGTGAAGCGCGGGCAATAAGCATCAGATCATATAGATCAGTGTCATCATAGGCACGCGGTCGTTGCACATCTTGATTCTGTTCGAGACGCGTCGAGCAGCGGTGCGCTGGGCACGATGATCAATTTCAAAAGGAACGAGCAACAGGAGATGAGAAAAATTACACCTAGCTACCCTGAAATGCCTAAAAAGCAATAAGATTAGGTGCACAACAAGTGCACAATCATTGTCGCAGACACGTACATGCAACAAGTCACGAACAAAATCCTTGCGATCAACCAAGTTGATATGAATGAGCGCACGCAAGCTCTGCATATTGGTCTCGAGCAAAGGTTCAAAATTTTGATGATGGCAAGAGTCAAGACTAGTACTTTGTAAGCCACTTTGTCAGCAATTACTAACACCAACAACGGTTACACCTTTTAATGGAGTTCCAGGAACCCATTGCAGATCAAATATTCTGATGGGCATATTCGAGCGTCGGAAGTTCAGATCTCAGACCGTAATCATTGAATTCGAGTCTGATCAATAAAAATTAAAGAAGCTACTCAATGGTATACGTATACAAGGTCGGCAGTACATACAAGCATATATAGATAATATATGCACCTGATTACCAGTACAATTCGAACGGCGGCAGATGTAAGTGAAACAGATTATATTACACTCGACCGTACGCAGCAGCATGGCAACCTACATCGAGGCTGAGACAAACGCAAGGCTATTACCATAAGTCGAGTCAGTACGATCGTTGATTGATCCGGCAAAAGTCCGTTCCTTGCAGATATGCACCTGCTCTGGTAGGACCGACTGGAAATAAGTTGAATGTGGTGAAGCTGTAATGACATGAGCATTTGAAGAGAAAGCGCTCTCAGAGTAGTTGGACGCACACGCATTTTCGATGGCCAGCGCAAAAACTTCTACCTCAGCTTTGGCGCGAAGCATCTTTGCCCGTAAGTAAAGCAGCTCCGACTTGGCATTGCGGTGGTGAGAATAGTAACGTTCAATGTCGAGATATGTTGCCATCAATCCAGCCTCAGTGCTTAGTTCCACTTTGCGTGCCTCATCAAAGGCCTCGTGGACGCAAAGGGTAACCCATGTGCTGCACAGGCGGAACGACGGGTTGCACTTTAAAGATAAGGTAAGAGCAGCCAAGGGAATTAATGACGATACTGACGTTTACGAAGACTGATGTTCGTTGTTCAGGGGCATGAGCAAGCTGACCGGCAGCCAGAGCGTTCGGAGGCAGGTCACTTTCGATCGAGAAAAATTTGTTAGATGGTGTGAGGTCGGTGTGTTGTCTCCTTAACCAACTTTCACATTTCTGTTGCGCAGCTGCCGAATAAGCAGCTGCAGCTGCCGAATGGACCACTATGGGAGGTGTAACAGCGCATCTCGGAGTTGCTGAGATAGAGACATAATCCGCGGTTGGGACCTCGATAGGACGCAATGCTAAAAAGATGGTGTCAGATCGCTCAAGCACTCATTCGAATACTGAATCAAAAAAATCTCACGAATTATCCATCTCTGCTGGACGTAATCGATGGCCTGACTGCATAGGGATACTTCCAACTGACACCGATCCCCTCCTATCTTCCATGAAAATTCGTTCGGCGGTCCTACGCCTTGTGTTGTCGCCAGAAATATTTTTCAACGATTCCTCCCTTTGCGCTTCCGACAAACGCCCCCCCAACTATTGCCATATATCGCTGAGATCGACCCGACCTTTAAGCAAAACGTAAAGCAAGTACAATTCAGTTCGAATCTGTATGAAGAACTTTCAGGCCCAGGATGTGCAAAGTTTTAGAAATTATGAACTGACCATCTCCGATGGTATAAGTCGTATATAGAATTCCAGCCATTTAGGAGCAGTTAATATATTCGAGAGTTCAAACATTCCGAGACGAATAGCCAGGGGGCTGAAAGGGGGAAGGCAGGATGGGGTCGACATGGTGAATTGCAGGAAGTATGTACAGCGTGTGGTTTCTGATATTCTCGTCCGAGAATATATTTGTATTGAACTGCTAGCGCTGCGGTGATTGAATATCCCCTGGCCATCAACCCTTCCCTGGCCATCAAAATGACGTAAGGACTTGGAGTCCGATGAAGTATCATCAATGGCCTGAAACGCACTCAACTTTTCAGAGGTAGCTAAAGATATAGGTAGTATCGTCACGGTTTTTTAAAGTATTTCAAATCCATTGCCTAGCAGAAAAATAAATCAATGATATAACAGGATACAGCTTAATTGCGCCCACGAAACGTCTGTCTTGAAAATCTGATAACAAAATTTCAAAACGATGTGGGTACACGATTTGACTCTGCCTTCATTCTTACGAGGGTTGCGAGGACGAGGAGAGCTGTCTTTCTCTCGCGTCCAAGGTGGCGTGGGGGCCTGGTCAGGACTCGACAGGTGACAGCAAAAGACGTCGCTGCTGGGCGACAGGCTTCGGGGAAAGCCCCTTACTGGTTAATAGGTGACAACAGACGGCCAAGTGTGAGATGAGGTAGGGACTTTAGCGTGATGGTAACGGTGGCTGCTAGCAAACGCTGACGATATCACCTTGGAGTATTCGTCCGTAGTGCTAGTCCGTAGTGTATCCCATAAAAGTTAATTTTAAATTACCCTGGCATGATTAAGGCGTTTGAAGCACGAGCCTGATCATGATAACTCACAGGCCGACGATCCTTCAAATAATCCACTTTGAAAGTGCATGGATGCAGAAATCAAGGATTGGTATCATAAGCTCCGCTATTTTCCGACGCTGATGCGGGTCCATTGCCATGGCCGTAGTTGATTGGTCAGCACTGTTGGTCAGCAAGTACTGTCGTATCATGTTCAAGCTCAAGACTTGTCGATTATCGCTCGTGTCAACTTTGACTCAAGTTGGTATGGATGGTTTATCAAAATACAGTATTCAAGTCAGTCGGCGATTCGCAAACGAGGAGGATTGAGCATCAATTCACAGGTGAATTTTCCAGCGTAAATGATATTAGTGCGATTGGGCTAAGTACAGGTCTTCATCTAACATGATCAGACCTCGCCCTCTTGTGCAGCTCCACCTGCAAGTGATCCCATCCCTAGTTAGCGCTCGGACCAGCCCAAAACCTTACGTCGTGCCAGTGATTCCTACCCCAGACCTAGTGTCATCAGTATAAGCGATAACGAAGCCTTATCCCGACACCTACCGAGGTTTTCGCTTTTGCACTCCTCTTGAACAGACTTGAATATGACGCTTCATGATCGGCCTTGTTCCCACCCGCATACATTGCTTGCAGCGTCTAAAAAGAGTGTGGAACTCATTTGCTGTAATTCCATCGCCAGCAGACTCAAGGTTCTTCATCAATTCTTTTTGTTCCTGGTAAGTCCATTCGAGATGAATCGGGCGCGGTTCTTTGTGCTGTTCTGCAGTATCTCAATAAAATTATGACTCTGCAGCGCAGCAAGTTCATACCTCGACGAGGGTACTGGCAGGTTCCTACAGACGATCGGTGATAGTATGCATCGATTTTAACTAGGTGATAGTTAGTTTTTTATCTTTCAAATATGAAGAACACTGACCTCGATATCCACATCGATCAGATGCGCATCTTGCTTTCCAACAAGTGTTATCGGTGGTCTTATCCCTCCATGAGTACACCGCCGCCTCCGTGTATGCCCCTCTTCCACCCTCCTCGGCACACAGGCAGCACGGATATAGAAAGTCATGTTCTTCACGGTACTTCTTGAAGTTCGACGGTAGCACCTTCTTTCCCTCGTCATCGTTGGGCCTGCATTTGTGGGCCATGTCAACGCTTAAATGTGGTACGTGATTCAAACAGCGTCTCACCAGCACCATTCGATCATTGATCTTGATATTTTGTCATAATGTAGGAGGGCGAAGTCGCAAGTCATGGCCTCTGTAACGAGTTTGGCGAGCCTTCGAGCACTTTCACGATAGTCTGGTGGGGCAGTGATGATAGAAGAAGGTGAAGATGGGACCTCCATTGGTTGGTCTGTTTAGCAAAGACTCGCCTCTTTATTGAATGCCATAGCTGGTTCAGCTTTTTCTGCCGCCGTCAAGTGCGCCAGCCCTGGTCTATGCTGCCAGGATTCTGCCCTGTGGGAATATAGCCATGTTCGGTTAGTCGCGCTGGCCATCTAGTGCCTAGGTCTATTATGAAATACCAAGTTGTTGGATGAAATTGGTGAGCCATTCGATCCGATTTTCACTGCGGGGTTCATGTGTCTCTTGTCTCTATAGCTTCCCATGGATCAGACCGATTCATCTGGGAGACGTTTCAAATGCACTTGCACACGTGAGTTTACTCAGGAAAGTGCCTACACTAGGCATCAACGATCGTGTGCGAAAGGCAAAAAAGTTTATTCTCTGCTTTATCAAAAGCAAAAGACTTCCTAGGAGCTGCAAAACGGTCCCGGCTGGAGGTCAAGAATGCTCCCATTAGCATGGCGCTTTCGAGTACGGAGCTCCGCTGCCCGCAATCCTCGTCCGTGTCTTCCGATCAGGTTCACAAGTCGTTCAGCGAGGAGTCTCCCAGCACTTATCCAGCTCCGTCGGTAGCGCACCCCCCCCAGGATGTGTCATATGGAGGTTCTTCTTTACATGACGATCTGCCCGTCCCAGTACCCAATGCCAATCTTGGCACAGCGTCTATGGAGATAGATGAAGGCTCATCCCTGGCCCAGCGCAGAACCAAACTGTTGGTGTTCGCATGCCGCAGCGCTTTAGACAGTATGAAGATATACTTCCGCAGCCTCCTCCAAGCGCTCCAAGCCATGCTGCTCAACAACTGAAGTCTGTTCCGCCCG